AATGAGATAATAAATGCCTTATTTATTCAAAAATGAAAATTATGTATAATCTAGTTTGAAATTACTCCAAGATGAAAGATACATTAAAACAATAATATATTATAAATTAAAAGTTTAAAAGTATATAGTTATCTATCATGCTGAAAAGAGAGAATTCACCTTGTAGGTGATAGGAACAAAGAATCCTTAGGTCTTTTTAAAAATATCAATAATTTTCAATAATCACAAAAGAAAGATCTTCATATAATTTTAGGTTTAAATAAATAAATAACAGTTCAAAAATAGTAAGGTAAAGTTAGCTCCGATTCCTGTGAGGAACTATAGAGGATTAATTCTTTTGTAAAAATGTAAGAAGGACCATGCAGTTTTTATTAATCCTCTTAATCAAAAGCTAAAAAAAATGTCAGAGTATTAAATTTATAAGACAAGCATTTTATATTGTTATTATGAAAAAATACACATATTTAGGAATAGAACTTAGCCGCTTAGGTAAGATTTATAGTAAATTCATGATATCTGGATTACTATTTGTTTTGATTTATATTTACTTACTTTAATTTTTACTCGATTTCTGTAGGGGAAAATTAAATAATCTCATGAAAATTGAGAAGAAATATTTTAAATAACAATTATGATTACCTAGAAATATCCCTTATGCATTTTTTATTGTAAAAATTAAAAAAAGAAGATTAATTGCTATAGATTTCCCTAAAAATAAATTCAATAGCATCGACTAAAAAAAGAGATTGTGTTAATTTTAGAAAAATAACATCACTACCTTAAAATTAAAAATTTTAAGGACGTTTTCTATTGTACTAAAAACTAGAACAAAATTTTATTTGTTTGATAAATACAGAAATCAAAAAGGTATACTTTATTTAATAATTAACTCTTAAATAAAATGAATGAATATATATAATAATAAATATCATTATAATTATCTTTGAATATTGATGAGAGTTTGGTTTTGATTTCTACAATTTATAAGTTTCTCTCTTTCTCTCTTTCTCTCTTTAAACAGATAAAAATTGAAAATATGATATTATATAAAGAATATTAAATCAAATTAGAGGAATATAATTATAATAACATTAATAACTATCAAATGAAATCCAATTTGAATGAGCCATTCATAATAGTAAAAAATTATAGACAACAATAACAAGAAGCAAAAAAAGAATAAGCAAAACTCAAACCAGCTCCTAAACCAAAGGAACTATCGAAAAAGATAACTAAACCAAAAAAAATAAGTTAAACTCAATAGTTTTAGCAACCGATTGCCTAAAAGTTAGATCCAAATTTCTTATCCAAACTTTTGTAATAACATTAGCAGTAATAGCTAATGTTTTAATAATTGCTACAAAACCCTTAAGTCAATTAGATAAGTGGGTAAGATGATGATTTAGACTAATATTCTCCTGTTTATTTATATGGAATTCCAAAAACTCCTTAAAATATTGCGATTCCAAGAGGTTCAACTGGAGATGAAGATGACTTCAAAATCTGATATTGATATTTAATTTAGTTAAAATAATAAATTGTATTAATCTTAAGGTCCTAAATTATGATTAATTGCTAATTAATAAGGGATTTAGAGTTTAAATTTTATTCCTTTAAAATGAAAATTTTTATTTTTGGTTAATCTTTTATATTGAAAACCCTATGCTCTTTAGAACACTTAAAAATTTACAGCTATTGATTGCTTATATTTAGTAAGATTGAATAACAAGGATAATAAAATTAATCAAACTAATATTTCAAAAGTTTATATAATTATTTATAAAAAGTGATGATAGATGTTTTCATTTATTTTCAGTGATTAATCCATGCTTATATTCTCAGTTTGGAGATTTTAGAGGTATCTCTTCAGTTAAGAATTAAAAATGAATAAATTAATTACTTACGAATTAGTTAAGAGCAATACTTTTTATGATAGTCATAAGAAAGGTTCTTCTTATATTATTTCAAATTCTCTAAGTCAGTAATTAAATTTATTTTTATTTAAGAATAAAATTCTAATTTAAAATCATTGCATCATTTAAAAGATATGAATGCATTGATTTTATCAAAAAGGCAATATATCATAACTAATTTTTATTATTTAGTGAGCATATTCTTTCCTCAATTCAATGAATTCGAATTTGGAAATAAATCATATTTTAATATATAAAAACAAGGAAATAAATGTAAAATAATAATTTTAGAAGGCCATATTTTTCTGTTCATAACATCTCATAAACATCTAGATTACAAAGAAACGCTAGAATATTATTAAAAAAAAATAACATTTAAACTTAAGAATATTAAATGTAGCTAGATAAGAAAGAAGCCCTAAGTTGCTTCCTCATAATATGAAATTTTTTTTGGGAAGGATATTTATTCCCTTCCACAAATGTTTCCAGAAGTTTAATAATTAATAGCATAGTATCAAAGAATCTTTATCTCCAAAAAGGTTATCGAAAATACGAACTGGGAGAAATACACTAAAATTTTCAGAACATGTTTCCAATGAACCAAGCCCTTTAGTGGTTATTAACAACTAAAAAGATGAAGATTAAGTAAAAGAAATCTAGAAAAGAAAAAGTTGTGATTGTTCTGAATGTGGTAAGTAATCCATATTCTAAAAGGACACAATGAACTATGGTGTCTAAATTAATTAATTAAAGAGAGAGCAGGAGTCTGCTATTAATAAATTTAAAAGATCAATAAGAAAACAATAAACTTTGTTATTTCCTTAATATCTCAATTCCCCTAAAAATAGCACAAGCAATGAAAACATAATAGAAGAAATATAAATTCTTAGAGATGATATAATGATAAAATCCTTTATTCACAGACCAACCTTAAGTAATTTAGTCTTTGAAGAGTAAGTGTTCTTGAATAAATAATCACCAATTCACACATAGAGCAGAATTAAGTTTAATTATTTAGAATCCTTTTTAATGAAACAATAGAAAATAATGAATTAAGAAAGATAAAAATTCTCTAGGTAATCAGAACTATTTGAATCTCTACATAAAAAGAGTAATTATTCCAATAAAAATACTTAAATGCATACACCCTAGGTACTCACTCCTAGATCTCCAGCTTCATCAATAATTACAGCATTCCCGTCCTAATCTCCAGTCAAAAAAAAGAATTAAATTAATGTTTATTTATAGCATCAAAAATCAAAATTCTTTATAAACTAAAATAGAATTACAACTCTTCCTGAGGTACATTAATGAAGTGTTATATGAAGAACGATTATCTTTTTGTTTAATCCTCAATATATTATTTATCTTTTATAGTCCAAAACAATTACACTACTTGAAATAGAAATTATCTTGAAATTTTTGTCTAAAATTCGAAAAGGGAAATATATTTTATAAAAACTTAAACATTATACTGATTAATCATTTTTCATCTAGACTTGCCATAGATATACTAAAGTCCATATTTAGTTGATTGTATGAATGTTAAAATATTTGTCCTACTTTTGAGAGTCATAACACTTTGGAAAAGGAGTAAATGAAATGGTTTAAAATTATTTTTATTCGAGCCTAAGGTGGAAGAAGTTAATGCATAATCCTTTGTCAGTGGTCAGACAGACAATAATCCAAATTCTTCTTCGATTGTCATTTACATAAATATTCACACTAGATCCAGTATATACAACATTTTTGTTTTAATTAAGTTTCTTATTTCTACCCTTCAATTTTGTTAAGTACTAATCTAGGCCTAAATCTGAGGTTTCTTATGTGTTCCATCATCTTTTTATCTCCAATACTAAAAGCATAGGATTAAATATCAATTAATATAAAATTAATAAGTTTAAATAAATTCTCAGAAAGGAAAATATTATTTAGAGGAAAAAGAAAGTTGCAGAGACTAATTGTATAAATTCTGAGAATAAAAAGCATAAAGACTCCATTATATTCAGAGATACTTGCATCCTAAAGTTTAAGAACTAAAAAGTGATTGAAATATCACTAAAAAACAATTCAGCCCTTTAAATGAGATGACTAAAAATTATTATTATAATCTTAATAGCAATAGTAATGAGCCAGAATTCTGGCAGAATAACGAGAACCTATGAGTGAATAGATCACACACTCCCTTACTTATCCTTATATAAATTATTTAAACACAATCAGACAAGATCAAATAAGAATTACTTAATGGAAAATGGGTCTTAGTAAGCCATTACCTTGTAAGCAGCAAAATAATAAGCCGTTCATTTTTATTCACAAGATTAGAGGGAAGACGATTGAGAATAGTCCAGATCTTTCACCCTTAGTCAAATAAGAAAGAGCAATGCCCTAAGGAATGACATAAATAGATAGAAACCATTGAAATTTAAAGGAATGAATATTTATGAAGAGGATGATTTAAAGATATCATAAAGCAAATGATCTTTGGGGCTCAATAAAGAAATAGCTCAACAATAAAATAGTCAAATAGTTGAAAATATTTATGAATTTATATTAAAGGCAAGGAAAAACTAATAGACTAAAAGATTAACAAATTACTTTTTCTTTAATTTTATCAAATGATGGTCATAATTCATTTCAATTTTACTTCTATAATCATTGCAATAGACATCAATTATTCCCTAATGATAATTCGATAGTTAGATTTATTTTAATTTATCTGAATATTTAAGTTATCTTAAACTTAAGAAAAATTTCTTTTACTTTCCTTTTATTGGATATTAATTCTAAATTTCTCAAGTGATTCTTTGCTGAATTTTTTTTTATTTAACGATTAAGAACCATATAAAATATTTATCTAGTTAACAAAAATTAATTCTAAACATGGTATTTTTCTGATAAAGTGCTTATAATTAAATTTTTAAGTATCTCTAATTGGATGAGATTTTAATGAAAATAAAATAATTATTATTATATTTATTTATTAATATTAAATCATCCAAACTTATTGGTAATACCAAGAAAAGTAATTATATCTTTTGGTTGCACTTCTTGATTGTTATATGTTAGTTATTAAAATTATTCTTTAAATGTTTAAGATTGAAAAGAAATATTGATATCTACACAAAAATAAATTAACTTCTTGAAACTTTATAATTCTTCTAATTTAAATAGCTGATTTTAAGTTATTAATTAATTAATATGTTAGTATAGCATTTATATAGCATCTTAATAACCATTCAAAAAGTAATCATTTGAATCTTGAACATCATTCAATGGTAGCTTTATTAATTCAGGAAGCGAAGAGTTCTCTTTTCTTAGGGTTTCACAATGTCTTTACAAAATAGTTAGCAATTCTTGTTTTAATTCTATCAGATATAAATTTATTTATTCAGTTGAGATTAAATCTTTCTAATGTTGATTCAAAAAGATTTGCCAATTTCTATTTGGTTAATTTTAATAAAGTTCTGATTTCAAATAATTATTCATATCCCTTAAAATAAGTAAATGCATTTTTTTAATAATATAAGCATATACTAATTCAAAGGAATTTGCAGATTTAAAAAAAATAGCAATTCTGTCTGCTGCTGAAGCTAATAATTGGCATCTCAAACAATCTAATTAAATTTGAAACCAATAGTGATAATGGCTTGGATCTGAAAATTATGATGTGTTCATAACAACGACCAAATAATCAGGTAAGTTTGTTTATGGTTTATAAATAGAAGTTGCTGAAATTATTTGAATTTTTTTTTTTTGTGGTTATTCTTCTTTAGGGGAAAAAATACTTACAGAATCTATCATCTCTAGTTTTTTTGGAAACTAACAAACAGGACTTATAAAAGATCCAGTATTAAATGCATCTTACTTTAATTCTCTAATGTATTGACATTACGAATAGAATTGAATATATTCTTGTTAACCCTAAAGTTGAAGATCTTAAATGAATGGATGTTAATAAATTTATAAAAATGATAATCTTTCCTTTGGATCACAAGTAAGTAATCCTTAGACTAAGGAGAGCAGTGTATTTTTGTATCTTGAAGTTTAACATGGTATATATTGGATATTCTTCAAATATTCATAAAATTCTTCTTTTTTATCATATTTAAATCGTACATCATTATTGTTTACTTTAACTTAGTTAATAGATTAAAATTTTATTAAGTGATATAAAAATGCTCCAAGCAACCAAGAGTCAAATTTTAAATCAAATTTATAATCTGTTTAATTTGCATTTTCTAAATATTTTACAAAATAATACCTTTATCAATTATCTTCTTCAAATATTCAGGTGGTGCCAATATATCTAAGTAATTTTGTTCAATTTATGGTTCGAATCCAAAATCCATTAACACAATTTTATAGTTTGGTTGAACAACTATATTAAAAGTTGAAAAAACTCTTCCAGGCATTTAATTTTTATGCAATTGATATAAGGCTAATAATAAGTTTTTAAGGTATGATTGTATTTCAGGATATTGAAAAGATCTCTGAATTTTGGAGTAATCCTTTATTTTTTGATCTAAAAATTGACTCTCTTCAATATATTCAAATAAAAAGAATTATTTTTGACCCTCCATGTGCATTTTAATATATTTTCTATATAAATCTTTGTGACTTTATTTTTCAATAATTTTTATTTAATCTTATAAAGATTCACTCATAACTTTTTCCTAATTAAAACAAAAAGCATAATATTTTGTTCCAATATTTTAGCTTTTTTCTTCTACTATAAACGCTGTTCCTGAGCTGGTTTCCAATACTTAATAAAGGATAGAGAATTATTTATACATTTAATTATTTATTAAAATATTTTTTTATTTATATAATGTTGCAACATCATAATGATTAGCAATTATAAGTTGTTAATAAACTCTATTAACATAAAATCTTCCAAAAACTGTCTAAATTAACTACATTAATAGACAAAGTTGGATTGATATATGGTAATAAAGTAAGATAATAATCTCATTAGATTTCTAAATTAAATCTCATAAAAGAGATATTAATTTAAAAAATGGTATCAAAATATTACCTAAAAGAGAGGAACATATAAAGACAAACTTAATGAATAATTTCATCAGATTATAAATCTTTATTATTTGATTTTTTATTATAAAATTGATTGATAATGATTCTTACTATAATTTAATATATCAATTTTTCTTTCAAAAATCATATCTTTTGACGAAATCAGTAATATTAATTGAATGGATTTTAAGCCTAAGTAAATCCATTTGCTGCTTTATTTATTCTTTATACTTGTAACAATTTGATATATTGTTTAAGAGTGAACTACGCTTCAATAAAAGATGAGAAGAACTCCTTGTAAGGTTATCTTATATATCAAATTTTATGAGTACCAATAAAGAGCTTTGAAAAGAAAAAGAAAATGAAAGAATTTAAATCAAATAAGGCGTAGTATCTTTAAGTTTAGTTTTAGGAGATAATATCTCTTTCAAATAACAATATAAAAGAGTTAAACAAGCCATTCTTTTGTTTAAAGTTCCATAATATGATACAATATTCCCTTAAGTCTTTATATTTAACTTTGAGGTATTTAATGAGTATCTCAAATTCATTTTCAATCAATAATCTCAATAAATATTCCGACTTCAATATACGCTAGAACAAGTGCATACTAAATAGTTGTTAAATTTTCTTTGTATTCTTTTAACTCATTAAGTTACACCTATAAATCATATAATATAGCATCCACAATTTTATTATTCATTTTGTAATAAAAAGAATTTGAATTTAAGATTTTCAAAAAGGAATAAGAGTAATAATTCTTAGAAAGAAAAAGAGCTTTATTGATTAAATTGCGTTTGATCTTTTATAATAAAACAGAGTTTTTTTTTTTCAGAAAGTTGTCATAATTATCAAAAGATCACTTTTACTTTTAAAAAAAAGTGAATATTAAGCTAATATTTAACCTATAATATATAATCATAAAAAAGGTATTTCAAGAAATGAGATTAAAACAAACTAAAACTTATTAAAAAATAAGTATGATGCAAACACTGAAAAATTGATTTTTAAATTTAAAATACTATTTGTTTAGATGTCTAAAATTTAATGCATATATAATTGAATTTAAGATCATTTTTCGTCAGGACATTGTCTGATGTACAAAACATTATTACATCTAACCAATACTTCTCCTAAAATTCCTCTGCTCTTTCCATCAACGTACTCTTCTGTATTCAACATCTATAGAATTATACAAATAAAATTACATGCAAGTTCATGTATTAGTCTGAGCTTTTTAAAACCCCTAAAATTAGATAATTATTATTACCTCTTAATTCCCATCCCCATTTTAATCTGACGATGATCTGTTTTCTTGTGATTTCTTCAAGGAATGGTCTTGGATTGATATCTGAAACAGTCTAAAGTAAATAAATGATATATATACATCCATGAATTAATATTTAAATAAATAAATATTAATATGCAAACAAATCCTAATTGTCCATAACCAGAGGCTTAATATTTAGATAATTATGAAAATTTTGAAGAAGTAACCAAAACGTTTAAATGTCTTCAAAATGTTCATCAGCCACTTGAACCAGAAGCAACTTACTTTTTGATACGTGCTCCAACTAAAGATAATGTTCATCGTGCCATCAAATACGGAATTTGGACTAGGTAGATATGCAAAAAATTTCTTAGTTCGAGTCGTAATAATTAGAAATTAAATGATGCATCTCGTCCGCTTTATTTATTATTTAATGTTACTCAAACATCTCATTTTATTGGAATGGCTAAAATTGTCAGTAATTTTAGAGAAACTAAGCATTTCATGTATTGGGCAGAGGAGAATAAATGGTTTGGGTCTTTTCAAATTGAATGGGTAATAATCTAATAGACAAAAGGTTTTTGTAAGGGATTTACCATACAATGAATTAAGTTCAATTCAATAATCAGATGGCAAATGCATTCATGAATTAATTGACTGTACTTAAATTGAAAATGGTGATTTAATTTATTCTGCCTTCGAAAAACAACCCTAAAAAAGTTGCATGTTGAAGTCTTTCAAAGAATTGGATAATTCAGAAGTATTTATTAATATCCTATTTTTAAGAAAAGAAAGAGAAATGAAAGAGACTCCAATTCAAATTTTGCTATTTAGTTTTAAGAATATATCAGTGTCTTTGAAACAATGCCGTTCACCTTCTCTGTAGCTTCTTATTAAAGAAGAAAACAGTAATAGTTTTAAAATCAATATTATTAATAATGTGCTTATTATTACTAAAGTCCTTGGAGTGGAGTTGGTATATTTTACTATAATTATAGCCTAACCTTCATTTTGGAATTAATAACAGCTATAATAATAACCCTTACAAATATAGTAATAATAACAATAATAATAGTAATAATCGTAATAATCCTTGAATAATCCTGGGTTTTATTAAACTTCCAATTACAATAGACCTCAAGCATAAAATCAATAAAACAATAAACAACCCAAGAAATTATTAAATCATAAAAATAATAATTAACAGAGTCCAAAAAAATAATGAAGTTTATTAATATAAAATTTCAAATTATAAACTTATATCTTATCTTTTGTACAATCAAGTATTCATTCTTAACATTTTATGAAAAAAAGGAACAAAAGTATATGAAGGATTTAATAAATTTATTTATATATTAACTCTATATCTATTAAAAGTTTTATAAAGAATCCTAAATGTTATGAATATTACATTTAAATTAACTTTACAGATAGCATTAAAATACACCTATAATAATTAATTTAGTAATTGGATAAAAGATATAAGGCAGAAAATGTAGTAGAATTATATTCAAATTTTGATCAATTTTGCTTAAATATATAATCTATCTAATAATTTTTATAATTGATATAATGAGAAGTCCATAATATTATATGGAAATTATCAGGTAAAAAGATTAATAAATCGGAAATCTCGAGAAAGAAATAGAGATATTGCAAACAGAGAAATAAGTTGCATAATAACAGGCTAGAATTAACCTAGAAGCAGTATAAGTAATCTAGCAAAATCAGAAGGACAGAAAGTAGTTGCAGCTTCAAGCTGAAAATATTCAGCTAAAAAAGTTTGTTTATTAATTATAACACAATTTGAGGACTTTGGAAAAATAATTGAATGAACATTAGAATTAGATAATTCATTAGAATAACTAATAGAGTAATTAGGAATCTAATATCAAGCAAATCTTTTAGACCATTTATCAATCAATATAATTAAGCTAGGCAATTTGAGTGAATAATAATTCTAATAATAAATAAAATTCTAGAATTAAAATTCTTCTAATAATAAAATATTTATTTCTTTAACATATAATTTTCATTTAAGATTATAATCATTTGAAAATACTTTCAAATAAATTTGGTTTGCTAATGAGTTTATCTATATTAATAATTGGTTTAACGTTTTTTTAGTTTGCCTGAATATCCCCTCCAATTTTGAATTCAATTTTTTCTATGATTTCATCTTCCTCTTCTGTCTTCAGATTATAACCTCGATATTTGAGAAAATAATACTTTCTCCTTTATGACTTGATAAAGAGTTCTTGCTATTTCTAGAGTGCATAATAGATTAGATTTATTCTTGTTCGAGTGAATCAATCCAATTAAATTAATAGTCCCAAACAAAATCTAATTTAAAGAATAAATCCCTAAACAACATTTTAAACCTCTTATAATCTGGTTCTTCTTCAAATTTGAGTTATCTACAATGTTGAAAGTACTTTACAAATTCATGAGGCAATCCATGACATAAATCTTCAACTGAAATAGTTTATTTTATTGTTTTAATCAATTCATATTTTTCCTCCCTATTATTTACATTTAGACCTTGCCAAGGTAATGATCCTTTTAGAAAATATAACCATAAATATCCCAAAGATTCCATATCATCTCTTCTGCTTTACTCTTACTTTTAAATAAATAAAATACCTATACCAAGGTGTGTATTTAAACTGACATACCTGGCTGTTCCAACCAATCCTTTGTTTTCTTTATAAAGAATATGCTCTCCGGTCTTTTTATCCTTATATTTTTTAGATAAACCAAAATCAATTATGTAAATTGTATTATATTTTTTATTGATTCCCATTAAGAAATTTTCAGGCTTAATATCACGATATATATATCCTTTTGAATGGAGGAGAGATATTATATCTATCTAAAAACTAATAGATCTTTTCATAAGAATACCATTTAATCTATAAGCATTAACATGGTCTTTAACTCGAATCTTCTATTAACCAAATTGAAGAGTTATTCTAAATTATAACCCAACAATTCCATAACCATCACTGTTTTATCTTCCCATTGTCCAAACCAATGGACTTTTGGAATACCTAAGAATAGATTATAAATATACCATTTCCTTAAATTGCAGATAATATTTAAAATTCATGTTTAATTTGAGGCATTTGAGCTTCTTAACTTTCCTAAATAAATTTAATCAAATTCAAATTTTACCAATTTAATTGCTACAATCTCATTAGTTTCCATGTTTACTCCTTTGAAAACTTCTCCAAATGAACCACTTCCAAGCTTAGTAGTAATTTTATATAAATTTCCAATAGGTTTCTCTTAATCAAATTGCAGCATTTTTAATATTTATTTAAACTAATAATTATTGACTAATTGTGTAATTTCATAATTTATATTTAATAAAGTATATTAAAATTATATTAATTTTACAGCAACCAGAGTTAAGTAATACTTCATTTTGATGATTTTCAAACATAATAATAAGTTAAATAGTTGATATATTATATGCTAACTTTTCTATAGGAAGATTCAAATTATAAAATTGATTATTTACAAGGGTTTAATTATATTTAATGAATTAATAAATTATGAGTTATTCCATGGCCTAAAAATATTCTAAAAAATGAAGAACCGAAGTACCGTTTGATTAATGTCATTGAAAATATTAAATCTGATTTTTTTTATGGTTCAAGTTGAGAACTTATTTTACATTATAAAAGAAAAGGAAAATAGAGCTTAGAAACCTTTTGATAGCTACAGACCAGTTAATCGTGAAAGCAATCAGAGTATATAATCTTAAAAAAATTGAATAACTAAATTTCATAGTAATCCATATAGTATTTTTTGTATTATATCTAAAATAAAATCAGACAACTATTTAATTAAAGAAAATCTTAGCAGAATCCGGTAGTAAAGATTAAGAAATTGTGGTTCCAAATTAGAATGGCTACAAATTGGGTGTCGTAGATAACCTTCGATGATTGGGCAATTAGTAATGTTCCTTGAATGGAGATGTTTTTTATCTATGATAAACTGTATGTTATTATTGGTTGATAATATATATAACTGTGAAAGACGCTTCTTAGAATGCTGAAAGCGATATAAGTAGTATTTTTAATATTGTTGCCAATTTTTTCTGAATGTAGCTCAATCTGATGACTATTCCGATTTAAATATTAACTAAGGACGATAAATCGAAATCCATGATTTTATAGGCAATTTTGGAAGAATTCAAAAGGGCTATCGAGGTCATATGATCTGGAAGTAGATGAATTATAAATAAAAATAATATTATTAGTAATTATAAATATGTGAAAATATATTATTTTATTTTATGTAAATTAAATTATATTGTATGAATTAGTGATTAGAAGAGATAGGCAAACATATATTATGATAAATATAATAATCATTATTATTTTTATTCTTGCATTCTTGCACTTTCCATTTCCTTTTTTGTCCTCCTCTTTCTTTTTTGCTATTGTTTTTCCTCTGATGGTTATTTTTTTGTATATTTTCTTTTTTATTTTGATGGCACTTCCGAAACAGGTTGCTATTCCTATACCATTTTAATTCTTATTATATTATTTTTATTCTTCTTTTTTATTAATGGTTCATCAAAATCTTCAGGGATTAGGGCTATAGATTTCAAATAGGATTCAATTTCCTGAGGTTCAATATTATGTACATCAAAATCAAAAGAAATCCTATTCTAGCTTATTAATTTTACTTTTTTATTATTTCAAAAAATTTTATCCTCTAAGCTTCAATTGATTATTGCTTTTGAATAATGGCCTATTCAAGTTAGTTTGCATATTATTGAAGAGTATCGATTGAATTATTACTGCATTATTGTTCCTCAGATTAAATCATTTTTAATTTTGGAAAATATTTATATAATTAAAACCATATTAATTAGGAACAAATATGTTAAAACCATACTCTACAAAAATTGTAAAAATGCATTTTTTATCAATGATTATCTATCCTATTTAATTTGTTTAATTTAGAAAATTATGATAACTGATTGATTATATCATAGATATAATCACTTGTTAGACTATTTCATTTTATATTTATTATTATTTGTATATCTACTCAAACATCTTAAGATACATAGAAGAACTAAATTAAATAATACAATATCTTCTATTATCTTACAATACGATAATTATTTTAATATAACTTGAATTGAGTAAGGATAAAGATTTATAGAGAAAAAAATAATGTAATAAATATAAATATAATTAATTTGTAAATATAAAAATTTGATCTAATGGATATAAGTGATATGTTAGAATGTATAGCTTTAAATTGAACATTTAGCTAAAAGTTAAGATTCAACATTTTAATGAAGGAAGAAGATTATTGTTTATTTAATACTTAAAGGTTTAACCAGTATATAACTAAATTTAAGGCCAATATGATAATGTAATATTACCTAAAATTTAATTAAAAATAGTAACTTTTGTAGATGAATGCTTCAAAAATTAGTTTGATACTGCAAAATAACAATTATAAAATAAAATTTAAATTAAAATTAACAATAAGATGAATTAAAATATAGAATAAAAAACTGTGTAATTTAGTTACTACTCTACTTGTTAAGATATTTTGAATTAGCAAAAGAAATTACCTATTTTTATTATATAATAACTCTGGTAGTTTTTAATTTTGTCAAAATTTGATTGAATTTAGGCTTGTAACATTATTGTAACATCATCCATAAATATTTGTAAATGAAATGACAATAATAGTTAGTATAAATAAATTTTCTATTAGTTTTATTTAGTATTTAAATTGTATTGCAACAAATTTAAATCCAGTAGACAAAATCAAGAATGAAAGACTATTAAAAAAAATTATAAATATGAGCATGTTTCTTTTAAATGGGAATTAAATATCTCTATCGATAATTATAAGTGCGAAATTGAGAAAAAATTAACTTTTCTAAAATCTAATTGGTGCTTATAAATATTAATCATTAATCATCTTCGTAAAATGAAAGAATCATCTTCTCATACTTGATGATTGTACTAAAGACCTTCAATTGACCTTTAAGCTCTGATTTAATTTTCTATTTTAGAGCATCTTGATCAGATTTGTCAATTGGCGAGGATATATATCCTAAATGGATTAGATCTATTCCGCTATAATCATCCTTTGGTTTCTGTAATATGATTGGGACTAAATCGCTTTTGGTGATCAATGTAATGGAGTATTCATGATGAGAGTCATTTAAGTGGAAATTTAATTGGTTGTCTTTACCCCTTAAAAGATTTTACATAGTTTTACCTCTCTAACCATGATTAATGGTCATGTTCATATTGACCCTATGATATTAATTCGGGTATCAGATTCAAAATTAACAAGGTTGTCATACACAACTAGTTTTTTATTTAAGATAATATTTACATATAAGGTAAGATAAGTATCTTCATCAATACTTCATTTTCCATCATTAACTTGTGAATGTAAGCAAGTCTAAGTTCCAGAGTAATATTTTCTGAACTTAAATTATTCCTTAATTCTATCAGAACATTCAATATAGGTTCGTGATGAATTAAATATTAAAAATATTGAGTCCTTTTCATTTTAGTAATTTGCTTATAGAGTAGGAGTAGCCATCATCACTTCATACATTCATCAATTAGTTTACGTAATGGTTAAATATTCATAGCAATAGGTAAATCTACCTTTAATCCTAATAGCATTATTTAATAGAATTAATAATGTAATGATAATACTCTAAAATCGAATTATTTTCATAGATTATTATAATTTTAAGAGATATTAAGATATGCTTCTATAAGGAAATGATTTGACTAATTGATAGATTAAAATCTATTTAAAAATTAGCGATTATATAATTTTCCAGTAAACTTAATAAGTTTTCACTTTAAAAATATCACATATTTTGGTAGCAATCCAATAATAGGGTTATTTGTATTGTATTCTTTGCTATATAAGTGTTATTGCTTACACAGAAATGTATAAAGTAAAATCTAATATTATTTTATATTGCATCAAGTGAATCTCGTTTATAACTTAATCTTATCAACGGTTAAATGCATATGGGATCAAAGCAGAAATTTGAAAACTGAACCTCTTCATTGTCAATGCATGATATAGAATTAATAAAATAATAAGAATGATTTTTTAATATTATTAGATTAAATACATATATTTTTTGTATAATATTTAATGTCATTTCATTAAGGCTTAGCTGTTAATAACTCATCTGTATTTTCTGGTTGTTTTAAATGATCATGGCTTTCTTGGAATTATTTTAAATTTATTAAGTAATCACTAAGTTCTTACTACAAAATAGATGAATAGATATTACTCTAAAGTTGTGTGCGTTATTTAAGTTCTAAAACATTCTAGCAATGTGTAATTCAGTTTATTGTTTACTAACATTAGGGAAGGCATTGTATAAGGAATTCACAAGATATTAGGATATAAACTCTAAGTTTGATCCGACTTGTTCATTGGATAATTTAGCTGTGATTTGTTAATTAGAGGCAACTTAGAACAAGATCATTAATATTTGGCTTTAATGTTTAAATCCACTAGCATGTAGATTATCAGTCAAAATTTCTAGGATATCCTTTAACAATCTTAAATGATAGAGGGAATAAAATTGATTGGCAACAACTGCATCGCTATTGACTTACTTTGAAAATATTAATAGATAATTACTTATAAGATATAGTATAAGACATCCAATCCCAATTCTTATAAATTAGGTACTTGATGTTTGAATGCCCAAACAATGCAGTCTATCATTAATTTAAATTAGTCTTAGGGCATATTAAATAATGCCACTAAATGATATTGGACACAAGATCGCAAAAACTCAAAGAAGTTGATTCTATGATCTGGGTAAGAGTTGAAATCTTGACTTATTAATCTAATAGTAGCATCGAACAGTCCTTTTAAAATCAATGGAACTAGATCCTCAATTGGTGCGAGGAACTTCTCAAGCATGTACTATAAATATTGAGACTAATATATTACTTTAAAAGTCAATAGCAATTCTGGTTCCTTTTATTCGTTTATAGATTAAGAGTATTCATCAAGGAGATTACAAATAGGGATAACTAATGAGTTTTTTAATTGATAGTTCTTGTTCAATAATTCTTGATCGTTATTTTGGAAGTAAGTTGCATATAATTTCAAGATTTCCTTTTTCACAGCCCTCTATTTCTTCACTGTATAATAACCCATAACGACAACTCCTTGTGCGAGTACTTATTATTGGATACTCTGACTATAAAAGAGATATATTTGATTGTAGGTAGGTAACAGTTAAATTAATGATTGAGTAAAAGCATATCCAGTAGGTTGAACTATTTGTTATAGGATTCTGAAATATTGGACGAAGAATTGTTAAACTTTTTCATCTTTAAAGAGATCAATATAATTGCTTGATGAAGTATATTGACTCAACTGATCATTTAGATGTTTGACTAAACTGTTGACTAATTGAATTCTGATGTTTAAGTCTTCTTCAAATTTGATCATGTGACTCAAACTTTCATAGTACACCAATTTGTATTGATCTTATAATATTGCAACCTAATCTCTGATGTTTCTAATGAGTTCACAGATGTAGGGTTCTCTTTCCAATTGATCAGATTGACTATAATTTGATAGAGATAAGAATACATTTGTTGTCTTATGACAAACTCTTTGCCACACTTTTAACTGATGGTTAAAAATGTATTGCAGGCCATCTCTTGTACACCTGGGAAGGTCTCCTTCATGAACTCAAATAGCTTCTTAATGACTGTTTTCAGGAAATTCCAATTAGTTCTCAAGAATTTTGGGTATTGTCCTACAACATACATGATATTGGCAGCAACAACAGCTTTATTTTCTTTACCTTTCTTGACTTCACAAAGGGAAAGTAAATTTTTAATTGTGTGAATTAAAAATTATTTCTCATCTTATTCTGGCAAACATCCAGATATCGATCCTATTGCCCAACAAATGCTATTTAAATTATCAAATGACCATTCAGATCCATCCATCTAAAAATAAATTAATAAATTAATATAAAATGAATAATAGATATGAGACTCTTTAGTTTTAGACTTTATTGAGATCATTTATAATATCTCAATAAATTACAAGCACGCCATTATTAATGCGTTTTAAGATACAATAATGTTAATTTACCTATTTATCCAATTTTTAAGTGATAATCTCCTTTGTACTTGTCCAATTTAATTTTGCCAGATTAATTAAAAGGTCCTTTAATAAATCATATAGAGCATTGTTTTCTGTATTTTATAATTCCTCCTTGATTGGCTATCCAGTTTCATCAATGCTGATTAAGACTTCTTGGGGTTTAGCCATTTTGCTTACAACAATCTTTCTCAATTCAACCAAAATCTATTATTAAAAACTCATAAAATTATTACTCTAGGATAACTATTATTTTGTAAGGAGGGAGGATTCATTTCATTCGAATACAGATTCAAAATGATTTGATTTCCTTTGGGCAACTAAGATGGCTATTCCAACAACCTCTTGGTAAAGTCAAACCAGAACTCTGCACAAACCTTATAGTTCTATTCTAAGGGTAATTAAGAGAATCCAATCAGATATTATAAACTGTAATCAACTAATTAAATGACATTTGGATTGGTCTTAGAAACATTCTCCAACCAATCAAGATGTTGACTTAGGATTCCTGTAAAGAATTATGTCAAAATAGCACAAAAATCGTCGAAGTATTATAATTAAGTATTGCTTGTTATTCTTAATCTCTATCTTTCCCCTAAAAATCCGAAGTCACATGGAAAAACTTATCTCAATTTTATTAAGATCTTCTCGAAAATAATACCAATCTTCTGTTATTAGATGATCATCTTCTATTAATCAGCTAAGAAAGTAGACAATAAAATTTACAATCAAGTTTGAGAATGACTATCTCTGTTAAACATCTAATGGAGAGGTTTCTGAAGTGATTGTTATCAAATAATTAGATGAGAATCTCACACAATTATGTCATAAAGATAAAACCAAAAGGAATCCAGGATAAATATGTGTAAAGGGTTTCCAAAGTTTACTTTATCAAGGTTACTTTAATGTTTTACTTCTCCACAAATGTCTAAACCAAAAAGAAACAAAGTTCAAAGATCAATTAAAACTCTTTGTGAAGATTGCTTTTAAGTTCAACTATTTAATTGGTTGTTAATTAATTTTTAGAATAATCAAATATTTCTTAACTAAAATTTAAAATATTTAAAAAATTACCTTAATAATCTAAGCAATTTCAAGTTGTTCTCACATAGGTTTTAATCTGTTTTACTTAATTCACAAATTTCAGGTATAAATGATACCCAAGTTGTCTTCCACTCGTGTTTTAATATTTATATTATAATCATGTTTATTTAATTTAATAAAGATTCCTCGATTGAATCATGTTGGTCTTTTGCTCCAAAATGTAATAGTTATTTAAGAATAAAACCTTTAAGTCCTAATCTAGATTCTTCACGAATCAAATTCCATTTAGTTTTAATTTGTTCTTCAAGTACTTTCAAAGCTAAAAATTTAGTTTGATTTTATTTGCATAACAAAATGACCTAGTCGGTCATTGTCCAAAAGAATTAATCATTCTGTAAATCAACCCATATTTTAGTACAGGCAGTGATCTAAATGATATGAAATAATGTTTACAATTTAAATGTTACTAGATCTCATTCCAGAAGTGACGAGATCAAGAGCTACTGCTTTTTAATCATTGAATGCTTAGGAGTGATCGAACAGCAATTGACTTGCCTAAACAAGAGTATTATAATCGACTTCAGCCATATTTTAATTATTTTAAGGAAATCAAAATTAAACAATGATAATTAAATATACGCAAATATAATAGTTTTAATCAATGATCAAATAGTCTAGAAGTATTAATTTTTTCCACTCTCTATATATAATCGTCGACATTGTTTTTAGACTTAAACATTCCCATAATCCCAAAACCACTGGCCCGGTCATCGAATGAATGAGAAGTTGCAACTCGATTGTTAAATAACTAGTTTTTTATTGGTTTCTTAACCCTTTAAATACAATCCATCAGTCTTTTAATCGATTCATCCAAAATCTTATGATTCTCCTATTGAATTTGCAGATGCTGATATTATTGTTCTATCTCGAATTATAAGTCTTCACATGCATCTAATCTGAGATGAAGTTCCTTTTTTTGTTTGATCAATTGGATCTCCTTCTCCTCAATCTACTTCTACTATTCTTCCTTTAGATTTTGCATAACCTGTATCTTCTCTATTTCCCTGAGTTCTTGATCTTGCTATTGCTTGATTAATTTCTGATCTCTTATTTGTTATTTTAATAACTCAATTTATCCCTTGAGAAGTAAATTTTTATTTTCAGTTTGGCATTCTCTCTAAATAATTGCCTATAGATTTTACTCAAATCTTTCATTCATTTTTTCTATGAATTAATAATAGTAAAAATGTCTTAAAAAATATATTTATATACAAAATTTATTTAGTTTTTCGATTGCTTAAGAAGTTGACATATTAAATGTTTTCCTATGAATGAGCAAAAGCAGTTCAGAAATAATAGGAAAGGGAATGAAAAATGGAAGAAAACACGATTGATTTAATTTCTAATTTCTTTTTTTTCTTTATTTGATCCTTTCTCATTTAGAAGATGATGACTTGTGTGACTATCTCTATTTATTGCTAACTGATGATCTGGACCTTGAATTTGTATTAGATCTCTTGCAACTGGTACTTTTCTTCCTCTTATTATCTCTCCTTGGACTTCTGCTCCTTCTGCTGTATCTGTTTCGCTTCTTAGAGTCCCTCCTTCTCCTCGAGTGAGAAGATGAATAAGAAGAATACGAACGAGACCTTGAATTTGATCTCCTTGATCTTCTATGTCTGCCCAATTCATAAAAACAATTAAATACCGTGATCTCGAATCAGAATACCTCTTTCTCCTTGGTGACGATCTGTTTGGACACTCCCTAGCCCTAAACTCTTAACATCATCATCATTACCAATGCCCTCCTTTTCCACATTTGAAGCATTCGTCATTCTCTTAAGGCCCACTTCTACGTCCTTTTCGATTGTCAACTACATCAACTTTTAATTTCTATCCGTTAATCGTTTATCCGTTAAGTGCCTTAAGAGCATCCTCAGCTTCCGATTCCGATTAAAATGTCTATTTAAATAGAAAAACACATCTTACAACAAAAGAGTACGATCCCTTATAGGCAACATCCTTTATATTACCATATTTTTTGAATATGTCCTTTATGCCCTTCTCATCAGGTATTTTGTTACGACTGTAACCAGCAACGAACAATTAATTTGGCACTATCTCACCCATATAATAAGATTTAATTTTTAATAATCAATCTTAATTTTTTACTTAATTCTAAACTCAATTAATCATCAAACACTTATGAAACTTCAACAACACCATCATTCATTAAATTACATCTATGGATAATTATACCTTGCTCAAGTTCTTATATACTTACATATGATTTATTAAATTTACAATTCTATAAAGAATTCTTGTAGAATTACTTTAATTATATTGTATTTAATAATAGTTTATAACTTTAAAGTATTTTATTCAATTCGCATCCTACTTATGGTTACTATTAAATTTATCAAAGTTCTTATGTAATGTGTAAATAAATTACTGCTTGAATACTTACAAGAATAGTGAAAGCTAAAGCATTACTTAAAACTTTCAATCTCACTCTTAAAATTATTGTAATAGCAACAACAAATATAAAAACCTAGAATTACAGAAAAACTCATTTTAAACTAAATGATTGGTATAAGATAGAAATAGAATATTAAAAAGAAAGAATATTAAAATTTATAAAATTAATTTGATTTACTGCAAATGAAAAACCAAAAGTATTATAATGACTATTTTTTGATTAACTTCTCTAAAATAAAACATTCATATGCAAAGTATTACTTCAAAATATATATTATTTTTAATTATTATAAAACAAATACATAATTCTTAATTACCATTCTCATGTGAAAATTCTACTCAAAAAAGACTTAGTATCCCTTTCCCATGCCTATTAAATTATTGCATGTTCAGCTTCTGTAAATTATAAAACAGTTGCAATTACAGGTATCGTTTTTTATTTTACCTTTTGATTAATGGATATAATTACTGAATACTCCTCTGTAAAAAAGCGTATGATTATATTTTTAATATATTGAATATTTGCATTCTTTTAATTCTCTTAGCATAATAGATCAATTTTAATATTCTTTTCTCTCAATTCCTTAGTGAGTTAATCAATGGTATTTTCTAATAATTAGATTTACTATCTACCATTTTCAAAATGCTAGATTTCTGTTTTAAATTATATAAAAAATACTTTGTTCTCTTTCCATCTTTCTTTCTTCTTCAATTTCAAGTAGTCTTTATTTATGCTCCTTGGCTTGCTACTCTATCAAATTAGTTTACTCCTACTATTATTATATTAACTCATAAATTGTTTAATTCAAGGTAATTAAGTGCTATTTAAGAGAATGCAATTATGGACTACAAGACTTAGTTTATATATAAATGTACTTTCAATAACTACAACAATAGCAGTTTAATTTTTGCCTCACAATCTGTGCTTTAATCAACAAGAGTTAAGGAGGTCTCTCTGATTTCTTCAGATTAGTTAACTAATTCATTAATATTGAGTATGATTTCCTATTTATACTTGTCAAATTCGTTTTATAAATCATTAAACAAAGTAAGTATTTCTTATTTTTTCTTATCACTTTAATGACATTCTTACTGCAATATTTTCATTCTCTAATCGTATTGTTATGCAACAACTAAAATATCATCTTTGGATTTAGAATAATCTAGTAATTTGATATCTTCATGCATTTATGAATTTAGCTGTTTATTGAATTCGCTCTCTCTTACCCATTCAATTCCATTATTTTTAATACATATCCATTCAATTTCTTCTACTTTTACTTTGGCTAAAACTCTTTCACACACAATCTTCTTTTCATCTCCCAAATATTTATTGACAATTTATTCTAGATTATCATTCTTTTGTTTTTCATCTTACAATTATTGATTTCTTTCAGCGAGATCTGCTCTCAATTTATCGATAGTTAATTTAGCTTTAATTATTAATTATTTTTGTTATTCAATTTTTTCTTCCATTAATAAATTATGCAATTAACAAATAAAATAGTTATTGGAATAATTATTGCTTCATTTCTACAGTGGTATAATTATTCCTTTTTCATTGGCTTTGTAATTGGATGCTCGGCAATTCTGTGTATTGAGTATAACTATATCATGGATTATCTAAAACAAAAGCATAAGAATTATGAGGTGAGCATCACAAGCTGTAAAATTTTAATATAAATAAAAAGTAAAATAACACGTGGATGAATATTTGCACCCTATTAAATAGAAGAGGAAGCATTACATAAATAAGTTCAATTCAGAATTACAAATTGAAAACCCACAGCCCAAATAAGAAGATAAATAATCTATACAACAAATTTCTGTATAAAAATTATAGAGAAAAAAATTCTTAAAAAGATTAGACATCTACTTAGAGTTCTTTGAAGGGATCAAGGTAACAATCTAAGTTATTGTAGGAATCAGAGCAACAATTTGGTCAATAATTAAATGATTTAGATAGTAAATTGTTGTCAGAAAATGAAATTACCATTGTAGATAAATACACCGAGGAGGGAAATGACATCATATAACAATTGACAGGCATTTAATTGAGCTCTAAATTATACTTGTACTTACCCTAATGGAAAGACTTTAAGAAAGTATTAAAATAAATTAGTCAATGCCATACCGAAGTCTCTTAAGACATGTATAGAGTGAGTCTTCAACTCCACTAACTCAGGAAGGGGTATCTTAAAGATGTGGAAGAGATAAGAAAACAAAGAAAGAAATTGAAACACCAAACAGTTGAGATCTATTAACATTACTAGAAGATTTTAAATGAATTTGTACAAAATGAAAAAGATTTATAAACGTTTACTTAAGCTCATTCAGAAATGCTCAAGAGAAAAGATGATCCTACTCAAATCATTAAAAGCGAAATGAAAGTGAAATTATAAATGCAGTAATCAGATAATATCAGATTGAAATTAACTGATGCCAGGGATAGAATCAAAGAAAATTAAATAGAAATTAATGAGTTTAATTAAAAAATGCAACAATTTCAAGTTAATTACGAAGAATAAAGAGTTATATTTGTAAAATAGGGATTCCAAGCATTCTTAATAACATCTGAGAATTATGCCAGTCAATTTTAAACCTATATCTCCACATTGATAGTCATTATTGATGAAGATTATTGTAATCATATCTCATTAATTCATTAGACCAAATATATCCCTCAAGATAAAATAGGAGTCCAAAATCACCCCAAAAACAAGTGTTGGAAAATCAATAACAAGGTTAACTACTTGAACTTGAAATCAATGAATAAATAAAAGAAATTTAAAGGCAAACAACCTATTAACTCCAACAATGGTAAATAGTCTAAAAGTATAATGAAGAATTGGAATACTTCTTTAGAGATACAATCTAAATATTGAACCAAATGACTATTGATAAGGATTTTTCACTTGTAAAATAGTAAGTAGAACAGGAAAAATAGGATGTATCAAGTGTTTTCAATATACTCTTTTCTAGTTTAGTTAGTGTTATTAAAATAATTAAAGATACTAATAAATAGTTAGTTGATTAGGTCGAAAGGAAGAGATAGGATATAGCTAAATGTAGATTAGATATGTCTATTGGAAAGGAACTTGAGATTTGTGCATTGCGAGAATTAAAAAAATTGCAAAGTCTTAGTACTGATGAAAAAGCACTTGAATAGTATTAAAATGATTAAGTGGATAAATCAAAAACAAAAAAAGCAGCTTAGCATTTTTTTAATGAAATGAAACAAAATATTTCTGATGTAAAATCCTTAAACTTTGGGAAATTTTATGCAACCATAGGATAAACAGTATCTAAGGTCTAAAAGATGAGCAATTTAAAGGAAGATGACTTAAGAGAGTAGTAGGTTAAATTAATGGAAGACAAGAAGGCTTTGATTTAGTTATAAGGATTTACATTAAAAAAAATGGAGGATTTTCTCATAAAACATAGTAAATTAGTAGCCAAAATGAAAAAAACATTAATTGAAGATTTAGGCAGATTTGCTATTTAAATCTTCACTCATCTAAGAATGATAGTTGATGAAAGTAACATTTTTATAACTTATAATAGCAACGGAAAATATCTAGATTATGTAATAAAAAGAAAGCTTAGAAAATTAAACTGAATAATAAGTGTTGTAAAATGAGAAGGAGGATACAACTTGTCAGAATGAAGAAATTGTAGAGGATCTTAATGTGAGTACAACATCTTTGTTACTTTAAAAATTATTAAAAGTCTTAGTGAATGATTGGAAGGAAAGCGAATATTTCAAAGGCAAAATAAAGAAAATGCTACATAAAGCATTCAATAAGAAGAGGGTGACTATGCTGTCAGAAATCACAGTAACTGATTTAAAAATTGCTGGAGATCCTCCATCCTTATCTGAGATAAAAGCATTAAGATAAGATGTTAATGAAGTAATGTTTAGAATCTATCTTAGTTTTTGTGTGATTTGGATTTATCTTTCAGGGGAAAAATCTAAATTGTTTTAAATACAAACATCATTATAAATTGGCCTAAGGAATACTAAGTGCCTGTCGAAATCAAAGTTACTATCTCTACTTTTACTAGTAGGATTAGATTGTGCTTCGTACCCACGTATCTTGGAAAGAGTTGGTATAATCAATTAAGATAAATTTAAGGCTTTCTATGATAGGATAACCAGTAATAAATTTAGATATCGAACCGACTCTCTTGTAGAAGTATAATATTGCCAAAATCCAATAAATTGCTGATTTGATTAGAGAGTTTTTAATTGGAAAGGTAAAGTTAATGACTTACCCGAATAAATTATCAATAAAAATACCTTTGAGTAAGAAATGAATACTGATATTATTTTATAAATTATATAAATTCTAAAGAGTTTCAATTGGAAAAGCATTATTTTTTTTATTTTTTAATTTCTAAAGCTATATTATTATGAAATCACAAATTGTTAACAATTAAAGATATTATTCATGCTAAGATGAAGATGGAAATTCTACAAGGATGCTTAGAAATTCTAACAATTCAGTTAGGATACTTACAGACATTCAATTGTAAACAACTTTAATTATCATTAGGCCCTAATAAATGTCAAAAAGCACTCAAGATGCTTATGAAAAAGGGGAAAGCGAGATGAAGAATAATATCTTTGACAACGTTATTAAGGAGAACATTATTGGATTCTCAATTGATATTTATAATCATTATATCATCCAATGTATTTTAGAAAAAGGACTGAGTGAACACAAAAGCTATGTTTTAAGACAAGTCGTAGAAAATATGGATTTATTTTGCTATCGGAAATATGCCTACAAAATAGTACAGGCATGCTTAACTTAATTCCAAAACAATTAAATCATCTAATACATAATTGATAATATCAAGAGACTATAATTTGATTAATATGGAAATCTCATCATTAGTACACTTTTAGACACTATTCAGAATGATGAATAATTTGCTTAAATAATAAACAAATTATAAATCGATAAAATCAAATATCATCAATATGGTTGTGTAATTTTGATTAATATGGTCACTTGCCCCAAAGCTAACCATGTGGGTCCTATAATCAATAAACTTATCTAAGAAAGCATTCAATTATCAAAATCTTAGTTTTCGAATTATATCATTTAGAAGATGCTAAAAGAAAGAACAATTGAGTAAAATAAGGTTTTAATCAATGAATTCTTGATTCCAAATTTTGTTGAGTTATCATGTAATAAGTTTGGAAGTAATGTTTGTGAAATCATGGTCACTAAATCACTTGCTTATTAACTCTAGAATTTATGGAATTTAGTCATTAAATAGTATGATTTTTATTTATTTTAGGAATCTGAGATCACTTTTGAATAATGAGTATGCAAACTACGTCATGCAAAGATATTATGCTCATATTATGATGTTTAATTACATTCTAGATGAGTTTTAATAATCATTATTTGAAATGAATAAAAAACAATTATTAAACCAGAATGGTAAAATTGTTTATCGATTTGTCAATCAATGTAATCAAGTAGTCCAATAGTATCAATAATATTGAGACTTATGATTCAAAAATTATGATTATTATATAAAAATTATATAATAATTAAAATTACACAAAAAAAAAGAATGAAAGATTTTACTAAATTCGTACTTTGTGCTTTGAGCGGAACAATTTTTGGTCTTCTATATAAATTTAATAGAGAAAAAATTAACAAAAATTAAATTGAATTAGACATTCTTAAAAATTAGAAGAGTGTTAACGTGTCGCAATTGAAGTATATCATTTAAATGAAAAAGGGATTCATTTTCCATAACAGATGATAATCAATTAAGTTTGTTTGTCGAAGGATAGGTAGGATAAAATCAAGAATTATTAAAAAGTACAAATAGCAAACATGTTGGTGTCTTAATTAAGAAATCAAAATATGAGATAGAAACTATAGAAAATAATGGTACGAGTGCACAATAAAGAAGATTAGTTAGCGCAACAATAGATAGTGCATCTTCATTTATTTTATAATCATAACAAAACTCAAAAGAGAATTTACTTATCAAAAACTTTTAAGAGACAATTATTTTACCAAAAGTCTTAAAACATCAAAAAACTGATCAATTCTTAATCCCTCCTGAAGTCAGAACAAATATGAGAGAGCCTAAAACGTAAATCTTATGAGATAATTAGGGATGAAGAAAAAGCAGAATTTAAGGAGGGAAAAATTAAAAAGTTTATAACAACTATTTCAAAAATTGGAGTGGAAATAAAAGAAGACATTCTTTGCGAAGGAACTTTCATGTGTGTTTATGGAAATGTTATTTTTGATAGAACTTACAATACTTTTAGAATAACAGCACCTAAATTTTTTGCCATCAGCAAAGAATAAATTATTGGATATTTTGAAGCCGACTAAAATACATTGAAATTCTTACAGATTTTAATGGCCATTGGAGGAATAGTAATATTTAAATCATATATAGACTTTTTCTATCTTTGCTTTAAAATATTTATATAAGACTTTGTTTACTAATGAAAAAAAATAGAAATTTGAGGTCTAAATAAAAACAATAGAATGATAATTCATCTATCATTGTACAATTATTATAGATTATTAAAATTATTAAATATATTTGAACACTTCTAATTATCTATTCGTAATAGTATAATTTATTCCATTTATAAACTTTTCTTTTTATATTTAAAATGTAAATTTCATTATTCTAATTCTTCTTCCTCTTTAATTGATTGCATTTCTGCTTTTTAAATAATTTTCTTTTTTAATTTTATGCCTGACTTCAAATTTTTCCATTTAATTGCTAATAGTTCTTTATTTCTAGCCAAAAGTTCATCCTCTTTTTCTTAAAAATTCCGAATATTCCTTTGACAAGCAGTAAATTCATTAGATAATTTTCTTAATTATTCAGCTACATTAATTCCATGACTAATCTAAAGTTGTAATTGTGAAAGTAGCTCCAATAATTAATTAAAAAAATGAAGATCTAACGAATTACCTACTTCATGTCTTTGGTTTATGATATTCCTAAGATATAATTAAATGTTACTCTTATATAGCAAATGCTTCTTTTAGATTCTCTTCAAATTTAATATTCTACTTATTAAAATACTTGTTAAGGACCTTATGATTCAAACCATAAAATTGTTAAAATTTTACAATCTCAAGCTACGATTGACTTTACTGTTCTTACTTAGTTAAGGATTTAGTTTCTGCAATAATGCTTTTATATTTCAACCATTTAGTAATTAATTATTTTCCATTCTATTTTATGGACTCAGATTACGCTTAGTAATTTTCCCAGTTTGATAAACATGTGCTATAAATTTGTTAAAGTTCTTGTTCATTTTTTGAATTAATTATATCTAGAGCAACAATTTATAAATCTAAATATTTAGGAATGTATAAGAATTTTTATTGTTTTAAGTATTCTTTTTGTCTAGTCGGTAAATCCTTAACTATAAATAGCTTAAGTTTTTAGTAAAATTTATATTTTGAGTCAAATTCTATTATTTTAGATATTTATTCAATTATCTCTTTAGTTAAAGTAGGTAAATTGACAATAAAAAGAATAAGTAAAATATTACCATAAAATTCATAATGTTCTGAATTGCAATAAGCAAGAAACTATTCCAAAATGTCTAAATACTCTACAACAATTTCATGATTGTTAATTTTAAATATTGGGGCTTCAATCTTCTTTTCTTGCAATCCTTTTACAAATTCAAGAAAAACACAAGGCACTATAATCTTTTGCTTCTCCTCATCTAGAAGTGAAATTAGGATTGCTAGCCCTACTCTAATTAAGTGGTATAGCTGCTCATCTAAAAATAATACATTCTAAAGTTCTGAACTAAATTCAGCAAAGCAACCGAGTAGATCTTCAGTAATATTCTATTCTTAACACTCTAAGAATTCTATATATTTTATATAAGGACTAGTGATGTTTGGTTTCTTCATTTATTCAAGTGTAAAAATAGCCAAAGGAAGATCATTTATGTAATTTAATAAATTTATAGCTAAAACAATTTTGGTATGCTATTTCTTTTCTTAAAACATTTACAACAGAGAAATACTCTCAGCTCTAAGAAATCGCTTAACGCTAGAAGATAGATTTGGATTTCTAATATTAGTTTTAATCAATATCTTGAAAAAGTCTAATTAATGAAGCTATTTTGTTTGGCTTAGAATTGAAGATGTATGTTTATCAATCTCTGTATTTCTAAAACCATTATTGTAGTTTTTAAATTATTTGTTAGGCAGTTGTTTAGGTTTAAATATAAAGGGTAACACATTTTTTTATTTTTATTCTAAATAATATAATTCCTATAGGGATAATAAAGTCTAGCTCATGTATACATTTTGAGTAAATTTAATTTGTTAGTCATTCTAATTCAGGTAATAATCATTCAATTTTTCTGAAATTTTGTAAAATAGAACTGATAGCATTTCAATAAAGGATTTATGAATTGCCTACAAAACTACAGGATATGGTGTCAAAATGTATTCAAATCCAATATCAATAAATTTTATTTACTATTATTCTTACTCTTGAGTATTTTTCTATCTGTCTTTTTACACTTATTGTAAATGGGATATTAAAATAGAAGTCAAATGAACAATGGCAAATTAAGAATAGTGATCCATTATTTCTCCTTGAGGCAATGAGACTTAATATAGGAATGCGAATGAATCAAAGATATTAGAATTTTTAGTAAAATTTTGCATTTAATTAAGAAAGTAAACTTAAATATCAATAAATTAGGTTATATCCTAGTTTACTTCCTTATCTAAAGTTGACATTTTCCTTAAGATTAAATGAGATAGGATTATTGCTTCTAATTACTTCAACTACTAACAATAGTTTAAATTTGAACTCGTGATTTAACTATTTATAATTATATCTTCTTTGATTTGAGGATTCAATTATTAATTGTTTTAGAAATAATTAATAGTAGTTGAAAATAATGGATTGAAGTTTTGACCTCTTGATTAAAGTGCCTCTTAAACATTCTATATGTATTAAGATTTACTAAAGTTAAACTATTCCTCCTCATTAAGTTCTCTCTTTTCTTAAATTTTTGATATAACGCTAATGATATCCGATATACTATTAAAGGATTTACACAAATTGAATGCATGTTCATAATTTAATTGATATATGACAGTCTTCCAATATCCTAAGCCTATCAATTCTTTATAGGATTCAATTCCAAAACTATTTAATGTACTAAGTTTGTCCTCAAATTTAAATTATAAGAATATTGGATTTATAGATTCTAATACATTGTTAATAGCTAACTAGGATACTGCTGCCTATTCTAATATTTACTTTCTATAAAGCTTATTTGCTATAATCTAATAGTTGTTTCTCAAGGGACTTCTTGTTAAAGGAGTGTAGATCGAAGCTGAAGACACTAGATATCTTCCTAAATGCTAAGCCAATTTAAATTAGTTGCAAACATAAATGCACAATTTATAGCTTTTAAATTGTTCTAATAGATCCAATATTATATAGATAGTATCAATATCTATATTATCTAAATCATATAAAAAGTTGATCATGTGATCAAACTCTTTTTCCTCACCTGCTCTATTTGATAGCAATGTAGATTTATAATGTTAATTTTCGATATGATTCTTGAATTCTTCAGAAAAGTATTAAAATTTTTGTATTAACTATTGTAATACATTATTCTTTATGAAAATATTCGATCGAGATTTTAAGAGCGAAACATTAGAAGGTTAATTCAACAATAGAACATTTGAGAATTGTGATTCAACACTGGAGGTAGCAATAGATTTGATTAAGGATTTTTTATTGTTATTCAACCATTCATCTTCAGGGTCATAGATTGATAAATGATCGAAGGATTCTTCATTTTAAACAGAAAACGACTATGAGTCATTTATCTCAATAATTTCTTATTAATCCTATTTTAAAATGCTTACTTGAGATTATTCAAGAGTTTCTTACACATTTTCAATCTAAAATTAATTTGATTCATTTATTATGGAATTCTCAATTTGGAAACTTTGAGATTAATCATTTTCATCTTCTTAAATGAGATTTGCTTCCTCAATTAAATTCTGTTCTTCCATATCTTTTTCCTATTGCTCAATCTAATCAGTCATATCTTTAAGAAAACTTGGAAAAAACTTATTTAAGAAAGCCATCCTCTCATCTATTGGAAATTCATTTCTATGTAAGTTTAATAGGTCAAATATTCTGTCCAATTTATCTGCTTTCCTATAACAATCAAGTGCTCTTCTAAGGTCATTCATTTAATAAAATAAATCACCAGCCTCCTCAAAATAGCCTGCAAAATATGCAGATTCAGCGATTTCGTTTTTACAATCAGTCTGTTTGTACAATTCATAAGCCTTCGCATAGTCTTTGCCTGAGAAGTAACATTATGCTCCCCTTAATTTTAAATTGATTTCCTCAAACAAACGTCCTGCTGCAACATAATTAGCATAATTCTCTTTAAATATGTTAGCTTAAGTTGCCAAAAAATACGCCCTAGACTTCTTGGCTAGTTCCTCATCACCAGAAAATTGAAAGCATTTTGCTGCTTGATCATAATTATTGAGTCTAAACATTTTGTATCCTTATTTTTTCCAATTAGCCTTATTATCTAATTTGTGTTCAAGAATAAACTAAGTGTCAGAAACCTAAATACTCCTTTTCTAAAAAATTTCAACAACATCTAATTTTTACCAAAGCGATTGCATTATCTGTCTTTTTTGATTTGATTGGTCAAATATTATTAATTTTCTCTTAGGTCTTGTAATAGCAACATACAGTTATTTCAAGTCCTAACACAAAGATACATTTTCTTAATTAGACTCCTTGTAGACTGTATAATTTCTTGATGTTGCCCAATCGCTTAATTTGAGTTATTTTATTTCTATCAATTTATTATAAGCATTTAAATCTGCTGCTATTATCTCAGTTTGATGAACTATTTTATATACAAAGTTATAATACTTGTTTAGTAGTTTCTAAATTGCTCTTATGTCATGTAGTTTGATTACACTTCTAACTCATTCAATGATTTCCAATCTTCAATAGAAGTAGTACAATCATTGAAAAAATTGAATAAAATTACATCATCAAATTCTAAGCCTTTCGCTTCATATATTGTAAGTACCAAAGCATTTTAAAGTTCTTAAGGTAATTTATCTTTCGATTCTTAATCCTTTACTATAATGGCCTGATTACATCCGAATTCTACAGTTTTTCTTTCATTTGTGAAAAACTCTTAAATATATGACAACAAATCTTGGGGATCTTCTGTTTACAAGACAATTGGCTTAGGTCCAGTTAAATCGGATGTTTCCTTCTTCAATCTATCTATTTTGTATGGGAAGTAAAGCTCTAAGACTCTTATAACAGAGTTGGCTAATTATAATATTTAATTGTGAGATCTAAAATTAATATTGAGATCAAACAACTTTAGGTTTGTCTTCCTTTTCCTTTGATTACCTCTATAATTTGATAAACAGTTTTAAACTTCAAAAAATTTAAAGCCTATTCCCTTAGCAATATTTTAAGCATTGTCTCCACAACAAAATAATCCAAACTCTGCCATCCTGTCTAAAAGGACTAGAACAGCTCTTGGCACATCTTGAAGTTCATCTAACATTAAGTAATGCACACATTCAATCACATCATTACCTTAAGTCAACTCATAATTAATATGATTAACAATATCCAATAAATCATAATAACCATAACTTTGTTTTAATCTCTCATAGGTTTCAAATGCCTTATAAAGTAAATTCGTTTATGCCAATGACAAAACTCTATAATAATAAGAATAATTCTCATAATTCATATATTTATTAGGATATTCATGTGAAGTTTCATGACCTTTTATTTTTGTACAGATTTCACTCCATACCAAAGTTGGATCAAAAGTAGAGACTTCTATGTTTTCCTACCTCAACAATTTCACGATTTTAGGCCAAAAGACTCTCTCGAAAACCTCAAGAGTAACTTCTTGCAAATTCGTTTCAATGAATTCCTAGTTATCAATGAGGTTTATCTGTTTATGGAGAAGTTCTTCATTAAATGCTTAAGAAACTTAATTTTGATCCAGTGACATAATACCAAAGGACTCATTATGCCATTGAGATGACTTAGTTTGATATCCACCATAAATTTTAAAAAAAGAATTGAGGAGTGAAGAATCAATAAGGGCCAACAATTTCCTCAAAGTCAAGAAGACAGGATATTGTTTAATTTCGCTAAATTTATTAAATTTACCCATTTCCTTCTCAAATTCACTAATATCTTCATCTTCTATTTCTTAATCTTTCTAAACTTCCTATTATTAATTATCAATGATCTCGTTTTCATTTTATTATAATGCCTCAATTATTTAAAAAGTACTCTATTCGAGATCTATGTTTTCGGATTATTCGTTGTTTTATGAAACCTTTGTTTATCTTTATCTTTTTGTATTTATCACATTTTAGATGTTATTCACTAATTATTCATAAAGTCTTTTAACTTAGCAAGCCAATAATGGACTGGCTGTTACAAATATTGTTTTTAATTATGTATTTTAATCTTATTAAGATAATAGAATATCGGAATTTTAATTTTTTATTTTATCTAAGTTGATTCTTAATTTATATAGAATATCGGTTGAAAATAGTTTTAATAGTGCACATGTTGTCTTGCCTGTTCCACTCCTACCAATCACTAAAGCATCCCCTCCATATGAAATAACATTTTCTTACTCTTACGTTAGTTTCACTTTAAAATTCGGTATGTTCTTTATTATAGTTAACAATTATTATGAAGATGGTAAGTTACAATATTTTTAAATAGTATAATTATGTGATCTTATTTCTTCGTATTATTGTAATTTCTTATAATACTTTTCCTCATCTCCTAACGTCATCCAGAGGTTTAGCTTTTTATTATAGATAAATTAATCGTCTGAGCAAATTAATGGTTTAAATATTCTTGGTCCTATTAAATCTCCTTTCATTTCACCAATCCTAGAGTATTTATACTATTTTTTATCAAAATTCCCTTCTTATATATACTTCATATCACTAAAAAAATTGGGTATACTCTACTGTGTTTTGAGATAGTTTTCATATTATAATTGATGCTTTTAAGATGATTTCCCATTATCACTTAAATCAACAAATATCATTTCATGAACATAGTCAAATTACTTTGGATGCTATTAACCATTCATTAGGGGGTATTTCTTTGGAAAAATTTAAAGCTCAATAAGAACAATTTGATTTTCAAGTTGAAATTTTACCTCATAATCATATTGAAATGGATATTTGATACTACCCACATTTTATCCATTTATCTAAAAACATGGAGCATCTTAAGAATAGAATCTTCCTTAGGCTAAGACTTTAATTAGAGTAACTATCCTCATTAAATCATCTTCCTTTATAGTTTGCAACCTTTATAGGAACTGCTCTTATTTAATAACTTAATTTACTTGTAAAGGATAAATCCCATATTCTTGAGGGGAATAAAGTACTAAGTGGGATTTATTATAAATATTTAGTTAATTCGTCTTCTCCAGCATATGTCAATCCCATGTAGCGATGTTCGTTCTGATCCTACAAAATTTATAAATATTTTAGAATAATTGATCTTGCATTTAACCTCTCATCAAGATTCTCAATTATACTGTTTTAAATCAAATATATAGAAGAAGCTAACTATGTTTTCTCTTATTTAAACCAATCCAATTAACTCTCCCTAACCTTATCCTTAAGTTTGTTTTTTTCCGACTTTTTTTTCATTTAATTCTTTAATTCTTTAATAATTAAGTTGTTATAAATTTTTATATTAATGCTTTCTTCATTAGCACCATAAAATCAATTCAATTAATCTTGAGAGTAATATATATAGTTTTATAAACAAATTAAATTTCATTTAATGAAAGAGAATAATTCTGCTGCCATGGATCCTTTAGCAAATTCGATATTGTTACTTAAGGCACTACTTATTAAGGCTTTTTCCTTTATTTTTTGTTTTCCAAGATATTTGATGATTTCAATAGCCTAAATTTCGTTGATTGGTTTGATAAAGCTGAAAAAGTCAATTAGTTCAATTGGAATAGGATTTAATCCTCTGTTTCTAAAAATTATGTTTTCATCTCTTTATTCAATACTTGATTAAATGACATTTTTAATTGAATCATATTTCTTGCAAATTCTAACTATTTCATCTTCTTACTCATTCAAGATATTTGATTCTGGAATTTATGATTAGATTAGACTTTAAACCTTGACTTCCTAATTTCCTTATTCTACTTAATGATTTTCCTCAAATACACAATTAGAAATATCTTGATAATTGATTGCAGCACTTCCTCCTTATTACGTACTTTCACTTATTAACATTATATTACTGAATTACTTTTCTGACTTCAACCATTTAATCATTTTAATTAGGATTTATTCAGAATTCTTTTATAAAAAGTCATCAAACTAGAAGTATTTGGAATTCAATTGTAATTAGAATGAGTCCTCAAATCTGATGGGTTAAGGTATGATTTCTGAATTTGAGTATTATTCAATGAGTTTTTTCTATTCAACTTAGGAAAGCAATTTGAAATTTTCTTGAATTTTCTCTTCGCTATACTCAAAGAAAAGACCATCCAAGTAGTTCTCGCAAATCCACAATGGTAAAGCCGATTTAAGGAATATATTATCTTTTTCCCATTTTTCAAAAAATACCAATAAATCCCCTTTTGACTCGAAATATAGATTATTCATAAATTCCTTGGAGTCTAGTTGGATGAATTAAATAATATCTTTGAGTTATTCTGAAAATTAAAAGTCACTTCTTCCGATCCATTGTAAGTTAGCAACGTCGATATTGATATCAATCATTGCATTAAATAATTGATTAAATGGAATTTATGATTAATTATTGGATCTTCTGGCTAATTTAAATTCATCAAGTATGAAATCGACATCTAATTATACAACCATGGATCCCCATAGTTTGGCTCCAATTATTTCAATTTTTAATTCTGGAGACAACTTATAAAACTTCTCATCGAAACTTTTGTTGATTGGACTCAAATCATAATCTGGATCCTTAGAAAATTTAATTAAATGATTTTAATAGTGTTCCCAAATCAACACGTAAATCTAGCTCTAAACTAATTTATTGTTTCTTAGTTCCTTTAGAATCTAATTTGCTAGATTGCAATAACTCTTAAGTCCTTGGAATAGTAATAATAATGAATTTTCATATTCTCCTTCGTAATTGGGTTTAAATTTCTCAAAATTCATCAATCTAAAGTTTCTAACAAAATCTGGATCTATTTTCTAAATTTGGATTTATTTATTTAATTTGTTAGCAATTAAAGAGCATTAAAAAACTGAACTTATATTGTTGAGTAGAATGTCTTCAAATTGTAGTATTTACGGTGGAATGGACTTACTCAGAATTTTTATCACTTTCTTTCTATAAAATATTGTATATTTAAGTTACCTGTTTTTTTCAAAGTGAGATGGAAATTTTATAAAAATTTCTTTCAGTTAGTTTAGTATTTTAGCATCTGCATACAGCTCAATGTCTTCTATTAGTAATTTTAAGCAACTAAGCAATGATTTTTATCTGTTGGATTAAGCTCCTCCCATTTATTTTATTAATGAAATATTTCATTCCAATTCAGAAGTCGATTTGTCAATTTATAGAATAGCTAATTAAATATAGAATGTAATATATAAATAAGAGTGATTAATATTATTGCTCTCTTCATTATTATTCTTATGTATTGAAGTTCTAATTGAGTATAAATTTAAAGAATTTGAAATTGGAATAGTCTCTGACAAGAATTTATAAAAATTTGACAAATGAATATAATAAGTTAAATAATTTATGTTATCTGGAACAATATCAAGTTCTTATTATCTCTTCTAATATTTGTCCATTGTATAAAAGCTTAGATTAGTTAAACTAGTTATTTACCTCCAATTTTATAATTTTAATCTTCATTAGAATTAAAAATAATTGATTATCTCGTTTCTAATTATGATGAAAATAATAATATTAAATAGTATATGTTAATGATATGAATACATGTCAAGTTAGGATGTTATTTTATTTTTTGGAGTAATTTATATTTTCTATATTAGTTTTAATCACCTTTTTCAAAGAATCTTAGAGCTAGTTAATTCTTTCTTGTTCCTCTGTCAACCTGATTTTAGCAGAACGAAAAAAGGAAATACTATTTCTCTCAGCACTTTTACAAATACTACTTTCATCCATATCCAACAGACTTGTTATTGCAGAGTCATTCTGAACTTACCAAATTTAATCTTATTTAAAGAAAACAGATCTTTTATTCTTTTATAAATTAATAAATTATATACCGAGTTATCAGATCTTACTGGAGAAAACAGAGCATTCAATTCCATCAGTATTCTTGAACGCCTCTATATTTTTTCGGTAGCTTCTTATTTTAATTTCTTTTTTTTATTCCCAGTTGATTTTTACTCTAAATAAAATTATTTAATATATTTCCTAGGCACTATGTCATCAAAGGCTTCTAATTCAGTAACTAAAGATTTAATTGAGGGAGGCTGGTATTTTTCAAAGTAATCAGCCAATTCATAATAAATTTCATTATGTCTTCTCAATTAGTAAATGGGAGTGTTGTATTTTCTATTGTCATCTCTCGTCAACGATCTCAATTTCATTATTAATTCCTATCTTGACAGTTCAGTGAAGTTGCATCTTTCTACAGTTTTTCGATGAGTCTCAGCTAAACTATTGTACAACTAGTACAAATCTTCATTGGGCTGTTATCTCAAGCCTAAATTAATATCTTTACTTATTCTTTCATACTCCCCTTAATCTTTCAATTTGATTTTCCCATCCAGTTGCCAACCTTAATATTATTTGATTGGGTCATAATGTTATTTGAATATTTTATAACCCGGGGGTCCAAAGTCATTTTGAGTAGTATCCAATTTGCAATGCTGAGTCTAACAATATTTGAGTGCCTTTTTCTTATCTAACCCAGCCCTTCTTAATTTGGCGAAGACAGTAGCATTTTCATAGTTTTCTTCAGTAAACTTACTTCGAGGATTAAACCTCTGACAATCCTTAAAGAGACCATTTGTTAATTTGTTCTGCTTTTCGAATGGAGATGATCTATATGTTGTTTCTCTCATAATAATATATAAAAAAATATAATTAGACATAATCATGAATTTAAGAAATCTTTACCAAACAAAGTTCCATCAAATTTACAATTTATCCGACCAATAACTTTTGTGACTAATTTATCAAGCTTTTATTAAAATTATTAATTTTTTCTTTATTCTTCAAATGGTTAAAATTTAGAAAACCGATGGCTTAATACACTGCATCTTTTTTTGGCAGTTGCACTTCCTTCATCAGTAAAAATTTGTTCTTTCGATAAACCAATATTTGGAAACTCCTAACGTTGTCTTTCATCATCAACTTTGGGATTGAACTACTCTAACATCTTCATAGCTATCCAATAATACAATTTCAATGGAAGGATCGTTTGGACTTCCCGCTTCTCTGTAAGTCTCAATCAACTCATGTAATGCTTTTAATCTTGACTTCAATCCCTTCTCTTCATCTGTTCTTTTTAGAGCTGGTCTCTACACTCTGGGTTCTATTCTGAATTGTTCTCTTATTTATTTTGGAATAATATCATCAAATGATTCGGTGTCAGTTATTAATGTCCTAGACAATGGCTTTATTTGCTCGTAATAGTCTGCTAATTCAAAGTAATGATCTTTTCCATTTCCCATTTGAAATTAAGGAAGCTTTACTTATTTACTGGAATTACTTAAGCCTAAGAAATAGTTCTTTAGCCTTTCAAATTTTTTCTATTCTTCTTAATTTCGATATTGCATCAACCCATCGTCTCCCTTAGCCTTTTGAAACTTCTCAGAACTGCTCTCCTTCAATTTTCCAACCATTTGCCAACCCCTAATTATTTTTTATTTATCAAGTGAGGTTGAAAATATTTTATAATTCGGAGGTCCATGTTTACATTGTGAAGCATCAAATTTACAGTGATCAGCCAAACAATACTTCAATGCCTTATCCCTCACCAATCCAAATCGTCGAAGTTTTGAATACATCATAGCATCTTCCTCATTAGGTTACGGTGATCTCTCTTTGGGCTAAAACCTTATGCATTATCTAAACAATCCTATTTCCCTTGGAGAATTAGATTAATTATTGAATCTAACTTGTTTCATTTATCAAAATTTATAATCATTATCTATACTCAAATCTATTTTATATAAGGCATCAGTCGAGACCCCTCCTCCCTACTTCTAGTGAATACAAAATACTAAAACTATTTTAAATATAATGAAAATTAATTTGTAACCTAATGAATTAATCCAAATCCTAATTTAATTAGTTATAAATTTTGCAAGTGGTTTTTTAGGTTTATTTTTAAGATTCAACTATTAATAAACCTGGTTAGCAACATTATACTCTTATCGCCTGATATACATTCAATAATTAAATTTTTATTGAGAACCTTATTCTTTTTGATGCCAAACTTTATTTAAACCCCTGATATAATTATCAAATTTAATGAACTATCTCTTAATATTAAAATATATTTAAATCAATGTAATTCTGTAGACATTTAAATCATTTCAATTTATTAGCTTGAAAATTTGACGACTTCAAATATTGGGTTATAACTTATTGAATATTCTATAGATTGAATTTCTTTCGTATCATAACATCATTATAACGATTATTTCATTTTTTTACTAAAAATTCAATAAATTCGTTTTAAGAAATTTTGCCATCTTTATATTATTCTTAAATTGTTAAAATCTCCTTCAAAAAATTGCTATCAAATCATTTGATTATTTTCTAAACCTCATTTTAGTTAGTTAACCATTGCAATTCGAAAAAATAAAATTGATTCTTCTGAAATCAGAAATGCTTATCAAATCTCCATTAGTTAATTAAATACAGCATTCTATAACACATCTTTTATATGCTGAATTTATTAGTATACCGAAAATGTTAACATAACATAATATAAAGGTGATAAATTTATATTACTTCAAATTTATTAGGCTAACCAGAAGGATAAATTATTAATATTAAATACACATCTTAAGTTCTAAGTTCTTAATTTATCTATTCAAACCATTTTATTTTTTATAAATAGATAAATAGTTGTATTAATTTTTGATTTGACATATTATTTTAAATGAAGTTAAATATGAATAGGTCATTAGAATTAAAGAGAAGAGTGGAATGATAATAAGATAATAAGTGATATGATTTCGTTTGTTTAATTAAAAATGGAAGGTGCGAGGGTTTCCCCTCACTAGCAGAAATTGAGCGATAAAGCCTTTCCAAACGGAAAGTTTTGGAGCCTCACTGACGCCGGTTGTGCGATGGCCAGCTTAACCCCACACTGCTAATCTGTATGATCATCAGCAGTGCTCGCCAGGTAAGTGAATTTAGTAAACTAAGAAAATGACTTATATAGTTTATATAAAAATGAAATTTTATGGGTTTGATATAATTAATTATAAAGGAGGTGAATAAGTAAATTATGCTAAAATGGATTGTAATAATTAGGTTATTAAATATGAACACTTGAGAGTTAATTATTATTTTCCAGAACAACAATGTAAAATTCGTAGAGATTCTTCCAAATGAGACAGATGACCAAAGCAATGGACAGTTGTTTTGAGGATGAAATGTTTCAGATCAAACAACTGATTTCGCAATTAAGATAATCAGATGTCAACTTCTATGATCAAAGATTGTAATATGATACTCAGATCTTACAAGAATGGGAAATATTCAAAGAGAGCTAAATAAAAAAAATAATACATGAAACAATGAATTCCTCAAGTCCTGACTTCAAGATTTGTCTATGTGAATTTGCATAGAATAGACGATTGTCAATTGAGATTTGGATTAAAGTGGCTTATGATGTATTTTACGATGAATTAGATGGAAATGAATTGAGAATGAAATTTTGGACTTACTTTAAGAAAAAGTACTTCACTTTGAGAGATGAGTTGATGACAAAGGAATGGCCAGATCAATGGAAATATGTCGAGGATGAACCATGCCTATGTTTGGATATAATTAAGGTGTATGAACAATACTTGCCAATCAGGATGTTGATAGCCCAAAATTTGAATGAATTGGCTCCCAATTATTTATATGTTGATGTCAGACGAATGCCTAATCTAATTGAAGACAATGGATTATATTTAGAATGTACAAGGAAAACATGGTTTCCCAATTTATAGATGTTGTCATGTGATTAATTAGAAAAGGTGTATTACTCAAATACTGTATTCAGTCATCAAATCTTAAGATTCGTAGTCGTAATTAAAAAGATTGTAATGCCCATCTTGGCATACTTCTAGGAAAGGGCTGAGGCTGGTAATGTAATAAATATCTATGGAGAATAACATGAATTCATGTTTGAGATACTTCAATCTCTCAAGGCTTTAAGTGGTTTGGCTATCAGAACTGCTGATGCTACTTTGAGAGTGTAAAAATCATTCAAATAAGGGTCTGTAGATTCTAGAACCAAAGAGGATGTTTGCAAGGTGATCATTTCCACTTTGTCATAGCATGATGTAAATTAGGAGATTTTGCAGGATATCTACGATAATTTGTGTTAAGGTTATACGACCTTCTATTCTGATGTTTATAAGCATATCAAACCCTATCCGAAATTGATTATTATGGTAAGTGAACGAAAATTGTCATTCAAAATGTCAAGGGCTGACGATATCTAATATCATCAGATCCCAGATCAAATGATTTCGGATTTACTAAAAACAATTGACTATCAATTTCTTGTTTATTATGTTAATTTATGTTTTAATAAAGTGATGACCCTATAATAAAGATCCGGATAAAGGAAACCCTTTTTTTAAATCATGATGTTGATGTGGTCATATGCAGTGCCTTTGTTTTTTAAAAACGTTAAGCCTGATTTATCAGATGCCAAAATATTTGAATAGATGGAAGCCTATGAGAAACTGATTGAGTAAGAAAATATCACTATTGACTTGTCTGATAATGAATTAAAGTAGTAATTTAATGAGGACGAGGAAGATTCAAAAGGATCTGAGAGTCAGGAATCTGAAATACAGGGAGACAACATGGAAATCACCAATCTAGGGAAGGTTGTCAAGAAAATTAGATTTTATTGATTGACCAAAATAATATTAATTAATAAATATATATAATTATAATTTTAATGAAATCTATATCATAATAGACAAGGTCATTGATACAGAAACAATAGGAGTTTGGATTAATAGATTCCAGGATTTCCTAATTAAAATAATAATTATAATTGCAAGAATCAAATAATCACATCATCGAATTCAAAGTTAATAAAATCTTGGAAACCAAATAAAACACATCCAAAGATTAATCTGATGTATTATCTGTACATTATTTATTTAGTATAGTAGAAGATTAGAGAATCTGAATTATGAATAACAAAACAGAAACAGTAAAATTAAGTTATTGAAACATCTTAATGAGGAAGATTCATTTAGAAGAAAAAGAGACTTGGATGAGGAGAAACGACTTGAATAAGAAGTAATGAAGGAACGATCAATGCTCTATTAATTGCAATATAAACATAGTTAGAATGAAGAACTTTAACTTAAATAGTAGCAGTTTTAAAAGGTTGATTTGTTTCATTATTATCATAGATTTAAGAATAGAAGTTCAGAATGAAATAAAAATTAGATTTGAAAAGAATTGAAAAAATCGAAAATGTTAGAAACTGCCAAATAAAGAAGAAGGCGGAACTTTCAGTTAAATTCGACTTATAATAATAAGAGTACTAATTAAAAATACAAGAAGAATAATAGTTATTAAAGTATATATTATTCATTAGAATATAGAAAAGTGTCATTCTCTTAATTAAAATTCTAAGCTCTTAAAGATGACCTTGATTTAGCATAGAAGATATCCATAAGAGATTACGCAAATTCGGCAACAAATCAGGGTTTTATCAAACAACCATTTGATTAAACTAAGATCAAAAAAGCCATTCTGACTAGTCCTTATGCTTAGATACCATCCATTCTAAATCAAAAGTATGCTCTTCTATTTATATAGGGATTTAGATAAGTTAAACCTACTATCAAAATTATTGAAACCTTCTTTCAAAGATCAATAATAAACGACTGAAAGGTTAAACCAGAAAACCAACTAAACTCATTTCCATACCTAAATATCAGACAGAACTCATACCAAAGGGAATTCATCTAAATTCGATACTGAAACTAGTTAAACTCTAAAAAATAAATTTCAATCTGTTTAAGATCAAAATGCTAAGTTAGATACTCAAGGTAAAGGCTCACTTAATTGTAATGATAATTTGGATTCGTAAAAACTCTTGAAATCTGAGAGTAAACTTCCTCTTTAAGAGAATCATAATGAAGAAGAAGAAAATAAAGAAAATCAATAAAAAGATAATTATGAATAAGAAGCTTCTTATGAAGATAATTACGAGGACGATAATTAACCCTCTTAACAAGATCAGGATGAATAACATGATTAGGATTAAGAATAATAAAATTAGGAATAATAAAATGAAGAAGAATTTAATGATGAAGAGCAGTATCCAGCAGATAATGATGAAGAATAATGATTGTAATCTATTTATGTTTTTAAAATGCGTACTGAATTTAGTACTAAGATTGATTTTAATGGGCTTATAATTATTATTACTTATTTACTTAATGTTTATATAAATTAATTAAAAACCTAAATAAAATGGGATGTGTATTCTAAAAACAGAAAAAATTCGAAACAAGAAGCAAGCGTTACTCAACAAATGCAAATACATGTAGTATCTCTTTTTTCATATTGTTTAGTCACACCAGATACAAAACAAAGTTTAGAAGTTTATAATCCAACTCTTCGTAAGAATGTATAAGTTCCGATACTTGTACCTGCTTCAAAAAGCAATATTATGAAAAGAAGAAGTACATAAATCACTACAGGAATGTGAAAAAACTAGATATTTTGATTTTATATATTCTTTTGTATTAGAAGTTTATTGAACTCATTCTTTAAATTTGCATCCATCCTCCTAAGATATAAGGTTAAACTCAATCGATTTATAATAATATGCCAAATGCATAAACAATCATAAAGTCTTATTCCTGGTTATTATTTAAGAACAAATAAAACTTAAATAACTTAGTAACTGTCTTAATGTGAAATATTATTAACCTAGTAACAAGAATTACTTACTTTATACTTGAATTAAAATGGAATAATCACTATTAAATCGAAATGTAGCAGAATTATTTCTCCATCTGAATATAATCAAATGCCTAGTTCTCAAATGCCCATTCTCTATGTTCGGAAGCATACATTATAATAAAAATTGTTTATATAAAGGGCTATCAATACAAAATCATTGAAATTTCTTTTCAATTGTAAAAAAGGCAAATTCCCCTATCAAACTCTTCATCAGTTTTGGAATTTAAAGAAGAATAGATGTTATTTAATTAAGTAAAGAAAAAATGAAGATTAATTCACTAATTCATTTTTTAAAATAAATCGAATAAATTTTTGATAATTTATTAAATATTATTTAAATAATAAAGTTAAAATCCATAATTTGAACTAATTTAATTATATATTACACAAAAGACTTCAAAAATATATCTCCTCTATTTAATTTATGGATACAATCATATAAAATAAATTAATTTACTAAATATACTAAACAAGAATCATTTTATTAGTGATAATTTTTAATTTAGAAAACTGCAATATTCTTTCAGTTAATTTGCTTCAAACCTTGCACACTTTTTAATGAAAAATTCAACCTATTTTAACAGGTCTGTTAAATTGGGATTTTATTCATGCTTTTTGCAATAGAATATTAGAAATTAGAGTATCTATTCATAAATCTTTAAAGAATTCGAATTCTCCTCCTATTCAAATACTAGGTATTGTTTTAGAAACTATTAAATGCTTTTTAATTAAAAGAACCCTGAACAACTATCATATATGAATAATTCTTTAATGATCATCCAGATATATAATTTTGAGATCTGATTGTCTTGAGTTAAAATGAATTCAAACGATTTTCTTTACTCAAAAAATATAGTGCCTAAAGTATCTACCACCTTTACATTGGGATCATCATTCATTCCAAATACAGATTTAGGATTGCATTCCTGCAATTCCTATTTGGCTAGGATTGGTATGCTATAGTAAAAACATTGAAATGCTTGGAAATGAACTTATGAATGATGGAAAAACTAAGTTAAGGACAATGCTATCTGTCTTAATATTGTAACGATATTATTATTCAATGAAGGATTTATCCATTGTTTGAAAAATAGAATCAGAAATTGCAGATACTTTTGGGTAAACAAAATATCAGATTTTAAGTAGTACTTATCATAGATTTAATATATTGTCTTCAAAACTTAATAGATGATATCTAAGCCTTAATTATATCCATCGAATTTAGAGTAGATATGCAAAATAGTCTGTAAGGAATTGCCTTAATCAACTTGAAGGTTGGACTCTTAAATCTTTTGAATATTCCTATAGAGAATTGAGGCAATGTGATCATATATGTTAAATTGTTTGATGTAGTTCTAACTTATTTCTGTAATCAAGACTGTAGATTGGCTGTTCTAACACATCAAATAATCTAAATATAGGACTTATAGAAATTGATCATCTTTCTCTTCAATCCCTTGGTAAATTAGATTGCTATATATAATTAACTAAGATTAAAATATAGTGTTGTACGGAGCATTTTAATTGAAAATGAGCATGCTGAACTACTTTATCATATTTTTGAAATAATGTGAATCATGTTTGCAAGTTGAGGAAATGTTGTTTAGAATAAATAGGATGGATGAAGTATATAAAATCTAAGTGATTTATATTTTGATAATTTATGAGTCATCAACAATTATAGTTTAGATTAATTTATTCAGTTGTTTTTCTAATTTATTTTCTAAATATGCATTGATTATTTCATTTTCGTTTAAATTATTGAGAAGACTGATAATCTCATTTAAGATACTTTATTCATTATTTAGAATAGGCATCAACTCAAGATTCAGTTTGTTTATAGTGTTCTTAATGGATAAATTTAGATTTGAACTAAGAGTTGTAATCTATTAATCAACTGATACTACAATTTGATTCCATTTATATTACAATCCTTAAAGCAAATACTTAATAATTTTTTCACTAATTTAGACATATTATAATTAATTCTAGTGTTTCTTCTAGAATTCAACAATGATGTAAATCAACCATTTAATTTTTCTGATTATTGCAATAGTTTATGATGTGTCTACTTCATTTTACAAAGAATGGAATCGTTTTAATTCGAATTCTAAGTCTTCTTCTAATTCATTATAGATTCGTAATTGCTATGATTCATTCATCTAAATGATAAGCTTTGAAAAATCTTGAATATTTTGACCCTCATTGAATCGAAAGTATAGATTAATCAATTAAATTTGAGTGGGAATATGAAAGTATTGTCCGCCATTAGGATATTAGAAAATCTTAGAGATCAATTAAGAATAGCATTTATTGAGTTTGGGTGTAGGTAGATGAGTGACGAAGAGACAAAAATTTTGCAATTCTTCGTTCACTTTTTATTATACTAAATAATTTTAGTTTTCTTCATATTTTAATGAAGCAACATTAAAGTTTAACTGTTGATATTGGCTTTAAGTATTGGAAACAATAAAGGATAGGATTCTTTCAAAAAGCAGCAGTCCATTCTCTTGGATTACTCCTCTACTATACTTTAATAGACATGCCAAGATTTTGATGAATAATTGAGGATATGCTATTTGGAGAGCTTTTTGATTTTCAATAAGGAGTGAAATTAACTGCAAAATGTCAGGAATAAAAGTTTGATTGACTTTTGCTAATAAATTGATTAAGGTGCTCAAGATCGAGATGGTGCATTGTAATTGATCAATGTATTATTGTTTGGGGATATTCTACAGGATTTTGAGCATTTGAGAAGTGTAATATTCATCATAGAGTTCAATTTGTTTGGTCAATTTTTTGGTAATTTCAATGAGGATAGATGTATAGTGTTCTTGCTTTAGGGGCAATTATGATTAAAGAGCAAGTAAAATGGATGAATAGGCAGAGTCTAAATTGGAATCTTGTTGTTTGATAGTGATGATGGACTGTAGCAAATTTTTGGCTATTTAGTATTAGTTGTCCATAATTTAATTGATAAATTTTATAATATAATCAAGAACTTAAATCGCAGGTTTAAAGATGGGTAAAATAATTCTAGAGTATTTGGATGGAAATCGAATTTATGTATGCACAAAATGCCATATACATTTATCAAATTACGAGAGTAGAATATCGAAGGTAAGATTATAAAATGGATTCTAGAATTTCAGAGGTGGAACTGGTTAGGCATTCTTGTTTGATTATGGGTACTTTATTATTCAAATAAAGTATCAATTATCATGTTGGAGTTCCTGAGGACAAGGATTTGATGACTGGAAAGCATACAGTGCAAGATCTGATTTGCAATGGTTGTAACTAGGTGATTGGGTGGAAATATGTATAGATGATTGAATTAATTCATCATTTAGATCAAAGCACATCGAGAATCAGAGAAATACAAGGAGGGGAAGATAATTATAGAAAGACATTACATAAAAAGAATTAAATGGAACTGAATCTATCTATATATATAATATATATTATTATAACATAGTAAAGATCCCTTTTAAGTCCAAGTGAAAAAGAGATAAAATAATCTAATAATAGTCTGTTGATTAATTTATATATAATTAAAAATTACGTTAAAAGAGGATGTTTCAGAAGATGTTGAATCAGCAAATGAAGAATTAAGTAGGGTCTCTAAATCAATAAAAGTAGGAAGACATGAATCGGAGAGTGGTGACAGAAATTGAAGATGTGGATCAGGAGATGAAAACGATGCAAGACATCACAAATTTAAAAGGTCATTTGAAGATGAATCAAATAGTCAAATCATCCTTCAGGAAAAATAAGGATGAAACTACTCCATCCATCTACATCGGTAAATTCGAGAATCAATTAAAATAAATACAACAATCGACAATCAAAAAATAAGGACGCAAACCACTCTCCATTGAAAAGAACAGCACTAAATCAGTGTTGATGCCAGCATCCACCGAAAGATATGATTACTCAAATTTCACCTATATAAACCTCAAAGTTGTTGGAAGTGGCTCATTTGGAGTTGTACACAAAGTATACCAATTTTCAATAAAAGGCTAAAGTAAATGAGACTGGAGAAATTGTGGCCATCAAGAAGGTTCTGCAAGATCGCAGATACAAAAATAGAGAATTATAGATCCTATAAGAATTAGATCATGTCAATGTACTCAAAATGAAACATGCCTTCTACACTCCTGCTGATAACAAGGATGAAAACTACCTTAATGTTGTAATGGAGTACTTCTCTGACACACTTTACTCATTCAACAAATCATACATCAAGGACTTCAAAAGAATGCCTGATATCCTAGTCAAACTGTTTAGTTACTAATTATTAAGATCGATTGCGTACTCCCTATTTATATATTCTTAGATATATTTCATTATTGGGAATATGTCATCGAGATATCAAACCCCATAATGTTTTAGTTAATCCAGAAACCAATAAATTATAGTTATGTGATTTTGGGAGTGCCAAAAAATTAGTTAAAGGAGAACCTAATATAGCCTACATTTGTTCCAGATGCTACAGAGCTCCTGAATTGATATTTGGAGCAACAGATTATGACACTCAAATTGATGTTTGGTCTGTAGGCTGTGTCATAGCTGAACTTATTAATGGAGAACCGTTGTTTTTGGGAGAGTCTGCTGTTGATTAAATGGTTGAGATTGTCAAAGTACTTGGAACACCAACAAGTGAACAAATACTAAGCATGAATAAAAACTATGATATAAAATCTAATTAATTGGCTAAGATCAAACAAAGAGATTGGAAAAAAGTATATTCTTTAATTTTAATTAAGGTTCTTAAAACTAAAGATACTAAGGCAATTGATCTAGTCTCAAAATTACTCAATTATTGTCCAAAGACCAGACTCACTCCATTTAAATCATTAACTCACCCTTATTTTGATGAACTCAGAGACATCGACTAATTAAAGAGTCTTTAAAGCTAGACGAAGATTGCCATACCTGAACTCTTCAATTTCTCAAATGGTATTTATTTCCATAATCCCCTTTTAGAAGAGATATATAAAATGACGTAATAAGAGAGAATGCAATTAATCCCTGATTGGTATGGGATTTCATCTAAAATTGTAAAAACAGAATATTGAATAATAATGAATATATTTATTTATTATGAACGAACCCATCTTTCATTTCTATGGCAATAAGGCAGGTGTGGAAGGAGCCGACTAAATTAAATAAACGATTGATGATGCCACTAGAGGATCAGAATATTATAAAAGATAACAGGAGAAAAGATAATAAGTTCTGTCAAAAGTGAGTAAGATGTAAGTGGAATTGGAAAACTATCATAAGAATGAACAAAAAAAGAAGGAAACCAAGGAAATTATTTAGAATAAAGTGAAAGAATTTTAAATTAACACGGATAGAATTTGGGCGCATTTTGATATGGATATGTTTTATGTAGCATGTGAACTATTAGACAAACCAGAACTCAAAGACAAACCAGTTGCTGTTGGTTAAAGCATTATCTCCACTGCAAATTATGTGGCTAGGAAATATGGTGTTAGATCTGCTATGCCTGGTTTTGTTGCTAAGAAACTATGTCCTGATATCATCTTTGTTCCTTGTCACTTCGAAAAGTACAAAAGTGTTTCAAATGTAATTGAATGAAATTACTGTAGATATTTATGACTATCCTCAAAAAGTATGATGATAATCTAGAATCTATGGGATTAGATGAGGCAAACTTAGATCTCACAGAATATATAAACAATTCCCAAGTGGATCCAGCAACACTATGTGAAAACATCAGAAAAGATATATTCATAGCAACACAACTCACTGCCAGTTGCGGAGTAGGTCCCAATAAAATGATTGCTAAACTTGCCTCTGAAATTAATAAACCCAATGGATTGCATGTCGTTGAATAAAGTCCCACTGCAGTTCTTGGTTTCTTAGAAAAATTACCTGTAAGGAAGATTCCTGGAATTGGGAATATCACTGAGTAAATTTTAAGTGGCTTAAACTTTAATACCTGCAAAGATGTCAGAGACAGAGCCGATGAACTCTATATAATATTCACTCCTAAAACATTCGAATACATATTTTACTCCTGTTGGGGTGTGGCTAGAAACTGTCATGTTGAATTTGAAGATTAACTGAGTATAAGTTGTCAAAGAACTTTCTCTAGTATAAGTACTTAAAAAGAATTCGAAGATAAAGTTGACTATATTGCTGAAAAACTTGCAGAGGATATGTAGTAAGAAGAAAAAGTAGGAAATCATCTTACATTAATTATCAAAACATGCAAATTTGAAATAAGAAATAAATCTTTGCAACTAAATTAATACACAAATCAAGCCAAGCAAATTGCAATATATGGCAAATAATTACTCAAGATTATGTAATTAGACGAGCCTATAAGATTACTAGGATTAAAGATGGGCTCATTGGCTAATGAAAAATAAATGCAAAAATAATCAATTTCTACTTATTTCAAGAAACAATTTGATAAATCTAATAGTTTAGAAAATTAGATTGCATCCAATTTGGGTTCAAAGTCTCATTAGATATCTGAGGATGGCGATTCTATCAATAAAGTTCAACTTTAATAACCTGAACAATCTAAACCTGAAATTATAAGTGAGGATGAGGCTAGCAACATTAGCAATTAGTTATTGTCAGGAGTGAATAGTAAAGGCCACTAATATCAAGCCCAATAACAATCATTCTAATAAAAATAATAGGCTCAGCCGAAATCCTTTCTTTGTCCAATATGTAATAATGAAATCGATTGTAAAGGAAATAACACTGTTTTGAATAAACATATAGATAGATGCATAACCACATAAAATGTAATAGTGGAGTAATCTGATGAGTCAAACAAAAATGAAATAGTTTAAAAAAAAAAGATTTCATCTAAGATAGAAAGTAAGGCCTAAAAGAGTTTCAATTTTTTTAAGAAGTGAATATTACCCATCATTTTTTCTAAATAAAAATTTAGTCTTATATTTATAAGAAATTATTATTTTCTCAAATAAATTATGTGAATTGGAGGTTGTTCGATGTTTCTTTAAACTTTTGAATTTAATTACCCTCAATTTCATATTGAATCTTCTCAATTGTTTTAATGAAATTATATTTAAAAGAAGCTTTTGGACTTCTATTGGGGATCTCTTATATGATTATTACAAAATATCCAAGAAATTTGAAACTTTTGGAGGAAACTAAGTATTTTTTTATTAAATTTAATCTTTTTAACTGAGAGTTGAATACATACAGTTTTTTGGAAAAGATATATAAAATCTAATTTTTAAGAATCTATCGTTTGTGTAATTACAATATCTTTAGTTTACGTATTAATAAATGTGATTAATAAAAAATTGTAATTTAAGATTTATAGTATCTGATTAATCAATAATTCTATTATATGGGAGGAGTCCTTGGAAGCTTTGGTCTAGGTGCAAATGCTTAAGCTGATTGCTATGGGTTTTTGGGATTGCCATTTGTTACTCTATTTTTGATATTCACATTTGGGAGTAGACTGTCAGCCATGAATGGTCCTTCTATTGATATTATATGTATTTACATCCAACAGGCATTTTGTCCAATTAGGACTCTCTTAATTATTCTTAATAAACACTTCTCTATTATAATTCTTTTTGCATAATTGATTCCATCAATTATCTTTGCTGTTCTGCTTATTCATTATCCAAAGCAAATTCATTTCTTAATAATTCTTCACCTACAATCATATCATTGTTCTATAAATCATCCTCATCGTCATCATCAACTGGACATTCTTCATCATCTTCTAAATCATCCACATCATTATCCTCTTCCAATTACGATTGATCATAATCATCATCATTACTTTCTAACTATTCTATCATATATTGTATTTGTTTCTTGAATCTATCATCACTAATTGACAGTAACTTAGGTAACTCTTGAGGTATATTTAATTAATATGCATAATCTCTTAGATCTCTTCTACTAAACATTGAATAGAATGTTCCATTGGTGAATGTTCTGATCTGATCATTAGGATATTCAATTAATTCGAATAGCACTTCAAATGCCAATTCTTTATTAATTGATAAGGAATCTCTGCCCCTTGAACTCAATGACAAATTCATTATCAAAGCAGTTATATATTCATAGGTGTATTCACTCAAATTAAATTTTTCCTACTTTTAAATTATTAATTAATACTCTTTTTAGAATGTTCAAGGCAACTTAAATAATGTCATTGTCAAGCATCCAAATTTGACTTTACTTTCTGAGTGACAATTTTTATAAAGTTCCAATTGCATTCTTCCTCTTGATTGAATCAGTTTAATCCTTTTTTATTGATTCAATCAAAAGCTTGATTAACTATGGATTACTAGTCAAGTAAGTTCTTCCATCATAATCAGAAGCCAAAGCATTCATCAATTTCAAAGCCTAGCATTAGATTATTTATCCAGATTTCACAATCAAATATTAAGCCAAGGCAATATTTCTTTAATGAGCCCCAATTAGATCATGTGTTTAATATGCAACAACTACTGATCTTCTTTCTAAAGCACTTCTTGCTCTTGTTATTCTCCATCGTAAAGCCTAGAGAACTGTTGCAACTAGAACTGGATTACTATTCCTGGTAAATAATTAAATAACCTTTTCATAATTTAAGGGAATATACTCTTCAATTGATTATTGAATAGGCATCATTTCTATTATGAAAAATTAAAAATACATTATTAATTAGTTAGGTCTGAGAGATCATGATCAGGTTAAGTGACCTTATCGAATAGAGAGATATCCTAAGATTTATTCATTAGTTCATCTAAATTCTGACTTAAGTATTGATCACATTACCCAATTTTCTTTTTAAATTGCTATAATTAATCTGGATTCTTCTTGTTAGTTTCAATATATTTGATCATTTCCTTCTCCATTTTCAACATATCACCTGTAAATTGAAACCATTTTCTCTAAGCCTCAAATAGATTTTATTATGCTGTTTAATTTATGTCTTATAATGCTTAGGCTTATTGATTATTCTTTTTTTTCAATTCATTATTTTCTTATTGCAATTGTCTGATGCTGTCAGTCATCTTTTTCTGTAACTCTTGTTATTGAACATTAGAAGACCCTTCTTTGGACAAAAATAATCTTTTTAATAGACTACCAGTTTATTCATAGCCAAAAATTGATTGGATAAACTCCTTTAGTCTTTACCTCAAATCAGCAATCCATTCGTGAGTAAAAAGATGTTGGAATGTTTGATGCAATTCAGGGTTTTTGACGTATGGTAATGCATAAAAGGGCAAGACTTCATTGGTCTTTGACAAGTCTCCTCCTTTGCTATCGAGATATTGCTTAAATTGATTAATTGAATTCTTGTCTATCACTCCTTTCTTCATGAACACTGGATGAATAGGGTAGATAAGAAAATAAATTTGAATATAAAACTCTAGCTTCCAAAAGTCCTGATATTGCCTCTATTGATTTGGAATGTATCGACTCCATGATTCCAGAAACTTATCTCTTTCTCCTCTGTCAAAGTGACTTAAGATTATGTATTCAGTCTCATTGCTTTGTTCTGTTGCAAATTGAGATTCTACCTTAAATTACTCCAGCGTTTTGAAACAATTGCTTCTCACCAGATAATCTTACACTATATTATTTAGTTGTTCCGACAATGTTCCATTCAAATCAACTTATTTATCAGCCTGAATATTATTATACTATACATATTAGATTGCAGATTGAACCCTTTTTTGTTGGATATCATTTTTACGATTCAAACCAGAATCAACTTTTGCTCTGACATCTTTCTAAGACTGGGGTTTCTTATTGTTATTATTCATCATAACAGATAATATTATTAAATTTATGTATATATTTATTTTTTTCGCCTTGGCTTATGCATAAATCGAGTGTAACAAGGATGATTTAGTAACCACTTGTTCATTGAATTCATTCTCAGCATACATGGTAACCTATGAGAAAAAGACATCTGATACAATGTTCCTATTCATTGGTGCCAAACCTGGTTAAAGGTAATTTGCCATATTATCTAGTGCTCTATTCTTTGATCAATTAGGCGTGGGTCCAAATTCAACTTATGAAAAGTGGACTGATCTAGGCCATTTAATGTTTCTGGATATTTAAGGATCAGGTTACACAATAATTACTAAAACTCCAAAATCAATAGCTGAATATACGTAGCAGTATGTGAATGCCTTTAATACTTTTAAAGAAGAATTAGACTATAAATTCACTCGGTTGTATATTGTCACAAGTGGGATAGGTTCAAAGGTGGCTCTGGAACTCGCATTATAGTTATAAGCATATGGAACGATTTTGTTTTCTCCATTATTAAATCTTTTAGAGAACATGCGACAATTGCCAACCACAGCTTATCATATGGGATTGATTGATTTTTAGGAGAGACAATCCTTAGAACTTTAAATAATTAGTTTGAGTCAACCAAAATATAGCGATTATCAAATTTTAGTTAACAAAGTTTCCAAGATGAGTGGAGATATGCAAGTATCAGATTTCAGAAAATATGAGATGTATTTCAATTCTTAATATTGTGTAGGGATAACTCCACAATACTGTTGACTGACATAATGAACACTCAAGAAGTCAGAGACAAATATCATGCAAAACAACAATTTTTTAAGACATTCAATATTGATGTCTTTAATAATATGACCGATTCCTTATCTTAAAACATTGATTTGGATAAATATTTGAAATGTAATAGTTAGAATAAAACTATTTAGTAACCAAAATAATATGCTTGATTCCATAATTCTCCTTAAGTACAAACATACAAGGAACCTTAAGTTATCTTTTGTAATTCAAACAATTTAATGAATTACCCTTTGTACAATATGTTAATGAACATAAATATGCAATTTATGTAAACATTGGAACCATTTACATAATTTATAACAGTGGTGACAAAATCTATCAGGATTAGTAAGAGATAGTTAAAAACATAATAAAAAAATTATGATTTATTAATATATTAAGATCCATCTTCCAAATTAATATAATAAAAACTGAATTGCTTGAAAGTACAATAGGAGTCAATGGAATTGACAGGTATTTCAATTAAAAACACATTGAACTAACTTTAACTTGATTAAAGAGAATAATTTGAATTTTAATTAAAGCATAGAATTATCTGATTCTCCAAAAAATTAAAGAAATAAAATTTAAGCGAATGTTCCAAACTTTTCTAAACTAATCAGTATTTGTAAGCAATAATTTTTTTGTATTTATATAATCTTGTCCATAGAAATGAAATCATTTCTCCATATTCTTTAAGGCTTCTAAAACATCTGATCGGCAATTTGGACATTTCGTGCTACTCTAAAGCCATGAGTCCACACAAGATTTGTGGTAGATATGCTTACAAGGTAGCTGCGTAATTAGTTCATCTATTTAAATAAAATGTCGATACCTTTTTAGAATTAATTACAACATATACTACATTGCCTATTTGACTTGCCCATCATCATCACCTTCAATTTCTCTAGATATTTCTTAGGAACTCCATTGCACTTTTAAAACAATTTATCCACACTATTTTACCACCACTAAAGTTACATAGACTAAGTTTATTATGGAGGCATTTCATACCTATATCTCCTATCTATATTAATTGGCTACTAAAAACTTAGAAAACTTAATTACCTTCTTCCCACATTCTCAATGAAACTCCATCAATTCCAAATTATTATTATTATCCCTCTAAAATTAATTGTTTTCTATACCACTTCTCTCTTCAATTACTTATATCATTATAAAATTCTTTGTTCTTTTAATTTATTAGTATTTTCTGTTGCTATTTTTATTAATCAAAAATAAAACCTATTTTAATTGTATAATAAATTCTAATTATTAAATAACTGCCTATTTAGATACATAGCGTATCCTCAAATGTTTTTCATTATAATTTAGAGAACATTTTAATTCTACCCTCCTTTTCTTATTAACTTAAATTCTTAATAATTAAATTTTATATCTTTTTTCTTAAGAATAATTATAATCATTTAAAAATATGAAGATAATTTAAAATTGATTTTCAACATGTAAATTCATCTCCAAATATTGAAATACATTTTAATTTTGAAATAATTAGCTAAAAATATAAAACAATTAATAAAATTTATAAAAAAGTGATTAATATTTTTAAATAATATCTAAGGATTAAACTCCTCTAGAAACACAGCCAAAGGATTGAAAGTCTCTGCAATTTGGTTCTACTAAATTAAATCTTGAATCAATACGGAATATGATTCAATATTTATTCAACTTCTTATTTTATAAAAAATTATAAACAGTGGGATATAAAGCAAAATTAAATTAATATTATCTTTCTTCAATAATGTAAGGACCATAATCAAACGACAATTACATTTCTCTGGATACCGCTGCTTCATAATCAGTAGGAACAGAACAGGCATAAATAAGCGAAAGTAGAACAAACCAAGGAGTAATTATAAACATTATATAGAATACCAATAACCGAAAGCATCCACTGAGAAATGCAAATTTTGACAATACGTAGACAAGGGCTGACTTCATCCTAAAGGTTTACATCTTCCTTACGATGGAACTAGCGTTTACTTTTCTCTTGGTGATCTTAGGACTATATACAAATATGCAGCAATGGTTAGTGACGACTGGACAGGAGGAGAGCTGCTACTGTGCATTTGGCAGTTTCTCATAATGTGGTTGCACATATATCAGTCATTACGATTCGACATGGCTGTTTTGGGTTTCCATAGTTTTTTCTCTAATACTTCACCTCATTCTCTTTTGCGGAAATCAAAGGGTTAGATAGGTATGATGTTAGTTTTGAGATTTAGAAACCTTGGAACTTCATAATCTTAGGACTTTACATTCTATTCTTTGGATTTTTGGTAACAAATCTGTGCATCATTATCGCCTATGAGTTTGGAGTAGGGATAGTGTGGTAGGCCATAGGAATCACCTTTGGCTTCGTTTTGGCTTTGACTGCGTATTCATTCAAGACGAAAACCAGTTTTACATTTGGAAGTATAATGTATTCCATATAATTTTTAGTTGGCTCAATTTTTCTGTTAACTCCGACATTGGTATTAATGCTAATTTTGATGGGAGTGTATTCACAGTTTGCTCTTTCAATATTTTTATGCACTCTGCTTGTAGTTGGCTAAGGGTTCTTTTTGATTTGGGAAACAAAAGCGATTATTGGCGATGGGGTAAGAAAATTCGTAAATTCTAGAAACTAAAATTGTCGATTGATGATTATGTCATAGGGTCATTGTTATTGTATGGATCAATAATCCAATTGCTGTGGAGGATAATGATGTTGATCATTGCAATCAAAGAACGAAAGTGAATATAAGTGTATATAGTAATAGACTTGGAAGGGAGGTAACTAGAGAGGTCGTATTGCATCAGCTTTACAAGTGAAGAATTGAGGGAGAGATTGAATTAATTTGTGTCTTTTTGATATGTGTATTAATTGATAATAAGTCTTAAAGTCTTTTAAATTGGTTCGATTAGTTTGTATTATAATTAGTTTGGGAATTATTAAATTTCATTGTTTTATAGGGGACAATTTAAATCTTTTTATTTAAAATAAAAAGGACATTGTCTTAAGTAACAAAATAAAATAATTTATTAGAATAATTATGGATCAAACAACACAAGATTTACAAGAAAATTGGAATGAGGTATTTCAATGAAGTTATTATGCAAGCAAGTCGAAACATTCGAAGATTTAACTTTGAGCAAAGATCTACTAAGAGGCATCTTCTCTTATGGTTTCGAAAGACCATCAGCCATCTAACAAAAAGCCATCAAACCAATCATTATAGGAAAGGATGTCTTGGCACAAGCATAATCAGGTATGTTATTATCATCTAATGATTCTTCTTAGGAACTGGAAAAACTGGTACATTCACCATTGGTGCTCTACAGAGAATCGACCCAAACCAAAGAAAGACTCAAGTCATCATTCTAGCTCCAGTTAGAGAGTTGGCAAAGCAAATTTATGATGTGGTTAAAGGAATTGGTCAATACTTGAACATCGAAGCCTTCTGTTGCATTGGTGGTACCTCAACCTAGGAGACCAGAGAAAAATGCAAATAAGGAGTGCACATCATTATCGCTACTCCAGGTAGATTGATCGATATGATGAAAAACAAATATTTGGATGCCACATTTATGAGATTGCTTGTTGTAGATGAAGCTGATTAAATGTTAGACTAAGGTTTTAGTGATAACTTTCGCAGAAATCCTAAAAATGGGTTCCAGGAGATATTTAAATTGGTATTTCTGACATTTAAAATTTTGTTAGCTTTATTTAGTGCTACATTCCCCTAAGAAATTATTGAATTGAGTAAATAATTCCTCAGAGAAGGAACAGCTAAGATTTTGGTTAAGAAGGAATAATTGACATTGGAAGGTATTAGATAATTCTACATTGCAATCCAACAAGAGGATTAAAAATTCAGAGTTTTGGTTGAATTGTATAAGAATCTTACAGTTTCTTAATCAATCTTATTCTGCAACTCCAAAAAAACCGTTGATGATTTGCATGATAAATTGACCGCTGAAGGATTTACTGTCAGTAAAATCCACAGTCAGATGGAACAAAAAGAGAGAGAATAAGTAAATACATCGTAGCTATAGTAGGTTATGCAAGAATTCAAAAAAGGAGCTGCCAGAATCCTTGTTTCAACAGATCTTATGGGTAGAGGAATTGATGTCCAATAATTGTCATTAGTCATCAATTATGAATTCCCAAGATTAAAGGAACAATACATCCATAGGTAATACCATGTTAATATACTATTTTAGAGTTGGAAGAGCTGGTAGATATGGTAGAAAGGGAGTTGCCATCAATATGGTAGCACAACAAGAAGCTAATCTCTTGTTAGAAGTTGAAAAATATTACAACACTAAAATTGATGAAATGCCCAAAGATTTAGCTGAAGTAGAAAAAGAATTAAGTTGAAATATGGGTATTTGTTATAAAAGAGTATAAATATCAATTTATTTATTATTTAATTCTCGGTTCATTCCTTCAACTTCAGCAGCATATTTTTATATTTTATTAATTCAAAATTTAAAAAATTGTGAATAGATGATAATATTATAAAAAATCTATTTTTATAATATAATATGGACTATGCTTATTCAAAGAAAAATACGAATTGTTACAATATTAAGATTTTAATTTATAAGATGTTACTTTAACTAGCCTAGTTGATTGATGACAATAGAAAAGCTAATGACAATCTAGGTTCTAAACATGCTAGATTTCTCTAAGAAAAAGACGTTGACTAGAATTCTGAAAATACATAAACGATTACGTCAGAATAGAATTAAGATGACAATGACAGTCTTCCCGTCATTATACTTATTGTTTGTCTCTTCGTACTAATATGTGTTTGTGGAACAATTGTCGAAGTTAGTAGAAGGAAAAAAGTTAAAAAAGAAATCGAATAGAAATTATTGCAAGAAAAGCGCTTATCTCTTCAAGCCAATATAGGAATGCTCAATAGTATCTAAGATTAGACTTAATTTACCTTATGGAAGCTAACCAGCTTCAATTATAAGAATTTCTCTACTCAAAAGCTACTGAGATTCTAATCATTCTTTACTTCTCATAATAAATTAGAGCTTTAAATAAGAATGGAGTAGGATCATGATCCTTGGTCGGCAGAGGGACACATATCTACAAACTTAGAACAAGAAATAACCATTCATTTGAGAACAAGTCTTGATTGTGAATTATTAGAAAAGACAGAAAAAGGTGACCATTTATATTTGCTACAATAATTTAAAGGAGTATATAACAAAGAGGAAAACAAATTTATTGGCTCCTGGAGTGTCTATGGGAGCTAAGAACTCAATAATTTGAATTTCTTCGGAGAATTCGAATTAACGAGAGTACTAATATGATTTAATATCATTTATTTAACAAATTGCTTAATATTCTTTTGTATCTCATTCTGACACTAGTTCTACATATATAAAATTAAAACTAAATTTGCTTCTCAGAATTTAGTTTGAGAATTAAAAATGAAAGATTAAAGGTGGATGATGTCTCAATTAATTCAGTATAGCATAAAGAGAACCAAATAGTTTGATGCTTTTGATTAAATGTAGGATCATAATTTAAATATGGAATAATGATCAAAAAATGGAAATTATATAATTCAAAAAAACATATATAACTAGAATAATATATATACGTATTAATCAATAATCAATTAATTAAATCAAAAGGAGTATTAATTCCTCGTTTCCAATTCAATAATGATATTTTGCAATCCCAATTCTCTAAATCTGACAGTTTGAAATCCAAGAGAAATGTTGCTCTATTTTTGGCATATATACAAGGGTGTTCACTATTAGATAATGAGAATTTTGTCTTCGATGAAAGATATCTGAGAATTTGTGCTATAAATCCAGTATGACTTAAAACTAAACTTTAATCAAGCCAGATTCCTTGGAATAAGAGCTGAACTACTAAACCAAGGGATTGTAGAAGTTATTTGTATCTATTTATGATCCTAGTTAATGTAGATATGGAAACTATTGTTTATAATTAATAACAAATTTATAAGATTTTTATATATTTAATCTCTAAATAATTGATGAAGAAATGTTTCAACTCTTTCCTAGATTTAATTCTTCAGATTTGAGGATTGTTTGGGTTGTGATAAAGGAGCGACCTCCTAGTAAGATTTTAATGTTTCTTCACCCTTAATCAACTTCACTTCACTTCATAAAGGTGTATATTTAAGGATTCTCAGTTTTTTTTTGAACTAATTCTCAATGTGAGTATAAGATTCAATGCATCTTTGGTTACTTAATAGTTATACATCTTATAATCACTTGTGTAGACTTAATCAAATTTAACATTTTGTATTAGACATCCCGCTCTCTTGGATTATAAAATGCCGACTCCGCTCAAACCTAATTCATTCTTGCCAGACACAATTTTTAGACTCTGATACATAGATTACCTATGTCGGATAAGGAAAACTCTTAAAAACTACATATCCAAAATAAGTTTTATTTATTATTTTGTACATGTTATACAGTTATACAGAATTATGTCTATAAAAATAAATAGTAAGTAGAATCAATTTTAGTATAAAGAGAACTATTTTGGCCTTCTTATGTGTAGGTAGAAATTGTCAGATGTTTTGATGCAAAATTTAGTTTGTGTTTTTTGTTTTTCATTCTTCTCTGAAAAATCTCTTTTAGGACTCGAAGGTCCATATTGTGAATTTTATTGACTCATACTAAAAGATTTGTCCTTCTAATACTATCTTATCCGAATTGTTTTTGTGGTTCTGTAAGTTTAAGAGGAAGCTGGGTTACTTTTATTGTTGTTAGGGATATCTTTATTACTATTATATGCATCGGCATATTAATTACTTAACTTTTCGTTGTCGCACTCATTGTAAGGATTATTTTTGATTTAGATATTATTTTCCAATTGATTATCCATTAATATATTTTTGTTTTGGCTACTCTTATTAATATAATGAGTATTGTCAACTATCTTGATATGATTGTCAAATGAATGCGACATCTTTTTGGAAGAATTCGATTTGATCTCATTAACTAATTTTCCTTATTTCCCAATTTCCCTTAAGTACCTTCCCATCAACATAATGCATTTCACCATAACCGTGTTTGTAATCATTCAGAAAGATGCCCCTGTATTCATTGCCATTGGACCATTTATATACTCCATATCCGTTTTTCTTATCCTCTTCATATTCTCCTTAATATTGATCCGATGGAGGATCTTCTCTTCTCTTCCAAATTCCTTTTCCGCATCTCAATCCATCCTTAAAATACCCTTAAAATACGGCCCCATTACTCCAATAGTATTCTCCATAGCCATGAGGTTTACCATTTTAATAGTTCCCTTGGTACCGGTCTCCATTGCTAAAGTATTCTTGACCCTCTCCATTTTTCAGCCAATCCTTGAAATTCCCCACATAACGATCACCATTGCTATGAATGTGTTCTCCATATCCATAAGCCACATTGTTTATCCATTCCCCTTAGTATTACTCGCCCTTTAAACCGTACCATGTCCCTTTCGATAATAAATTTGGATTAATTACCTTGACCCTCTTTAACGCCCAAGTTCCATTCGCCTTCATACACTTCTCCATTCGGCCAAATAAATTTGCCTTATCCATGCGGTTTTCCCATTGCATAATTCCCCTCGTATTGAGACCCGTTGGCTAACAATTCCCAACCGTACCCTTACTTCTAGTCATCCTACCACTGCCCTTCATACTTGCGTCCACTCTGTTATAAGAGTATACCTATCTCATAGAGATGCAGAATTAACCTTTTCCATGTCTAAGATTGTTTTCAAATTGCCCATAATAAACATAATTATTAGTGATTATTAGCTTTGCATGCAACTTCTAGAGATCAAGGAAATTATAATCATCGAAGTGCGGCTCATAGCACTTGATCTAATCTAAAACAGCTTAATAATTCATAATAAATATAATAATAAAAATGAATTGGGCAACAATTTATTAGAACTTATTTATAAGCTTAATTTTTATGATATCTGAATGTATATGTCCATAATCATTTACTATTTAAAATACTTTTAATAAACTAAAAAATGCACAACAATATAATGCGAATATTATATAAAATAATGTTTAATAATTTTAGTAATTTGCTGAATATTTAATTTATTAAAGTATCATATCATACAAATTTAGAGTATCACCAGGTTAACCAGATACCTTTAATCAGACTAATAATAAATTTTTGATAGTAAGACAATTGGAAATGTAGTCGTTTTCTTAATAAATAACTCGTCTATTGATATCAAATTATGATTACTTGTATATTAAACATGATATTTAGAATAAATTTAGATTAATTTAACTAATGTATACTTTATGCACTGAGGGCAGGTCATTACCTTCGGAATCGGTTGAGTAAGGTGATAAACTAATAATGCTCAAATAAAAGCTTCTAAAGAAGGAGAATTTGGCTAATGCAATAGCCTTGGAAGACGGTTTGGTTTATATTGGAGAGATGGAAAAAGGTGAAAGACATGGTTTCGGGATATTAATCTATCCGAATGGATCTATTTTAGAAGGGTATGAAAAAAATGGTATTCTTTAAGTAATTGGATTAATGGAAGAGCACATGGGATATGTAGACTACAATATAGCCAAGATGAATAGTATATGCTTATTTAATATGTTTAGTTATTAGGGGAGCATTGTAAATAATAGATTTCAGGGATATGGCGAATACATTAATCATACTACTTCAATATATAAGGGATAATGGGAAAATAATGAGAAACATGGTTACGGAGAAGAATATTTCAATAATGGGTCCATCTATTGTGGTAATTTCATCAGAGGAATGAGAGAAGGAGAAGGAGTGTACCTGTCTAGTAATGGATCAAAGTACGCCATTTAATTAAAAATTAGATATTAAGGATAATTCAAATGTAATCATATGGATGGGGATGGAATGATGTTATGGAGAGATGGTAGTTTCTATTAGGGTGAATTCTAAAACAATGAAATAAATGGATATGGAGTGTATACCTATCCTGATGGGAGTTCGTACTAGGGTTAAGTAATATTATAAAATTGAATGTAGTTTTTGAATGGGAAAAGAAATGGACATGGTTGTTTGATCAGATACGATGGATATGAAGTGAGTGGGGAGTGGAAGGGAGACAAGTTTTATAAAAATTGATTTTATTATTATCTATATACTAAAAATGGGGTAAATATTTTAGAAGCATGCAACTTAGTTTGATCCATCTCTGATAGTAAAATTAAAAAGCATAACAATGAGAGAACTTTTCGATTGTGTAGATACGATAGACAAATACTATCCTTAGAGTTGCTATTTGAATTTAGAATAGTTCGATGATATTTTCGCAACATTGACTGATAATTGCATCGATCTCTTTCGTAGATTGGCTGATTAGACTGGAGAGGATGGCAAATTGTCAGTGCATACATTTGAAGCACTGGCTGCTTTTGCGATATTTAGTGGAGAGAGTTTCGAAACGAAATGTATGTTTGTTTTTAGATTATTTGATTTTGATTTGTCAAACACTTTAGAAGAGTAAGAGATGGTAAGTACATTGTAATGTGCAGTAAGAGCAATGTGCAAAATAGCTGGACTGGTGATTCCATCTGTAAGTATGTTGGAGAAATTGGGTTATGTTTGTTTTTAGATGATGGATGAGGATAAAAATAAGCATGTTGATTTTGATGAGTTCTATGAATGGACTGTGTAATATGATGAATTGCAAGAGTTTATGTTATAGTATTCTGGAACCCAAACGTATTAGTATGCGTTAAAACGAATGGTAAATGCTATGGATGAATCTGAGTAATAGTTCAATAAATGGCTAAGAGAATGCAAGGCTCCTTAGGTGCCAGCCAGTAAATTGCAATAGAATTTGTATCACATTTATAAGGGAATTGATGAATTATCAATTGACACTCTTTTTTATATGATCATAGAATATACATTGAGATCTAAAAGTATTGGATAGGAGGAGAGTTCACAATAGCAAAAAGATCTCTGGGCTTGGAAGGCTGATCATAAGAAAAACTAGCATCTTCTGTCAAATATCTCGGTTAAGAAGAGTGATTATTTGGATATCATAAGAGCATGGAATGTGTACTCGATAACTGATGTCAATCAATTGTCTATCATCAACATAAAGGATCTCAAACTGCTTATTTGGTTGTATGAGGACGAGGAACCAGACTATTTTAGAATCAATCAAGAAATGTCGATCATTGACACCAATCATAATAACATCATCGAGAGATGCGAATGGATGCAATACTTATGTTCTGAAGAGTCCATGCAAAGACGATAAACTCCATAAGTGCTAATGAAGAAGGTGTTTGACAATTACGATGAGGAGCAATGTGGGTTGATTCCCATCATTCAGATCGACAAACTATTGCGAGACACCTTCAAGTAGCAGATGAAGAAGATGAAGGACTTCAAGAGCATTTAGAGTGTCAATAGTTTGATTCAGCAATTGAAGGTTGAGTTCATGAAGCAGGTCAAAAAGAATAATTAATCCCATTTTGATTGGCAAACTTATTATCAATTCTTGGTTGAAGCCACGAAGACCCATTCCTCACTCAACAAGTTGTTGAATTTAAATCGTGACTGACTCTTTTTATTTAGATTATATATATATTTATTATTTCCTTATATGCAATTCGATCAATAGAAAACAGACGAAATCAAGCTTAATCCCAGATATCAAAATCTCTTAAAATGGGGATTGGATAATGGTGTGATCATCAAGGATGTGGATATGCCAGCAGCCTTTGGAGAACTCACAGGTGTTGTTGCTACTAAGGATATTCCTGCTAATACAGTATTTAGTTTTTATTATAAATTTAAGGCAATAATCTGTGTGCCTCAACCCTTGATCATATCCTAAGAGAAATGCAAACTGAGTTCATTGTCCATCGTCTATGATAAGCATCCTGAGCTATTCGACGAAAACGAGACTTCGGATGCTGAATTTAATATCTTAAGTATTGATTTTATATTAGGCGCCCCTAGTATTTTATTTGTTCAATGAAAAGAAGAAGGGCGAAAAATCATTCTATCATCCTTATGTTCAAGCAATTCAATCGAATAACACTTTAATTGATTGGAGCAAAGAAGAACTCAATTACATTGAAGATCCTATAATATTAGACGAATTCGCTATAGTGCGTGAGGATTTGAAGGATTTGTGGAATCAAGCCAAAGAAATATTCAATGAATTCGTTCAAGTTTTTGGAGAAACAAGACCGACAGACAAGGAAGATTTCTATTGGGCAGCATAAAGTGTGATGAGTAGATGTTTTGGTTGGTCTTTGAAATCCACCAGTATGATCCCTATTGCTGACTTTCTCAATCATTCTAACAAGGCCTGTACTCATTATCTGGTGCATTCCAAAATTGAGAAGCTCGAATCAGACAAACTTCAAGCTAAAAAGGATGGAAAAAATGAACAGAAACAAGATAGTGACGAGGATTCCTTCATGCAGATTGTGCAAGAATAATATAAGATAAAGGGAAATAAAATCAATTTAAGTGTTCTCAATGTCAAATAAGACGAATCTTAATTTAAATAGTTCGTTGATCCAAAACAGACTTACATTTTGCAACACTAGCAATATCTCACTGAAAATCAATTGAAAGATATTGACAACTTGGATAACATATCGAATTCTGATAAGAGAGCCATGATCAATTGGATCAATTATGAGCAATTGATTTAGAATTCTGAAGTTCAACTTTGGGATTTAGGATTTGTTACTTCCTCAGATAGTGAAGACAATGACTCTGATGAAGATGTTGAAATAGCAAGAAACAAACAATTTGAAACTCTGAAAATAAGGGAGTTATCTGATTGGAAACTTAAATTTGAAGAGAAGAAACAGCAGAGGAATCAATAAAAAGAGAAGAACCAATAAGAAACCTAAATGGAACAATAAACTGCTGAATTAACTTAAGATCCAGACAAAGAATAAAGTGATGGAGATTTAAAGGGCTAAACAGATAGTGAAAGCATTTTGACTATCTGTCTTAATAATGGTATTATTTCTGACCATAATGTTAGAAAAGAAAAACCTAGTTACCATCAAAGGTCTGCCTCCGCAATAGATCTAGGCTTTGAAACAGAGATAGTAATAGATGTTGGAGGTTCAGCAACAGAAAGAATAGATCAAATAAACCATCTAAGAGTAGCGTCAATAGTAGGACAAGGACAATTAGAGTGACAGCAGTGAAGAGTCGAAGTGGGATTGGCTGGAGGAGAATGACAAGGACGTATACTTTTGTATTACGACTACAGAACCAATAAGGAAACATGAATAAGTTACGGTGTCTTACGGGAGAAGGACCAACAGATTCTTGCTTAGTTGGTATGGATTTACTCTACCTGAAAATAAATACAGTTCCTACAATTTTAGAGTAAGAAGTTGATTCTAACAAAGTTATGGCTCAATACAGATATATGTAAGGAGAAGATTTTAAGTCAGAAATAGATCTTTGACACCATCACCATTAATAAGTTGATTAATCCGGAAGAGTGGGACACAGGTAAAATCAACTTCAATGGTAACGACGTTCCTATTTCATCAATTACGAAGGAATTTAGAATCAAAAAGAATAAACTCAATATGGACTTACTGATGTATTTGAGACTATATCTTATGCTCTACCAAGTCCAAGTTAAGGATGTGTTAATCACTATACCTGTATCAGTCGATTATGAAGTATTCGTGATGCAGTTTTGTATATAATTGTTACAACATTATCTAAATTCATACTCCTAGGAGTTGGCTTAAGATATTAAAGAATTAGAATCCAAAATATCATTCTCAAGACGATTTGCAGTATCAATCATCAACATTAATTATAGCTCCATATTAATAAGGAACGCAAAGAAATACTTATCAATTAGATTATGATTCTTTTAGATGCCATTATTATCTTAAAAAAATTCAAAGAAAGCAATGACTTGAAGTAGGCTTACATATCAGAGATTCATAATAATGTGTATTATAAGATGGAAAATTTAAGAGGCTTGAAAGTGTATCTCAAATCTATTCATGAATTTCTATGATTAATTATGGGTTTAATCATTATATAATTATTTCATTCAAATGTTCTTTACTTAGAAAATGGTCAAGTTTGTTATTCTACCCTACAAAAATGGTATCCTTTAGATTAAAAGCTATAGCCCTGCCAATTAAATTCAATTTACAAATTGGAGCAAATATGATTGGAAATACACAGGAACATGAAATCTGTATAAACAATAAATAAATTGTCAATAATCATTGCTGTGTTGTTTTGAATGAAGAGGAAATAGAACTTATTGTTTTAGATGGTCCAGTCTTCTATAAGAATGAAGAAGGACATTTTGACTAATTGGCCAAAGAGTCTGTACTTAGGTACAATCATTGCTTAAATTAGTTTAAATATTGAGTCCGCGGATTTTTCAATTAGATTAGGGTAATCTATAGAAGCTAAAGTTTAAGTGGTTAATGGAACATAGCATCAATATCTTCCAAGAAAACTGCCTTAAAAAGAAACAAAATAATTTAATTTGCAAGAACGGCTATCCTAGATAGAAGTCAAAGTTGTAGAGAGTCTCTATACATCTCCTTAGAGTGATTTAGACCAATTCTAATAACAATAAGAATAAGAGCCAAACGATGTAGACTTATAGTAAAATGAGGAGATTAATTCAATTTCATTTAATTTAAAACAATAAAATAATTAAGAATAAAAACAATAGAAACAAAATTGTGAATAAGCAAATTAAAATGAAACCAATCAAAGAACAGATGTATTATAATTAAATGATTATGAATAATAAACTGAGATGTTATCTAATGGAACTCCTGATTTTAATAACAATTCCAAGGATAAGAAGGGAATACAAAATCAAACCAAAAATAAAAAGAAATCAAATTATATCATCATACCATAGAGAAAAGATAGAGAAAGTTCTCCTAAAAAGAAAAGTAATCATAAGTAGATGAAAGAAATAAAAAAAGAAAGTCAAAGAATGAGCTAAAGAAAATGCAGCAGATGGAAATTTTGTATAGCATTTTCAGGATTTCATCCAAGTAGAGATGAACAATAGTTTTTATTACTTCAGAATGTTCAAGTTTGTTTAGAAGATTACACATTTAATATGCTAATTATGGAAGACAATGTCGAATTGAGATCCATCAAATTATTGATTGCCTTAGCCAAAGGAATTCCTATAATTTCTAGAAATTGGTTAACAAGATCAATTAATTAATATGAGATTCTCGATCACAATTAATATTAAGTTCAATTTTCTAGTGAGTTTTGCAAAGAATACAATTTTGATTTTAAACAATATTAAAAAAGACTTCAAAAATGGTAAACATTTAATTTCATATTTTAGTAAAGATGCCAAAATAATGCCCTTGAAAGGTGTGACAATATTTGTTCCAAAAAGAATGAACTATCATATTGAACATTTCGAATTAGAATACTTGGTAGAATCCTTAGGTGGTAAATTTGTACATTAAATACATGATGAAGGAGAAGCATAAATTTATATGTTAATACCTAAAGATCAAACAAAAATCGTAGGCTATGACTAACACTAACAAAGTCCTATTGAATGCTTATTCAAGAGTGCATTGAAATATAAAAATCTCCTTTGATCAAATTATTATATTCTATTTGAGCTTTGTTTATATGAAGAAATTGTTTAGTTTTCAATATATTTAATATAAAATACAAAAAAATGAATTCTCTTATTAATATATATTCTAATGGTGTTATTTGATTCTGTTTATTAAATATCAACCTACTAGCTACAGTGTTATGTGATTGTTTTAATAATATTATTTATTTTAATAATTTTAGTTTCTACTTAATTTTCAATACATTTTATTCATTTAAAAGTGTAAATAATTGATAATTTGGAATTATTGGAATTCCTAAAAATATTAAATAAGATTCCATAATCGATAAGTATAATATACAAAAATTACAGTTTAGAATGATTTAAATTCCTAAAATAATAATATTATTTAATTTAATGATAATATTATTTACCTTCATTACGTATGCATATTCTAGATGCGCATTCTCTGTGGAATGTCAAGGAAATAACTGTGATCCATTAGAGGTTGATACTGAACCCTTTATAGCGAGAGTTTCATAATGTCCTCATATGGATGGGAAGATGGTTTGTTGTAACAAAAATTAGGATGACCAAATGCAACGAAACTTTCAAGCCATAGATGCATCTTTTGGTAATGCTGGTGGTGGATGTGATATGTATTATATATTGTTTCATTCTTAGTTGTGCCTATAATTTGAAGAAATTCTGGTGTGAGTATACTTGCAGTCCTAATTAGAGCGATTTCTTAAGCACAAACGGATATGAAAACATGAAAGACCCACTAAATCCCAAGAATATATTGACAGTTTAGAAAGTTGAAATTAAAGTCAAGCCTTAAGTGGCATGTGTAAGTATTTTGTTTTAATCTTTATAGGAAATTTGGTCATCTTGTAAGAGAACTCAATTCGCTTCTTAGGTAACAGCAATGAAAACTCCAGGAGGATTCTTTAATTTTCAAGGAGAATAGGCAGTGTATATTGTTTAGATTTATATATTAGTGGTTAAGCTAAATAATTCATATCAGTCAAGTTTATTGATAATGACGAAGAGACAATCAACTTTGATTTTGTTCCTGATTGCAAATATGATTATCCTGTTGGTCCAGATGGGAAAATGGTTACACCAGATGGATTTGTAATATCCGAAAAATGCTCATGCAATAATTGCGATCTCATGTGTCATGATGAAGAAATTCTGTATTAAGCCACTGGTGTTTTTGAAGGCTTTAATGGATACTTGGTATTATGGGTCTGGGCAGGAGCTCTTCTAATTGCTGCATTAATCACAGGATTTAGAAAATATAAATAACAAGAAAATCATGAAATCTTAATAGATCCAATTTGATTTAGTTCTTTGTTCATTTTTTATTTGTATGAAATATGCTAAACTTTATACATTATATTCTTAAAGCCTATTTAAGTGCTGTTAAATTGATAATTCCAAGTGCTGGACTATGAAATTCTTAAATTCTTATATATCAAATATTGTAATTAATAAGAATTTATGTAAATTAAGATTGGATTATGAAATTTTGGAATGCTTTCAAATCAACAATATGTAGCTTATTCTGAGTAATTTAAATAATAAATTATAAGTTATGAAATATTTTAAGACATTATTCTAATAGACACTATTAGAAAAGAGATTGTAACTTGATCATTGCTCCCATCTGATTCTTTTTCCATCTTCCCATAAACCAAATCTTATTTATCCATCTGCCAATACATATTTGCCCCTTCCATGTTATTTACCTTAATTCCATTCACCCTCAAATACCCTCCCATCTGGCCAAAAATATTTACCCTTCCCATGCTTTTTATCATCCTAGTATTCACCATGATATGCTCGTCCATCAGCCCATTAATAGACTCCATAGCCGTGCATTTTGTTATATCTCCAATTCCCTTAGTACTTTCTTCCATCAGCCCAACTATACTCTCCCTGATTATAATAAACAATATTACATATCCATTTATTTTATTATCAAACCAAGTTCCTTCAAAAAGACTTCCATCTGGCCAAATGTACAAGCCCTAACCTTGTTTCTTTCCTTGAAAATACTCTCCTTTATAACTGGAATTATCAATCCCTTTCTTTAATATTAAAATTACATTCTTCATGGCCTTTCCCATGCTAAAAATCATTTTACCAATAACCTTCATAGACGGCTCCATTTGCTTATCTATAGACCCCATAGCCATTAGCCTTATCATTCTCCCATTATCCTGAATACGAGTCTCCATCAATATGATAAAACGTTCCTTTCCCACAGGCCTTATTATTTGACCATTGTCCTTCATATCTTGCTCCATCCGGCCAAATTTGAGTTCCTTATCCATCGCGTTTATCGCCTATCCATTCTCCTTCATAGGAAGTGCCACTCTTAAATTAATATTTAGGTCTTTTTTCTCTAAAAGTATTGTTTGGATTCACATCTGCCCTAGTTATTATTGTATGCTACCTGCATATTCTTCTGAATTGAAATATTTGAACGTATTTCTCTTCAATTTGCTTTAACTAGTAGCTTGATCATCAGATTTTGCAACCTCTTTCCTCCCTTGGTTCAAATTTTTGTAAGTTAATCTTGCTTTATGTCCTCTCCATTATTTTTAAATTATGATTGCTTTCTAGGATCGCAAAACCTCTAATTGCTTTTGCTTCATTTATTCCTTGTTATCCTTAACCTGATTCATCTTTGATTGAGTCTAATATAGATAGTGATGAGAACTTTAACGGTATGATTAGAGGCTTGAGATGGTTAGGACAGAATTGACATTCCATTTTTATTACTTTCTGTTTTTTTTGTAATATTAACTTCATATAATAGATCTTTATTGTCTTTTTAGCATTATCCACAATGTGAACAGTTAGATCCCATATTTTTATTAAAATGTTAATCGAATTTAAAACAATTATAAAATAAATATAATATCAATTCTTATAAGGGATTTTGGGTGGTATCTAAGCTGCCTGTTCATCGTGATCGTCATTTTAATCAGAATTGCAATCAAAGTCATGATCATTTCGATTAAATTAAACATTATCTCCTTTACTACTTACAGGGGATAATATTTCAATTTGATGTTGATCAAACAAGTTTAAATTTGAATGAATATTTCTGTTGCTTTAAATTAAAAAGTCATCTTGGTTTTTGTTGATTTTCTCAAAAATTGAAATCATATCTTCTCCAACAAGCTCTAAGATGTTTTTATCTATATCACCCAGCTTCTTTTTCTGATGTAATTTCATATAGGCATAGAAGGCAGATTCAATTTTGAAAAGATCAGATTTTTCTTCTTAGAGAATAAATTGGAATTCGATTTTCTCTTCCAATACATTGAGTTTCTACTCAAAGTCTTTTGAAAACATATCAGATGGAATCAATGGTTTAGGAATGTAATTAAATAGTTCCAATTGCTCTTTGTTCAAGAGCACATACTTCAATTTATCAATCTCCTGCATCTTATTTAATATGTTTACAACGTCCAACTTATTAAAGATTTTTTCCATGGAATATTTGATTTGCTGTTGATATGACTTCTTGATTCCCAAGTTCATACAAAACAAATCACACATACCAATCGACAGTTATTTCTTTTTATGTTTTAGAAACTTTTTTAATTCCGTTCGATTTTCCACTTAATTTAGATTCCTTTTAGATTTTCTTTAAGGATTCCCCAATTTGTTCTTGTCTTCCTTAATGAAATCGTTCTAGTTTTGATCACCATTAATATTGTTGATTGAGTGTGACAAAGATGGAGATTCATTATTACTAACATTGTTTTCAAAATTGAATATACGATTGGCCATTTACAAATTCATCAATGTTGCAACAACAGGACTGACTAATGTGCTGATAGTAAGAGCAACCAATTGCCAAAGTCCTCCAACATTGCCCAATATATTTTAGAGTTTGATGTAGGATCTCCTATAATTTCCAACTCTTTATTCCATAAAAATCAGATTTTCTATGTAGGATATTTGATTGTATGAAGATTGAAAATCCTTTTAGGTTGATTACAGCAAGGCTAATTCTGTTCTTAAGTCTTATCTAATTAACCCTACGTCTGTCTTAGTTTCTATCATTTTGAAGTTTGACTATATTTATTTAGATTGACTCGATGAGAATGTAGAAAATTGAACCGTAATAATCTCTTCATAGGGTCGGCCTGGATTATCGAATTTCAACAAGGTGTCCCCCAAATAGATGGCGTAATATCCTGCTTTTAGTGCAGTTTAAATTTCTTCCGGCGGGCTACATCCGTTATAAGTTGATGAATTTCTACAAGGCATCATTAGTACTTGTAAAAATTGAAAAGTATCAGCATTTGAGTATCCTTGTAATTACTTCAATAATATTAATTCATTACGGGTGGGTTTTCTTCGCTCACTGTAGAATTGATACAGAACAAATTTTTTAAAAGGAATTTTGAGAAGAATTGCTTTTGGTAATCCTAAGGAAAATGTTTATCTAGATTGCAACTCTCCAACGGTACATTCCGACATCTATGTTATGTTAAGTAATTTACTATAATGAGACATCTTAAGCTTGCTTGGTTTCATTGAAAAAACGAGTTCGATTACAGGCTGTCAAAACTACATCGAAATGTTTTTTGAAGGTTGACAATGATAATAGTGAAGTATCTGTTATGCTAATTACAAATGTGAAATTCTTAGGATCCAAAGTAAAAGCCTAAAAATATAATTTATTCAATTACCGGCATGCTCAAAGGTTAGGTTTCAGAAATGATGATGTTTGGAGTTCCTTGATTAAGTAAATCTTAAATCTGGTAATACATGTATAATGCACAAACAGCCATTAGGATAATTGTTAATAAGTGGCCCAGGACTGTATTAAATTTTTATCTTTTCAAAATACGAAAAAATGGAGGTTGCCCGAAAAAGTCCAAAGAATTGACAAGGTTAAGAAAGCAGCCTTTGATTTCATTTCTTGATCTCTTTTAAAATTTAAGCATCAATTTATTTATTTATCAAATACCTTTTGTACTTTTTTGCATAAATAGCATATCTTAATTTTTAAATCATCATATTAATTAATATAGCAAAATGATATATAATTATTTTCATAATATAAATTTAATAATTCTAAGATGTTCTTTATTATTTCAGATGTTGAATTCAAATCACTCAAAAATGATCAATATTTTGATTGCTTAATTTCTTTGAAAATAGAAAAGCCTTAAATTTTTCAATCCCTCCAGAATTGATTGAGTATGTTCTCATATAATCAAAATGATCAAAATAAGTGATAATTATGATATAACAGCATGAGTGATATGTCAAAATTTAGTCTATGCTTAATCATTCTCAAAATCTGTTATTACAAAGTTCACCCAATTTTTAGTATTAGCTATTAATAAGTTTTGGTTGAAGGTACTTTCCCTTCTCCTTTTAATTAAGATATGTTTGAAGTGTTCATAACAGTAAGTCTTTATACATACTTATTGAATAAGGTACATTTGATTAATTATTGATCTTAAATCTTTGAATAATATTTAATTTCCTACAAATTGATTAATATCTAATTTCTTACAAAACTACTCTTTTTGATTATGGCTGCAGTTCGTAGTCCATGAACTTAGAAAAGTTAAAATCTCATATTAAAAACTGTAGAAATCAGAGAATAAATATGTTTAATAATTAAATAGCTCTTGATTTATAGGAAAAACAAATATTGAATTCATCATTTATAAAATCAAAACTGGATATCATTAGTTGTAATATTTTATTTACCTTTTTATTAAATCTTTTATCTTTATGACTACATCTTTTTATGTTGCCCTTTATTTTGTTTTTTAGACCCTTTAGTTTATTTAATTTTTGGAAATTATTCGCTTTGGTTGATTGAATCGTCATCACTAATTATTTAAGGATCAGGTTAGGTTGGTCTCTTTGTAAGAGATGTAAAATTTTAGCCAGTTGAAGAGAACATATTAGATCGATCAACTTATGTAGCAGAGTGGTCATTTTGATTGAATCTTTAATTAAGAACATTGAATTCGGATGGAGATATTTGGTTTTTTGCCCAATCCTCTTCATCATCACTTGAGAATTTCAATAGATCTGATTAAGCTGCATATCTTTAATTCTCCCCTCTAAATGGATTTTAAGGTTCTTCAATTTATTTATCCTTTTTTAAATGTGATTTTGGTTGGATACTGACAAACCTGGAGGTTGGGACATCCCAATTATCTTCAGCATCATTGTTTTCATCTAAAATAATTTCCTTTTGTATTTATTATTAATAACCTTGATCAATACTTTATTCCTGATTCTCTTCATCTTCCATATTCCATCCAACATCATCATCATCTTGATCTACTAAAATGATTTTATTTAATTTAGATTAAAGCAATTCTTATTCTTTCTATGCCTATAATTGTTATTCTTCCAATAATTATTTAATCTCGTCTTCTCTTTTTTTTTATTGTTCCTCCTCTAATCTTCTCTAATCATCTTCTTATTGTTTTAACTTTAATTCTTCCTATCTCAATTTCTCGGCCTATAATTATTCCTCAATTCTCTTTAATTCAGCTATTCTCCTCTCTTCCTATTCTGCCAATTCAGCCTGTCTTTATTCCTCTTTTGTTCTTTCTAATCTCATTGCCTCTTACTATTACTAAATTAACAGTTCCTATTGTTTCTTCTGTTCTTCCAATTGTAATAGTTCTTTTTCTCTTCTAGCTTTTTCGAGTTCTTGCTATTTGATTTCATCCTCTATTCTTTTGAGTTCTGCTAATCTTTCTGATTCAATTCTCTTTAACTCTTCCTACCTCTATAGTTCTTCTAATTTCTTTTATTCCTAAATTTTATTCTAATATTCTCTTGATGATTCTATAACTGATATGGGTTCGGAAACATCATTACTCTGTATTTTAATAATCATATCTTCTTAAGAAAGATTGAAATTATCTTTTTTTGGATCTGGAATCTCTTATTTGTAGATCATTTGAGAATGCATCATATTCTGAAAGGATTGATTATCCTTATATTCAATGGATTCGTCAATTTTGGGGAAGGATGGCTCATGATCTTACTCGTTCTTATTAAACTATTAGCCATTAATGGATTCATCAAAAGAAAATCTTTTGGATCGTTTGGTTTAAAAGTAATCAGGAACAACTTAGAGAGAATGTGGAGCAGTTACATTATTGTTTTCTTCAAAAAAGTTTTCTTCTTTTTGAGTTTCACATATCAAACAAATTGCAAAGACGATGGTCACTATGAATGAGTCAATACTGCTGATGAATAATTACTCTCTTTATTGATCCCTATAGGCTAGAAGCACACTGGCTATTAAAGCAGGAATACAACAAAACTAAAACGAATAAATATAATTATGATACAAATGCACAGAGTCCATTGATGATATTCATTCCTACCATATTTTCAACATCTGATAATCTACATTTCAAGAATCTAAATCCGAAGTACCTAGAAAAATAAAATCTTGTCATAGTGAAACTCAGTAAGGACAATACATTTAGGAAGATGTAGGCACAGGAATTGGATTTCCTTGCTGCATACCACTAATTAAAAGCAATGTCCCCTTTAGTACTATGTTTGATAACACATAGATTTATGAGATTCAGTATAATGTGAACTCCAATCGAACTCATTAATAGATACATTTCTAGTTTCTCCAAAATGTAATCCAATTGTAAAATAAGTAACACTGCCCATGAACCTACAATGATTAGACCCAATAAACCAACTGCTGATCCTGGAATAAAAGTCTACTATTGTATATAATATATTACCTCAGATTTAGATATCTTAGCTACTGCAACACTCAAAATCATAATTATCGATACTATTGTGAATGGAATGGGTATGTACTTGTTCTCTTGTAAATTGGATATTAATTGCTCTTCTGAACTCGTCAGCTTGTCACATATTCCTACATTATTCAACTTAGTTATCATAAATATAATGTACATCTTAGTATCCACTCGGACATGAAGTTACACAAGTCTAATTTAAATATTTGTAATTCTCGATGCAAGTCAGACATCCTTTTTCATCACAAGTAGCACACTCATTTGAACACTTAACACAAGCAAATTCTTTTATATAATAGTTGGCCAAACAGGTGGAAACACATAGGTTACTTGACATATATGGTGAACTTGTTGGACATGTCTTACACTCTAGGCCATTCGCACAAGTGGCACAAGATGATTGACAAGATAAACACTATTACTCCAAGGAGTAGTATTTAGTAGGACAATTCTGATAGCATTTACCTGACAAATGTAAATAATTGTCTGGACACAAAGTGCACACTGTGCTTGATGAACATAATAGGCAAGATGCATCACAAGAATAGCAGACAAAATTTAATGAATAATATTTATCAGGACATTTATCTATACATTGTTTTGATAACAAATATTGGTTTGTTGGACAAGAGGTACATTCAGTTTCTGAAATGCAATTTCCACAAATATTAGGACATTTAATTAAGGAGGTGCCTGATTTATAATATCCATTAGGTACTGTTGATATACAACTATTATTGAATAAGTAGTATCCTGTAATGCAATCAATACAGATAGTGCTGCTGGAACAATTATTGCATGGTTCAGTGCATTAAGTACAATCGCTTCCATCTTAGAAATATCTATTACCACAATCAGTAACACAACTCAATGATGTCTTTTTATAATAATAATTATTAACACAAGTAAGGCATGCAGTTGGACCAGTGCTACATGTTTTACAGGGCGAAGTACATGCAATGCAAGAGAACCCAACCTAAAATATTCCTGTTGGACATTAAGAAACACACTTGTTTTAATAAAGCAAATTATTGGTGGTTCCACATGATGTGCATTTCGTACTTTGATCAACACAAGTATTGCAGTTCTCATTACACGGTGTGCATATACCATTAAAATCAAATTATTTTTCAGTACATTTCTTAACGCATTTACTATTCTTGAGTTCATAATTTGTATCATCAGTGCAACTTTGACATACAGTACTACTAGTGCATTCTAAACAATTATCTGGGCAAGTCTTGCAAGCATTACTAGAATCACTGTAATACTTTTATCCACAAGTACTTATACATTTTTAATCTAGTAGGTAAATATTAGTGGTTATTGAGACATCAGTATAACATGATAAACAATTATCGGAATTATCACATTCCTTACAAAATACTGAAGGAGTAGCAGGACAATTTAATTTAAATTATAATAATGAATCTGAACTGCTCGATTTATCTATGATAGTTGTATCTCCCTATGTTCTTAATTAAAAAAAGTAGGTAGATTACGAGACCTTGGGATTCCTAATTAAGTTATTCAGTCGAAATTCTATATTTTTAGATGAAATCGCACTTGTTTTAATGCTTATTTCCTAATTATTAACTTAACATGTATCTACTGTTAATCCAGCAAGTCTATCCATTGCTGCTTTACATTCTTTATTCCCAACATCTACAGAAAAATTTTCTGGCATAGTTACAATGATAGTAGATCCTGCAGATGGTATATTAAATAATGTTGCTTTAAAATAATATGTATCTAAAACTCCTAGTAATTTTTTTTCGATATTCATGAAATCAATAGTGATAGTATTTGGATCACCACTTGGAACTATAAGAGCTGTACCTTAAGTTGTGCTTGATATCTTATAAGTGCCTAAGACTGTCTCAGCTGTAATTGTACCAATACTATCTTTATTCACTACATTATATATTTTAGTAACACAAATTTAATTCTTATTTACCACTCCATTTAATTAGATTGTAATCGTAGCTGCTGATGAAATAACTATCAAATTGGAACCAGTATAGGGAGAAAAATCAGAAAACTCCACTTTATTCACATTGCCTAACAGAAATCCTGGTAGAGTAAATGTTATTTTTGTACCAACAGGCTATTCAGTTTCGAAGGTAGTATCAAAAGTATAAGTTGATTGAGCACCATTCTTAGTTTCTGATCTAGCAAGATTTGTTAGACTAATGCCGCTTTATTGTGTATTTGTCAAACTTCCAAAGGCTATTTTCTTATCATATTCCACCGTATTCTTAATTATCTTAAATGAGAATCCAGTTGCAGATTTGAAGGTATTTGGCGTTATTATTGAATTAATTGTTAAAATTATTGATGTTCCTCCAGGTATTGAATTAGATATGGTTATTGTTACTGTAATTACTTAAGCATCTGTTGAACTTTATACGTAATCGCAAACTTTTAGTACGCCTGCCACACTCAAAGAACATGATTTAGATGATAAATCCCATTTAATATCGCTAGGTAATGTTAATTCAATTTCTGAATTAAGTTCTATATCATTTATGTTTTTAAATGTATATTTTATAAAGGCACTTGAACCTACTTTATAAGATCCACTATCTATTTATATATCTGTAAGTATTCCATCATTGTAGCCATTGACAACTAAGGAAGTACTGCTTGTATCAACTACATTATCAATTTTTGTAATAAAATTATTAAAAGTAAGGAATGTGGTTGGTGCCTAGGGGTTAGTAAAGTCCAGTGAAATCACTTATGTCTTAGTAGAATCTAAAGTAGTAATTATTATCAATTCATTTAATGAATCATAAGAACATTGAATTCCACTAGATGGATTTCCTGAGCATATAATTGGTGTGCCTGATTGTAAAGCTGATGGTTTTGTGAAGGTTAATTAATTGGTTGAACTCAGAGGATTCTCAAAGGTAAGCCTGATAGTATAGGTTGATTTCAAGTTGAAAATCCTATTTGATGGACTAATGGAATCGATAGTTATTGTTCCCCCTGTCAAGGTAAAGGTCTTTTTATCACTTTAGTCAATTATAATATCTGTAGATTTTACCAAACTGAAACCCTAACAAGTATGTTCTACAAGTGATGCACCAGTGGTAGCATAAAACATTATAAATGGAGGGTGTTCAGTCTTATCAAAGCTAAATTGAATATCCTTGCTTCCAACTCCAACTGCGGTAGAATCTTTAAAACATTTTGAATAATCTGGAGATCTCAAAGCTGCAAATCCCGCTACAATTATTTTAAAATAGTCTGTGCTTGAATTAGGACTAGTGGGTAATGTAAATTCAAATTTGATTAAATATTCAGTGTTTAGCTTAAGAGTTGTTACATCAGGGTTAGTTGATAAAGTTGCCTTAAAAAATGTAGTAGAGACAATAGTCGCACAAGTTCCAACCTCAAGGAGTTTGGACCAAATCAAAAATATATATAACATATTAAAATATAATAAAGAATGTCTATTAAAGAGTATTTCAACAACTCACTTAATTTGAAATAGTTCTCATTTTTAAAAAAGACTATAATAATAAACAATACTTTTAGGTTGCATTGAGTATCCAATTGACAATCTACATAATATAGATATTTTCAAATTTTTCGGAGCATTCTTCATCTCAATATTAAGTCCTAAATTAAGGTACTAATTGTTGAATAGTTGGAACACTTAAAATACTTTATGGTCCTATTAGCAAGTCGATAAAAAGGTGGAACTTATAATAATAATGCGAAAACTAAATACTTGTAGTTTGATTGAAAATTTGATAGACCTTAAGCACAATTTTCATGTGAAAAATCCAACTATATTTAATTCAAATTTAGATAAATCAAATATCATTAATAACATTCCATAAAAGAACCATCTATTCTTAGATGGATATGATTCTAAATTTATTTTCGATAACACACACTTATACAATTAATCTTATTACGGAATAATTATTATAGTTAATTTTTAAAATGAATCTAAGTTATTATAAGATAGAAACATCTTTATCTTATTCAAAGAACTCAGTGTCATTATTGGAAATATCATTATTCCAATATGATTTTAATTCTGAAGCAAACATAATTAGATATATAGAAATGTGAAAAAAAATTGAATAAAAATAAGATAAGAATTTCATTAATAACTTAATTAAGAGAACTTAAATTAATAAACCTATTATAAAAATAAATAAAAAAACAGATTGCCCATTTATTTTATAGGTTCAACAATTATGAGAACTTCGAGTGGTTAAAGTTGATAACTTAGGGTATTGTAAATTGATATCATAGCAATTCGAAGGCAATCTGTTCCAAAAATAAGATTCCAGAATAATCTAAAGGAATTTTGAAAAAAAACTGTATTTTTTTTCAACATTATTATTATATTAATATTTGAATCCAAAAATTCTTTTTAATAGTTCTAAAATATTATAAAGATGAGGAGAAGATGCAGGAGAGTTGCGATTTGACCAAATCGTCATTTAATTGAAATGTAAATGGCAATTATTCATGTCAATCTTCTAAAGGATTACGGAGAAGGAGAAACCATTATATAAGGGTTTCTGATGAGGAAACTCAAAATTATTGATTTGAAAGTGGCATGGATAATTTACTTTTTAAACCCGTCACTGTTGGAGAATTATAAACTTTATTAAATTAAAATTATGATTAAATATTTTTTGTGATTAAAAATAGCAATGTCTTATAACTTCAAAATCTATACGTCCTGTTATGCCTGCTAAAGACATGATAAATGTGATTTTATCTAAGACTCAAAGGAAAACACCTACAGTAGTCCATCCTGGATATGATATCTCCAGAATTAGAGGATTTTATATGAGAAAAGTGAAATTTACATAAGAAACCATTCACGAGAAGATCGATGCCATTTTGTAAGACTTCCCAAAAGTATTTGATATCCTCATATAAAATAGTTAGATGATATTCATCCCTTTTATGCAGATTTGATTAATGTATTGTATGACAAGGATCATTATAAATTGGCATTGGGACATGTACATGCTTGTAGGAATGTGATTGATAACATTGCAAAGGATTATTGTAGATTGCTAAAATACGGTGATTCCTTGTACAGATGCAAAATGTTAAAGAGAGCAGCATTAGGTCGTATGTGTACCACACTTAAAAAATTGACCAGTTCTCTGAATTATTTGGATGAAGTCAGAAAACACTTATCCAGAATGCCAGCCATCAATCCCTTTGAAAGAACTCTCCTAGTCACGTGGATTCCCCAATGTTGGAAAGAGTAGTTTTGTAAATAATATTACAAATGCCAATCTGGATGTTCAACCCTATCCATTCACAACATAAAATCTATATGTTGGTCACTCTGATTACAACTTTGTACGTTGGTAAGTTATTGATACTCCAGGAGTCTTGGATCATTCATTGAGTGAAAGAAACCCAATTGAAATGTAAGCAATTACAGCACTTGCACATTTAAAGGCATGCATCATGTTTTTCTTGGATATCTCAGAAACATGCAGTTACTCAATTGATCAATAGATTGCACTCTTCAAAGACTTAAAACCACTCTTCAAGAATAAACCTTTATTATTAGTTATGACTAAAATAGATATTAAAAAGTTTGAATAATTAGATCCAATTGATTAATAAAAGTTGTAGGATGTCATCCAATCTGAAAACGTGTTCTAGTATCTATTTCAAATCTATTTATTAGTTCTTAATTGAGTAACAAATCTGGTGAGGGAATAGCTTTGGTTAAAGAAAAAGCCTGCAATTTATTAAATGAATGGAGATAAAATCTTAAGCCTGAACAATTAACAGGTGGCAATCCAAATCTTTTGAGAGAAGAGTCAATTCTCTAAGGAGTCTATATTGCTTAACCTAAAAGAGTTAATCAAAATAGAATGCCAGTAATTCCCTAAGTAGTGGGTAAATTAAATAGACCAACATTGAAGGATGTTCAGGAATAAAATGGTGGTGCTGGTGTCTTCTCCTTCCCATTATAAGGTATTATCTTACGTTGATTATTTTCATAGAACACTTTTTGTTAGACAATCCTGATTGGAAATATGATGCTGTACCTGAAATCATGGATGGCAAGAATATTGGAGATTTTGTTGATGCTGATATTCTCTAGAGATTGGAGGAATTGGAAAAGGAAGAAGAAATGATGGATTAAGCTGAAGTTGAAGATCCAGATGAAGATGCTAGAGAAGACATGTTATTAAGTACTAGAGATTAAGTCAACAAAAAAAGAGAGATGATTAAGGAAGAACATCATATGAAAATGAAACAATAAGTTAAATTACATAGACCCAATTTGGAAGATGCAAAAGAAGATTTTGCTAAAAAAGGAATTGATACTACCTTTTTAGAATAGAGAGCTTAGAAGTTTGCTGCAAAGAAGATTGTATAAAAATAGAAAAGACAACAACAATCATCAGATGATAGTGATGACAATGATATGGATATTGAAGGAAACGAGAGAAATCAAAGAAAAGGAAGAGATGCTTTATCTAGAAGTAGAAGCAGACTTCGAGAGATCTCAAGAAGCAGAAGTAGAGGCAATAAAAAAGTCCTTACTGCTTAAGAATAAGTAATATATTCTATCTAATATCTTAGGCCATGGAAAGAATGTCTAAAAAAATATAAAGAAGAAGAAGAAATGAAGCTAAAGCTGGTGATGGTGATACTAAAATAGATTGCAAAATGCCTAAGCACTTATTTACTGGTAAAAGTGGTATTGGAAAATAATCAAGACGTTGAATTATTTGTTGTTAATAATACAATATAATATTAATTAATCAAATATAGTCATCATCTGAAGTAACTCTATTACTTATTTGTCTCCTACTATCACTCCTTTACTTAGTATTAATTTTAGACTATGGTTTTATCATATATCCAGTTGTTTCATTGAAATTCTCTTTTAAAATACTTCTTGATTTGCTATGTCCGATGCTTTTATTATTATTATTGTTATAGTTTTTATTCAAAAAATCTTCAAATAACTCTGATTCTACAACGTTAAAGTCCTCATTTTTCTTAACTAAGTTTTTACTCTAATTTTTTGTACTAACCAGAGCATCTCTACTAGGTTCTTTTGTATGAAGGTTCTCCTTTTAGCATTAATTGTTCTTAGCAATGGAAATATCCTACTTAGAATTATTATTATCTCTAAATCTTTCCATTCCTTAAATCTAAGTTGATGGTGACCTAGATCTAGATCTTTAACTATGTCCATTCTAAGATGAACAATGAGATAATGCAGAGAACTTTGACGGTGTAATACTCCTTTTAGAAGATCTATCACAAGATTTCATTGAATAATCCATCAAATGCTTAACTTAAGCAATATCTTTAAATTTCTTGTTGTACTCATCCAAACACAGACTTACCAATTCATAACATTTAAGAGTAATTTAATTAATTTTTTAGTCAACTATTTAATTTTCTTCAATTATAAAATTATTTAAATCTGTTTTGCATTGTCCTACATACATATGTTTAAGCTTTTGCTCTTCAATCATCATTTATTCTTATTGTTTCAACTATCTAAATTGAGATGTCATCTATTTTTCAATTGGATAGATCGATGTTTGATATACTCCAATTTTAGTTTTCAATTCATCCAATTTCTTAAATTACTCTTCTTGATCTTTTTTCCTTTAATTTATTTGCTTAACATAATCATTGTATGATTATTTCAGAACTTTCCCCTCCTCTACGATTGGATTCATTAATTCTTTAATGGCCTAAGATGTTCCCATAATTTATGAACCAATTATTTTAATCTATTCAAACTTAATTTAGTAATACCTATCCACTCATCTCCTTAAGTATGTAATTTGTGTTGATTTTCATCATATCCTTGATGGTTCTTTTAGAGAGATCCTCGATTTTGTCTCCATAGTCACAAGTTGCCTTACCAAAATCCTAGACATAATTTCAATAATGAACCTTCATCAATGTTTTATTGTGCTTCAAACACTCCGTCATTAACTTCAAATTTGTCTAGAGTTATTCATAAATGGATTGTATTTCATTATCACTTAAAATTCGACTTTTTTAATAGTTCATTATTAATAATAAACTCCAACCTAAAACTCAGTTAATTAATTCAAAATAACTCATTTTCAACAGTATTAATAATAGATTTCTCACATTGAAATTCTACTAAAGATATATATATATCTCAATTGAACTTTCTCAAATATATTACTGTCTTATAATTATAATAAATATTACAAAAATGGATGATGAAAAAAAGAAGAAGAAGGGTAATAAAATAGACTTAAATCTCTTACCTTCCTCAATGAAAGAACGTTATGCTGCAATGGGAATATTACCCAAAGCTTAAATTCCAAAATCGAATCTCTAAGTCGATGTACAAAGAATGAAACAGAAAAAGGTTGAAAAAGAGTAACCAATTGAATAAAAATTAGAAGGTATTGAAATCAAAGCAAGTGAAAAGAAGTAGTTAGAAAAGTAATCTTATTGTTATCTTTAGAGTATTCTAGATGCTTAAAAAAAAAGATGTTGATTACTTTGATGCTAAAGATGTTGATAAAATGCTTAGGTTTTTAGGTGTTTCACTTACTAAGTCTGAAATTGATCTTATGTTATGGGTAAACTACACTATTAATAATGAAACTAGGAAGTCGATGAAAATCTTGATGGAAGAGTAAGTTGGACTGAATTTTTGAATATGTACAAAAAATGTACAATCGATAAGACAGGTCTAGAACCAAAGAGTTTGTTTCATATGATTTAGTTCTTAATGTACTTACCCCCAGATAGAAAGGATCCAAAAGTAACAGTCGAAGTATAAATACTAACTTATACAAATAGGACACTTTGGAACTGTTATATGTTCGATTTGGTAGGTAATGTTTGGATTCTGAAATTCATGCCATTTTTGGAGATGAGGAGAAAAATAAAGATGGCGAAGAGAAGGCTATTTCGTTTAGTGAATATATGGAGAAAATTAATGAGAGAGCAATTCAATAAAGGAAGCTCAGAAAGGAAGAATAAAAACAACAATTTTAATACTTCAAAAAAGAAAAGTAAATGGAGTGAGTTCTTTTATTATGTCCTATAATAATTGAAATGAACATCATTAATAAACTATTTTATTCTTAATTATTTAAAATTGAATAAATAAATTATGTAACTTTTGAAATAAGATATAAGCGTATCATTTCGAAATTATGTAAATCAAGAAGTATTATCATTTCCTTAGAAACCTAAATTAATAAAATGTTATCAACACTAATTTCAAATAGAAAATTATGAAAAGTTATATTTATATAAATATTAATCAAACTAATTTGTTCTCAAGGTTTTTTAACAGAAGGTCTTCTACTATGTTATTGTAGTTATTAAATCACTTGAGGAGCCTTGTTATTCGTAATTGTTAATGGTTTTTCATACTTTTTCTTTTCTAGCATCTCTTTTATCTATTAACCTTCTAAAATTAAACGACCCATTTGATTAATTTCTCGATTGGTTTTACTCAATAATGAATTCTCATGTGAAGTTAATTATATTTTAGCAGCCAATCTATCACATTCTTATTGCAGCTGTCTATTCATACCCTCTAATCTCTCGACGACTGATTAGAGATGTAGGATTTCCCTATCTTTGAGTATTAATTACTAAGTTGTTTTATCGAAATTCTAAGAACTTGTATTAATCCAAATAAATACTTTTTGTTGTTCTTTTTAAGTTGCTTTAACTCCTCTTCATTTCTTTACAATTCATTTTCAAGGTTAGCTACTTGTCGAAGTAGATCTCTATTTTAATCTTATAATTACATACATTATTAAGAGACTTCTTCGAAAGATCTAAAATATATATCAAATAATACTATTCAGCTTAGGCTCTATACAATCTTTCTTCTTCCACTTGTTTCAAATATATTTCAATGTTTTTGTACTTAATTTCCATTTCAGAAAACCTTTCATCTTGCATCTTTATTCTATCTACTAAGGTTTGCTTTTCCTTTTTGTATTGCTCCTGAATGTTGAGGTGATCCTTAAGCTCTTTAGTTTATTATTCTTTCAATGTATTGATCTAATTGCAAAATTGTTGATTGTCTCTTTATAATTATATTATCTGACTCTAAAATTCTTATTTATTATTTTAAAATTCTTTAAGCTGCTAATTATGATCTCGGACTTATTATTAGATTTAAAGATCTTTCTATTATAGTTGTTATAGTTGTAATTACATTCTTTCAAGCTTTTGATCTTTCTCAATTAAAGAGTCCTTTAATATTTAAGATTCTTGCATATATTGCTCATTCAATTCCTATAAATCTATACATTATTATGATAATTTTCCGTATTCGTCATTAATAGTTTGTATTTATTATTAATACTACAAATTATGCATTTACAATTGATCGCATTAGTTTTTTAAAGAATGATATTCTTTATTTTTATGTTTCTCCTGATTTTATAACTATTACTATAAGGTTGAGTATCTCTCATTATAATTTTGCATCTAATCAATCTTGTGAACATACTTGTTTCTTTCTGCCTCCAATTATTAATAATCTTTATATAGTTGTTATAAATTTTATTCGTATTTATCAGATTGATGCTTAATCTAAGTAATATAATTTTTCATATCCTCCATTTTACCATATAGATGACTTAATTCCTATTCTCTCTTAATTACCAATTTCTCCAATTCTTTGATTTGTCTTCTAGAGTGTTTTTTATCTTTCTTTTAATCAGAGTTTTAGATATTGATGGGGTCTTGATGATATAATTCATTTTGGTTGAGCATTTCTTGTAAATTGGTTATCTCTTGAGTGATCTAATCATTTTCTTCCTACAATTGAAGCATTTGATCCTTATACATATTATTCTCTTGTATCAGATATTCCATTTATTAGCCTTTATACTAGAGATTAGTTTTATATTGATCATTATCTTCTAGTAATTTGTTATAGTATTGCCCTCCTTACTCCATCTCTTTCCTGTAATCTTGCAATTAATTTTCGAAGAATTCATTCTCTTGTCTCAAACTTTGACTCAGCTAAAATTGAGTTCGTAAATCATTCCTTTAAATTCTCAATTTAATCAATCAATTCATTGTTTTCTGTTTCTAATTATTTAATATTCTTAATGTTATTAGAATTCCTTATACTTGTTAGAGACTCTGTAACTGACTCATCAAATTGGAATTTTCAGTCTGCAATTGCTGATTATGCTTCTCGAGATTCTCATATCTCATAAGCATCTCCTGAAGTTCTTCATCCTTGGAGGACATAAAAATATATATTTATTTAAAATAAAAGATTAACGATCATAAATTTATCATTTTTCTCCATCAGAATCGACAACTTTGATATCGTTGCCGAATAAATCATCAAAACTTGCTGGTTTATTGATTTCTTTAATTGTCTATGCCACCTGTTCTTGTATATTCTTTTGTTAATGCTGATATCCCCCTATAGATTAAGACATGCATGGTAGTACAGGTGGCAACCAATAACTATTTATCATGCTCTATCCCAAAGGCATCATAAATGATGGCTGGTTAGCCAATAATAATAATGGTTGCATTGTACTTTGTCTATTGATATCATCTATGGACTTTTGCATCATAAACATATTATGATCAGATTGAGCTAGAGTTGAACATTTACTGTTGTTATTTTCCTCCGTTTTTATTTACTTATAGATATGCTTCAATATTAATCCTTGATAATCCAATGTGTTAAATGGAGAAATGAATAATTTCTTAGTTCTTTTGTTAAAGACAACAACTCCAGACCTATCATTTTCTACCGAAAATTGATTACTATTCACTCTTTTGATGTTCAATAATTTTTTGTATAAAATCTCACTTTTGTTGCTAGAACTTAAATCATAATGAAATAAATCAAAAAAATCATCATTCTTTATTTTTTATGCCTCCTCATACTTACCCTCTGAAATACACAAATCAATATATAAACTTTATATTCCTAATACTATAAACTACCATTCATAATTATCAATTTCTTCAATTGGAGTTATTTTACCGTATTTATTAGCATAGTCCATCCTTAACTTTTGCACTTTTGAAAATAATTATGGATTAATCGTTTCAAATTCATATTTTAATTTCTCTTTTTTTAAAAGGGAGTTGTATTTATTCTTTAAAGAATTCTCTGTTCTCACTCTCCCATAAAGAGCAGACAACTCGGACCATTTCTTTCCTCTTATCAAAATGGTTTTTAATAAATCTATTTCTTATTACTTCGACCATGGTTCACTTCATATAAAACATCTCCTTACTTGCAAATATTGGGATCCAACCTATTAATCCACCTCTCTCTACATTGTTTCGGTTATCTGAAGATTTTATTGGGGGATCTCTTGTACATTTCCCTAGCTATCTATGACCATTTGTTTTCCTTTCCCAATCTACTAAACTCTCTTGAAGATATTGTTAAATTCGTACTCATGCACTTGTTACAGTAATTAATCCTCCTCTTCTACCCATGGGGCCTCTGAGAGCGAAATTTTATATTTCTATTCCCACTTCAATCTACATTGATGAGCATTCCTCCCTATTATCATTTTAGCTATGTCTCTCCATTCAATAGGTGTCTTAGTTTTAAGAATAATTTTAATTACAAGTTAATTGATTTCTTTTAATAAACAATATCTGATAACCACCCAATAAAATAATCTTTTATCTTAATCATTCCATTTTACACTTCTTCTCCTTGCATTCTAACTTTTTTATGATGATTAAATCCTATACATGTTTATTTAGAATAACATTTTCGCCTCATCGATTGTTGGCCAATCGTCTACTTTTAATCGAAGATTGGAACCTATTCTTGTCAGCTATTCCCTTGTCTCTTAAAACTCCTTTGAGTTTTCAACAAAACTACTGAAATGCTGATTTACCACTTCGTAAGGGTAGACTTAAACAATAACATACTAAGCGTTACTAATCAGATCCTCCATCTCACAACTACCAGCTAGTTTTACTTCCTTCCTCTCGCTGTGCATTAATAAAAATATAAAATACTGTATTATTAATTCATTATTAACTACAGCGTTGAGAATTTGAGTAGCAAAGTGTTTATATTGTAATTTAAGAGTTTTTATAATTTTTATCAATTTCTTCAGTCATTTAATCAAAGCAATCCTGATTCTTCAATTGACCACAATATTTTTATCCAATAAAATTATTTCAATAAAATTTCATGATATTGATAATTTATATTCGTTTTAAATTCAGTTCTGTTCATTACTTATTCAATTCTCTTTTCGTAATAATTGTCTCTTAAAATTGACAATAATCGCTCTAAATTACAAGCATTTGCGAACTCAAGGTGCTTAAGCAAAATTTATCCTTTGATGCACAAATGCATTAGATTGGATTCCAATGACAAAAAATACTTTTATAAAAAACAACTCTACAATTCTATATTTATCCTTTTCGAGTGATCCAATCCTTCAATTATTTTTCAAATCGTGTTTACAACCAGAGGAACGCAAATTAATATAATTTATAAAATGTAATATTCAAATTAAAAGATAATTAAAAAATGTTAAACAAAACATATTGCATGTATGCTATTTAATAAAAATGTTAAACTATGCTTTCAACTTCTAATTACAAGCTCCAAAATAAACAACGTTCCCATTTTCATCTCTTTTGTTAATACTTCTCAATGTGAAGAGCTTCCTTTGATGCTTATTGATAGTATTTGTAATTATAAACAGAATTTGTTATTTGTAAAACAATCAAGTGCTTGTGAATGAGTAGTTGAATTTCAGCAAATGTAAATTTATATTAGCAATTTTATAAAAAATATCAAGAATTTTTAATTTTTAAAATATACTGATAATTGAATAGATGATGCTTGACTCATATGTTTTTTTATAAATGCCATTCATAGTAGGCTGCTTCAAGTTAATATGAGTTTTCTACCGACTTTACATTGTGATCTGTTTCTATGAAACTAGCTCCTATCTGTTGCTTTTTCAATTGATCTAGATATTTCTCATACAAGATTTATGGATACTGATCCTGCGGTACTTTCAATTTAAACTCTTCGAAACTCTAAATCGGAGCGGCTTTTATATTGTATTTCTGTTAAAGTTCCTAAAGGATTTAATCTATATCATTTCTATAATATATACTTTTTCTCATATTTAATTATTCTGTATATGATACATTTGATTGGTCAAACACTTCCTATATTTATTCTTATTCTATTATTGGATTTTCCTTTTATACATTCTACTCTGAAACCAGTTTGATGTTTTCTAAGAAATTAAGATCGACTTCATCAGCCTTTTACAAATACTTTTAAAGTCTCTCTTCTCTTGGATTAAGAATTTTTAATTCTTATTTAGGTTCAACTTCTTCTTCCTCCTAAACTAGTTCCATAGTGATTTCTGTGTCAAATAATGGACTAGAAAAGCGTTACTAAGGTTTCACAGATCTTAAATTATTATTATTGTTAGCAAATTAAGCAAAAATTTTATCGTATTCATTAAGAATTGGTTGCTTACTATGTTTTTTCTCAGTAGGTGGAGGAGTTATTTTTTATACTTCTTCAATTAGTGTATTAGGAATATCCTATTGTTCTAATTTATTATTAATATTTAATTATTAAGGAATATCCTTTTGATCAATATCGATTTTAGAAGTGTGTAAAGTGTTCTCAACTTATTGCAATAAACTTTCTGTTTTTAATTTCAATTAATCTTTTATTGATTGTTTGTTATTTATTTGAGGTTCGAATTTATCGGTTGTTGATTATTCAACTTCAATATTCTTTTTGGCTTCTTCAAACATTTACTAAATTTTAGGTGAAAACTTAGGTGCTCTATCAATATATTTTAATTCAATAAGTTTTTCAGCTTTGCTTTCTTCTTGCATATCAATATTATTTCTTGATAAAAATGAAACATTAATGGATTCTTTTGGATTAAATTCTATGATGTTAATCTTTTTGGTTCTGTCTTCTGAAATCTTTTCTAATTTCTATAATTCTTCCTCAATATTAATAGGTTTTGAAATTTTGATTGGAGTCATTTCAATTTCCTCATCTTCACTTTCGCTTTCACTTTCACTATCAATAGGTTCTTATTGAGGAATTTCATTAAGATTAGAATCAAAACTATTAATTCCATTAGGATGATTTATTTATTCTTCTAAATTTAAAATTGATTGATTTATCATCTTCTTTAAGCTCTCTTCATGAGAAGTGTGGGGTTGTTCAATCTTATCGATTTTAATAGTTTATTCTATTAGATTCTCAACTTTATCTTAAATAACTGTAGGATTTTCTTTTTTAAAAGGTATGAATTTTGATAAGGTTGGTTTTTCTTGTTAATTATGAAATTCAGTACTAATTTTTAATTGTTTAGTTTAATCATTCCCTAACTTATAATAATTATTACTAAAGTATAACAAGCATTCATCTTCACAAATGAAAGTTGATTAAGCTATGATGGATAGTGCTGTTGATTGTTTCATAAGGTTGTAGCCTTAGAATGTTGGCAAGTCATCGATCCTAGACTATAGAATATCAACTGCACCAGCCACAACGCAGACTCCTAATATTTCAGTATCTATGGATTGGAACTTAAGCATGATTCCCTCATTTCTGATGTCTAAATTATAGATTAATTGCAGATACCCTGTTAAAATGAGAAGGTATTGCTTTATTATCTGACTCCAGTTAAGAATACCCATGATTTAGGTACCTTGACAAACTATCTAGAGATTTTAGATGAGAATACTTTAGATAAGGAATGAACACGATTTCTTTGACTTTAAAATTGAGGCAATTCACTTAGACTCTATCATCAAGGATAGCCATGTATCGATATTCTAAGGATTGTTCTGTTCCACTCAAAACTCCAACTGTAAATCCTAGACTTAGTATGGAATAGAATACCATCAGCGGTCACATTGTAAATCTTGCTGAAATACACCTAAGAATTATGATTCATTAGACTATTAATTGTTAAAGCAACCTAAGGGACACGGATAAATGGCTGATCAAATTAAATTTCCTTTATTTTTCATTTGCAATTTGTCATACTTAATATTAAAGTTTTCCAGGCTAGAGATCTTCAAATTGAATTAACCCAATCTCTAATTATAATGGTATGTTTTTGCAAGTAGCCAAATAAAACAGAAGAAGGCCTATTAGTTATACCTTCATAAAATTAATATTATATTAAAAAACGAATCAAACTAAATTGAAATCAATCAATAATTTTATTTTATACAAGAATTTGATTAGCTCCATAATAATTTGATAGATTACTAAGGGTTTCTATAGAATTGATAATAATGGATGATATTCAAATTCTGAGTGTACATTAAATAAGTGTTGTTGATTTAAATATTAAATATAAATTATTAATTAGTAATATATCTATTATGCTTACAAAACAATAGGCTTTTAAAAGATCAGAATCACTCTCAGAAGTTGATTACAGAATATATGTAGAGTTGCTAAGAGGTAAAGTTTATAGAGGAGTCATATTCATATCGGTTCATATTCACAAAAGTGATGGATTATTCTTTGATTGGTAAGGCGGTAAACTTGATGGAGTAACAGTGAACGGTAATGCAGTTGAATGGAAATTGGAAGAAGGATTCATTACATTGGTTGGCTAAGAAAATCTTTAAGGCCAGACTGAAATAAGAAGTAAAATTTAAGTTATGTTATTCTAGTAAATTTTGAGAACGAATATTCTACCACAGGTTATGGATTGCATTCATTTATTGATTCAGACGAATAATAATATCTATATTCATAATGCGAACCCCATCACTTTTCCAAGATGTTTCCATGCTTTGATCAACCAGATTTAAAAGGTTTTAAATAAATTAAATTTAAAAGGCACTCTTAAGTTGATTGCTCAGGCTCCAAAAGAATGGAAGATAATCAGCAATGAAAAGAAAGTAGAAGGAAATCTGTAAAATATAGAATTGGTATTGGTCTAAGAATTAGGTTACATTTAACATAAGGATGATTATTAAATATAAGAGTTTGTGAAAACTAAAAAATTATCCACTTATCTCTATGCTGTTGTTGCAGGACCCTATGAGGAGATAAAATGTGAAGAATTGCATAATGGAATTGAAATGAGCTTGTTCTGTAGAGTTTCTTTGAAATAATTTTTGTAAGGAGACAGCAATGACATTTTTAAACTAACAAAGGATGGTATGAAATATTATGAATAACTATTCTAATTTCCATATCCATTTAGCAAATACGATCAAATATTTTGTCCAGAATATGCTACAGGTGCTATGGAAAATGCTGGAGCTGTTACTATAAATGATAATCAAATATTCAAAGAGGAAGTGCCCATAGATTAAATTGCATAAAGAGGAAATGTTCTGTTGCATGAACTGTCACATATGTGGTTTGGAGATTTGGTAACAATGAAATGGTGGGATGATTTATGGTTGAATGAGAGTTTTGCCGAATTCATTTCACATTTATGCTAAACAAAGGTTCACAACATTCCTATTGATCATTGGGTGGAATTCTTAAAGAGTAAAATCTGGGGTTATATAACAGATCAGAGAAACACTACTCATCCCATCTTCTGCGATGTTCAGAATACTGATCAAGCAGACAATATTTTTGATGGGATTACCTATGCTAAAGGTGCAGCCTTATTAAAACAGTTATTCACTATGATGGGAGAACAAAAATTCAGTCAAGCTATGGGATAATATTTTAACAAGTATCAATATTCAAACACAACTCTTGCTGATTTCTTTGGAGTCTTGAAATAGCAATTTGAAGGAGACTATTTGCTATAGTGGTAATAAGATTGGATTATGAAGGCTGGTTTAAATTTGGTTGAACTTACCTCAGTCAATGAAAAAAGCTATACATTCAAATAAACAGCAACTCTTAAAGACTTGCATCCAACCTTAAGAAATCAAATGTTCAAAGTTGGATTATATGATCATGATGGCAAAGAATTAGAAGTCAAACTCATTTAATTAAATCCAACTGAAGAAACTGTTTTAGAATTCGAACATTAGAATGCTTATGTACTCTTAAATTTTGATGATGGTTCATTCGTAAAAACTTCATATTCATAATAATAAGCAGACTTTTTCCTAAAGAATCTCTCTAATCTCTCAACTATCAATAGAGTTTTGGTCTTGAGATCTATTTGGGATTAAGTTAGAGATGGACTTACTGGTTTTACAACATTCATCAATGGAGTTTTGAAATCATTACTGAATGAAACTGATGATGCAGTTCTTTAAATGGTTTTAGAATGGTGCACTGGAGGTGTCTCTTTCTATTGTCCAATCAAGCATAGATAAACCTTTGAGAATGAATTGGCTCATGTGATTATTGAATTATTGAGAAAGTGTCCAAAGGAAAATAAAAACAAAAGATTAATATTATTAGATTATTTGGCATTATGGGGTACATCTCAATAAAATTTGGAATTCTTGTTACAACACATCAATTCAGATGATGCAGAATTCGGTTTCATAGGGTTGTCAAATGGATGGCGAATAATTAGAAACATATTTGCTAATCTTAACATTCCCAAAGAACAAAAATGGTAGCTATTTGAAAAATGGGCTTAAAGAGATGGAACAGACGAAGTCAGACTTTAAAAAAGATTTTTAGAAAACCTGTTTAACTTCGATAAACTTTGGGATTATTTCATTAATTATAACAAAGAAGAGAGTATTCCAATGGTTAGGGAAGCAATGGCTGCATTTAATCACAAAATATATTTAGAATAATTACAAACATATGAGTAGAAGTATTTTGAAGCCTTACCAACGATATTTTCAACTAAGAGTTCAGAATATGCAAAGGAGTTCTATCATTCCCTATATCCAATTAATGACAATATTAACTCATATATCGAACTATGTGAGAAAACCTTGTTAAAGTCATAACACGATATCTTAACTAAATTTTTAAAGGATTCAATAGATGCAGATTAAAGAAGATTAAAAACTTATAAGTTCTTTTTGGATCCAAAATGAATAGTATAATAAATAATTGATTAAAATTATTCTTATTTTATTGATTTTCTTCTAAAATCAACATTATGATTCCCTTAAAGTATGAGTAAATAGATTAAAATTTTATATAGAATAAATTTTAGATAGACATAACTCTAATATATTAAAAATTAATAAAAATAGAACTATTCATTATGATATTTTTTAAAAAAGAGATTCAAATTCAGTAGAAAAAGTAGCCTCGATTTCTAACTTTCCATTTTTTTAGATAATTGTCCCATTTGAGTTTTAATAAAATGATTCATTAATATCAACAGGAAAATTCTAAAATACAATCCTTTTTGCCTAAAGCATTATTCCTTAATCTTCACCAAATATTGAGGTCTGTAAATCACGATTAGTTTTAGTAAACTAGAATCCATATTTTTGATCAAATAGTATTGGTGTGTTTAGGACTTAGCTTAAATGCGCTCTAATTTAATGTTTACGACCTTCAAAAATTTGTAAATCAAGGATTGAATACATTTCATCTTGATATTAATATTCTTCGATAACTTCATAAGAAGTTCTTGCAGGTAGATATTTACCTTCTAATAGTTGTTCTTCATTATAACAAGTTTATTTTTGATTATTAGTATTAAATAATAATGGACGGTCAATTAAACCTTTTTGTACTTTTATTTGACCTTAAACCACGGCAATATATTTTTTTGTGATAAAGGCTTTTTCTTAAATGATCGTACTTATTTCTGTTGCGATATCTTTATTTTTAGCAATGATCAAAAGGCCAGATGTTAATTGATCTAATCTATGAATAATGTAGAAGTTTTTAAAATATAAATTTAAAATCTCTGGTATGTTGTAATTTGGATTGGCTCCTCCTTGTGATGCATATCCATGTTTTTTATTGAGAATGATAATTTAATCATTCTCATACAGAATCATTTTTTTTAATTCTTCATAGGCTTAAGTGTTAGGAACAGGTCTTAATTAGGTGTCTGCTTATTTCTTTAATTTATCCCAGTATGTAACCACATCTCCTTCTTTTAATAAGAATTGGTGATCTTTAATCTTTTTGTTATTAACATTAATTTCGCCATTTCTAATCAATTTCTAAACTTCATTCCAACTGCGATTGAGGTCAGCAATAAGGAATTTATCTATTCTCGTGCCTGAATGAGAGTTGAAAACGGGTACACTTAATTTAGTAAAATGCGATTTAATGAATGTGGTTAAGAACATGAATATAATATTTTATGTTATTATAAATTTTATTATTGTGCTTAATTAATTGTTAATATGAACCCGTTTTGATAGCTAGGTTTGGGAGAAGTAAAAATAAATTAGAAAAAAATCCTGCTCCTTAGTTTGAATGTGTGGATGAAATAAATGAAGATGAAGAAAAACCCAAAGAGTATTCAATTAAAGTCGGAACACTCTATTAATTAACAGATGGAACTTGGTATTTAAAATCCACTGATCCTGCCAGTGGATAAACGTACCTCATGAATTTAAACGATATTACTCGAGTCAAGTATGTACCCAAGGAAGAAGAGGATGATAATAAGAAGAAGAAGACTGAAGATAGACCTGAATAAGTATTGAAAGAATTTGAATGGACTCCTTTGATTGCTTACGAGAGTTTTCCAAGAAACAGAGGAGGCCATTCGATGCATGCTATAGGAGATATAATAGTTGTATTTGGCGGATGTTTTTTGGACATAAAATGCTTTGATGATCTTTTTCTATTCGATGCAAGAACTCGTGTTTGGACTTCTCCTAGAGTTTTTGGTATTCCCCCAGTGGGTAGAACTGGATTTGGAGCATTGGTGAATGGAGCAAAGCTCTTTATATTTGGAGGATCTACATTATAGGGATTGACGAATGATCTGTTCGTATTTGATCTAGAGAGTAAAAGTTGGAATCAATTGTTTTGGCCAGGCATAGTTCCAACACCAAGAGCAGGACACAAGATGGTTTTGACAGCCATAGGAGGTATAGTATTTGGAGGGTTTATGGGTGAGAGGTACTCTAATGATGTGTATGTTCTTGACATTTTAAATGAGCAGTGGTTAAAGCCAGTTGTAAGTGGTGACATTCCTATAGGGAGGGAGAGTTTCTCAATGGTTTCTCATCATGGTGTTGTATATGTATTTGGAGGGTATGCCACTGGAACAGTTCTCGATGATGTATACACTATTAATGAGGATTTGACTTGGGAAAAAAAGGAACCGGCAGGTAAGGTGCCATCTCCAAGATAGGGAGCAGCATTGGCTGAATACGATCACAGAATATTTGTAGCAGGAGGGTGTAATCCAAAGACGTTTGAGTGCTATAATGATTTATATGCATTTGATACTACTACTAATCACTTTAGTACTGTGAATGCTTTTAAGAAAAAGAATTTGAAGTCTGTAGAATTTGCAGGGATGGCATTTGCAGGTCAATTGTTAATTCATTTCGGTGGGTGTAAATTAGATAAAACTTGTAGTGATTCATTGACGGCAGTGTTACTTAATTCCAATGAATACTGTCCTCCCTGTAGAAATGGGGGAGTCTGCAGAGTTGGTCATTGCAGTTGTCAATAGGGTTGGTAAGGTATAGATTGTACAATGAAAGTGTTATGCAGGTAGAATTGTTTAGGATAGGGTACTTGCTTAAGTAATGGGTATTGCAGATGTTATCCAGGGTTCACAGGAACAGTCTGTCAATTGCAAATACCTTGTCCCAGTAATTGTACTGATGCTGAACATGGAGAATGTTAGTTGGATGGGAAATGTAAGTGCAAAGAAGGGTTTAGTGGTTCAACATGTGGGGAAGATCCTAAAGAGGAAGATAAGAAAGAAGAGGAAATATGTAAGAATAAATGTAATCGTCATGGGAAATGTAATTATTATACAGGGTTATGTGAATGTGAGTATGGATTTAGTGGTCCTGATTGCTCGGTTGTGTCTTCTTCTGATGATTATAAATCCATTTGGTAATTGCTTAAGGATGATGATAACGAACCTGAAACTGGGACAACTAATGTAAATATGCAGGATTTCATAGCAACTGGTCATAAATTTAAAAAACAATAGACTTATTAAATGTCATCTGAAGATGAGGGGGAAGAAGATGTTTATGACGAGAATTAAGATTAGGAGAATGTGTTTAAGAGAACAAGACGATCTTAGACCAAAAGTCTTCAGAGTAATGATCAAAATATGACTAATTATTAACTAACTATGGTACCACCAAAGGCTTAAAAGGAGGAGGACCCTTATTAATTGATGTTGTTGAGTGAATGCCATAAAAGATGTTCGGAACATGGAGTTTGCATTGAACACGTGTGCTATTGTTGGTTTGGATATTCTGGAGATCATTGTTAGGCATCTAAAATAGGGGATTTCTATTTGGGATGGAGAAAGAAGAAGGTTATGATTGCTTGTTTGATAAGTTTGCTGGTTGGTATGCTAATGGGATATGGTGTTGTGATGTTGATGAGAAAGAGAGGAAATGATGACGAATTCAGAAATATGTCAGAAGTTCCTAGTTAGAAAATAGATGATAATGAAGGAGAAGTCGATGAAATAATTGTTTGATTTATATTAATTATATTTATATTAGTATGGACGATAGTTTTAATCAAACTTAGCCAAAAAAGAAGACATTCTACATTAGAAGGAGGGCAGACGACTCATAAAAATAATCTAAGCTCTTTCCGTCAGTCCAAGGACCAATAGTAATTATTCTTATTAAATTAGTCTTAATATCCTAGTATACCCATTTCTAAGATTATGCTAAAGAAGCCTACTTCAGGTGTGCCATCCTAGATTAGTAGAGGTTAAGATAAATAGGATCCACGAGTCAGTACACCCAAGGGACCAGTCAGCAGAATTTCTGAATTAGATGAGGAGGAGAAGAAGAATGAAGTAGAGGGTCCTTAGGTATAAATTCGGATTATATATGTTAAGTTGAAAATGAAGAAAGAGCATATATCATTTTTGGTTAAAACTGAAAACAGTCGGTTATAGATAATGTAGTTGTTTCAAATAATGGAAGTGCGGCTATTTATTATGAGTGGAAGCGAATTGAGAGGTGGTAAGGAAGGTAGCCTAATTCAATCTAAGATATAAATGAAGAGAGGTTCTTTTGTCATCATGATTAAAATGTTATCAAACCAGGAGAAAGAATTAAATTTGTGTTTAGTTTTCTGTCCAAACAAGCAGGTGTTTTTAATGAGGAATGGGAATTGAAATGTGAGCCTCCATGTTTGACTTAATTACCTAATTTGAAATTGACAGGCATTGCATTTATAGATGATGAATTAACAAATGGAAGAAAAGAATTTCAGAAATAAGTGAAAAACAAATTTGCATTGAAAATAGCCACTGAAATAGTTGATGATATATTTGAAGAAGTCAAAACACCACCTCCACCTAAACCAGATCTAAGTGATCCTGAATAATTTAAAATAGAATTTGAAGAACTCAATTTGGGTGAATAATTATGGTTTACTCATGAAATTATGAACTTCTTTAATTTCTCCTCAGATGAAATATGTTAAGTATTGAAATAAGATATACCTTGGAATGGAGATGTTAAATTGCTAAGATAATCATGTCATACTATAGATGAAGAAGAGGTTAAAGATTTGGTATTACGTAAATTGGAATTGTGGGTTAAGTTGGCAAAGAAAGTACCAATCTCTAGAAATCCTATTTACAGTGTAGTCAAGGATTTATTAGGGGATGTGGCTAATTAAGTTCCTCAATTATCCGAGGATATGCGTAAGGAATTGCAAATGTGGGAATATACTTTTCATGAACCTGAGGATTTGACACCAGAAAAGGCTAAAGCTAAATTGGATGAATTCAATAAAAATGAAAGCAAATTGGTTGAAGAATGCCCAAAAAAGAAGAAATGGAATGATGATATGGAAAAGGAATTGATTGAGGAGTATAAAACTAAATTGGGAGCTAAAGTGGCTGATGCATTGGCATAAGCAGCTATCAAATTAGAAAATGATGGACAATTATTATAAGTAGGAGCAATGATGAAACCAGAATTAAAATGGAATGTGTTTAGAAGGAGAAGATATTAATCTACTTACTTTTATGATCTTCTTAGAAAGAAAACAATTTAAGATTCAGATATTGAAGGAAAAAAAATTGGATTAAAGATCCATCTAAAATTAGCTAATAGACCAGATGTTTATGAACTCAAAGAAAAGTTTGAATAAACATTACTCAAAGAATAAGAAGAGGAGAATAAGAGGTTGGAAGAAGAAAGGTTGGAAAAGGAAAGATTGGCTTAAGAAGCAGCAAAGAAAAAAGGCAAAGGTAAACCAGTCAAATAAAAAGAAGTTGAAGTTGTATAAGGTACTATTTAATTATGAATGATAGTCTAATAAAAGAACTATGATCTAAGTCATCTAGATTAAGCAACACTTTAAGAATGTGTTGACACTATCAAACTATTGATGGAAAGATAAGCCAAGATTGTTGTATTACTTGTAAGTTATGACAATCCCAAGTGGAAAGTATAAGTTTACATCCTCAACTAAATTCTTTTACGAATGGTTAAAGACTCACGTTGAGTGTCCTGTCTATTTTAATGATGCTATTATTGAAAATTTGGATGAACAATTAGAAACTCAAACCTATTAAGAAAATAGCGTTTTAGTATTAGAGAATCTATTCTTCTATCCAGATGAGGTTGGCTACCCTGAAGAAGAACCTGATATTGAATCCAAAACTCCTTACAGAACTCTATTACCTTATGGAAATATTTATATCATTGGAGATAGAGTGAATTTCTTCTCAAGATTCTATCCTTCAATCATTCATATGAATGCAGATTAAACTATTCTATCCTCAGCCATTGCCAAAGATATTCATATATTATGTCACAATCTCATGGGATGTTAAGATCGAAATGGAACTCTAATTCTGGGAGGAGATCTGACTGGTGATAAGTTATTAACAATTGATTAGTTGTCCGGACATCTATCATCTATAGTCTTGTTAGGTAAATTGGGATTAGCATTCTATTTAACAATGTATGAGATACCAAGTGATCTTGTGTCAGAAGCTGTGAGAGATGTTATCAAAAATCTACTTAATGTTTTGAGAGATGAATCAACTGAAAAGCCTCCTCAAAGATTGACTCGAATTTAGTCATCTCCAAGAACAACCAAAACCAAAGGCAAGGTTGATTTGTCCATAAGATTATCTAATTACAACATTTCCTGAAGGGTATGATCCTGCCAATTAAGAGCATGTATAGATTGTTACTACAAGCATTGCACCTTTTGTTCCTGAAGGCAATATACAACTTGAAGAGGGAAAAATACTTTTAGATTATGGACCTAAGACTATTGAAATTGTTAAATAAGAAATCTAAAATGCCCAAAGATTGTTTTGGATAGATGATGCTAACCTTGGATTATACAACATCTAAAAGTAAATAACTGTTCCTGATTTCGAAGCTATTGCTCTACTCAAGAAATTAAGAGAAGAAGAGGCTGAAAGAGAAAGAGAGAGATTAGAAAAGTTAAAAGAAAAGAAAGGGGGAAAAGGAAATAAGAAAGGTCTCAAAGAAGAACCCCCCAAAGAGCCTATTAATAGTATTATATTATTTTCATTCTTTTTTAGTTAAAACTACTAAGGAAATTAATGTTCCAGTCTTCAATCTCACAAATACAGACCTAGGATTCTTCATTTATGAGATGAATCAAGAAAAGAAAGATCGACATTAACATGCACAAAAATAAGGCCATTAAGTTCCTTATGATTTCAATTAAGACTGTGTAGTCACTATCATTGGTGAAAATTTGGAAAAAGTACTCAATCAAGAAGATTTTCAAAATATAGGAAATGAGGAAGAGATTGAACAAGCACCAGAACCCAGTTAAAAAGGATCTTAATTTCCTCAGAGTGAAGCAGGAGAAGATTAGAAAGAATAGGAAGAAGAATAAATTGAAGATGGAAAAGGTCAAAATAAATTAAGTAATTTACAATCTAAAATCTTAGGTCAAATAATTATTAGCTGATTTCTATATATAGGATCAGGACTTTACTCTTTCATTTCTTGCTGGAAATCAAATTCATATCCAAACACTCGATGAGTACCCACCAAAACCAGAATCTGAAATTAATGAGGAGTAGTATTTTGAAGAAGATAGTACTCCTTGATATATATATAATACATATAATATATATATTATATCAACAAAGTTACTACCATAATATTAATAAAATATGTGAATTGTTACAATTATTTTCAATATAGAAATAATACCAAAAGCAGACTACACTTATAATATATATAATTCCAATTATATTAACTTCAATTAAACATTATAGTAGTCTTATTAGATGACCTTAAAAGTTGGTTATAATAGAAAGTAGTTGTAATACTCTAAGAATGATAAAATAGATAAGATTTTAATATTGTGAGTATTTATTATTAATTGTTTCGACAAAGTAATAAATCATTTTAAAACAAAATATAGACATATTCTGAAAATAGCCAATATGATATATTGATAAATTCCAATGTTAAGTGTAGTGAAGTTATTATAAATTAATAAGCTAAGATCGTTTCTCTAATCATCATCTAATACTATTCAATTCTAAATATATCTAGGAGATTTATGATTATAATCCAAAATTTAGTAATCAATAATGAATGAATGTCTTTTATTAAATATTAATATTATTATAAAAAGAAGCTTTAAGATGAAGAGAGAAAGATATAGAAAGAATGTAACAATAAAAAGAGAAATACTCGAAAAAAAAAATAAAATTAGTCAAAGCTTTGTAAATCTCGAAAGCAGGAATTTTTCGGATTGTTTTCAAGAATAAACCAGAAGCTTTAGTTGTTATGGTACTGAATTTGGATAGTTGAACAAATTCTAGATTCGATTCAAAAATATTTTGCCTGATTACAAAACCAAACAATCTATTCATGAGAATGAAATGAACGAGAAAAAGAGAAGACAAACACTAAATATAGAGAATGTGGATATTCTCAAATTTTATAGAGGAATTTATGATATCAATAAAAGCAAAACTCTCATCAAAACACTTAAAATGCTCAAGACATCTAAATAAGATTTCGATGAAGTCTCTAAGTAAATCAAGTAGCCACACAAGGATATAAATAAAAAGAAAAAAAGAAGAAGTAGTTGTTATTGTGCATTAAGTGGCAAAATGAGTGAAAAATAAATCAGATATTAACATGATCCATATTTCGACAAATTTAACATGTTTTAACAATAAAGAAAACTTTCAATCTGTTTAACAAATAGAAAAAGGTATTAAGATAAACTAAAATCTCAAATTTAATAAGAAAACATTAAAATATCATACATTAGTTAAAATAAGTCGCCCATCAACAAATATAAATGTGTCTCGAGAACTACGAAATTGATTCTAGAGCAAACTCAAACCAAGATATTGCAATAAGGGTTAAGATATTCGGCATTACCATCTTAAAGATTTAAAACTGAACCAGCATAATCATCACCTCGATCTTTTAAATTGTATCCAATATAACTCAACAAATTAAGGTTGGGTTAATCAACATTTAGATCAAGTCATCTAAAAGAGAGTTTCAAAACATTGGCCAACATTTATAGATGAATATCAATAACAAGGATATCTTATTATTTATATTCAATTAAAATAAATTAAATATTATTAATATGTAAAGAAAATGATTTATTCCAATTGATAAACTCTAGACAGAAGTTTATTCATATTAATTAACACAAACAAAGAACCAAAGAGTTTGAGGTTTTAAAAAGATGAAACAATATCAATTTATTAACATTCTTAATTTGATTTTATTACGAAGATTACCCAATCATATAAAATTTATTGAATGATAATCATAAAATAAATATAGACTATATAATATTGTCAAGATGATAAACTATATATAATACACATGTTGGATTATTTCAAATTTAAACAACTATTAGATCATCTTATATTGTATGTTACTGATAATACAATAATCCAATCATCTAAAATGAGTCTAAGAGTAATGAAATCAAATTCACTTCTCATTGAATTTGATTACAGATTAATAAATTAAATATAATATATGTAAAGATCGTTTCCTACCTAATCTCAACCTGTTTTAAGCAGAAAAAGTAAAATTAGTGAATTAGAAGAGGTTATTTGATCATTTGAAACTAGAACTTGTTTTCCAAGGTTGGATAATCTCTTTATTGATTAACCAAAAAAAGAATAAGTTTAAACATTACAACCAAAAGTTGATTTACTGGAGTAAGCAAAGTAGAGGATTTAATAAAAGAAAGAAACCAATCCTTCTTTTTTTGAAGAGGGAAGAAAGAAATTGGCTGCTTAGAGAAAAAAGGACACCTTTTTAATTACAGCAGTTAATTCTATCCCATAAAAATAATAATATAAAAAGTAGAGTCAGACATAAGAGTATTATAAAGAAGAAACTGATTGTAATAATATGCTTAAAGATTTGATTGCTCAAGAGGAAAGACCTTATGATGATTTGGCTGAATTAAGAAGGATGATTGCATAAACTGAATAATGCATGGTCGAATATGTGGATGACATGTATATAAATTAATAATTAGGCATAAGTTAAACAAGAATGTCGTAAAATATAATAATGAAGCAAAAAAAATAGGAATGGGTGTTGATGCTTAATTGTTTGATTTCGTAGATCATAAATGCAACAAATATTTAACTAAGTCAAAGACTACTACAATCATTAAAGATAAAAAATATTGAATTGCTATAACATATAAATTAGATAATTATTTTCATTATTAAATGTTCACATAATATTACATAAATATTTTTAAATACATTCTTCTTTATGTAATATTACTAAAAGGTGAGACCTATTATAGCTGCTCATCGAGGATTGTCCAGTCTTTATCCAGGTATTTTATATCCCAAACATAGAAAATACATTAGAAGGATTTAAATCTGCACTTTAATTTTCTGATTTTATCGAATTAGACGTTGTCTTGAACAGAGATAGACTTCCAATTGTTTGTCATGATGCTTTTTTAAGTTTAGTTAATGATGTTAAAAAACACTATAAATTTGAAAATAGAAAGTAGTCTAGAATTCTTTATGATAAAGAAAAATTAGATTGGTGGATTCTGATTTCACTTTAGAAGAATTAAAGGAATTACGTTTAACTTAATGCATAAACAATCGAAAAAGTGAATACGATGGACATCTTAAAATACCTTCATTAAAAGAAACTGTTGAGTATTTCTTAAAGTATAATCAAAAGATTGACAATAAAAAAGGAATCCTATTAGAAATAAAAGACTATGATTATCATTAATAATACTGCAATATTAATATTGCTGAAATTATATTTACATTTTTGAAAGAATAAGGTTTGAGTACACTGCGTGAATGCAGTTAAAAACTACCTATTGTTATTATGTCATTTGAAAAGTAAATACTATAATATTTTAATAATAATACAGATCTCCCTTTAACATAATTAGTTTGTTTAGAAGATAAAAATATTCCAACAATAACTGAAATTGCTCAATATGCTAAAATAATTGGTTTAGACTTAAGATTGGTATGGGAAAATAATTAAACTCATTAATATTATAATGAGGCTAAGGAGAATGGTTTAATTATATATGGATGGACATTTTAGGACGATAGTGATGATCTTAAAAAACTGTTCAATGAATAAGATGTAGGAAAAATATATTAAAAAAGTAGTACCTTACTTTAGGGCATTATAACAGAATTTCCTTAAGAAGCTGTAAAATTCATACTTTGAATTACTATATTTCTTTGTTTATAATAGTTAAATATGTATTATTTTATAATATTCTCTATTATAATCATTTATAAACGTCTAAATTTCTTTAGAGGAACTATAATATTCTTAATTTAAAGTGAGTCTCTTTGTTGGTTAATTACGACAATGTGTTTAAATGGCAATTTAATAATTTAGATATCAAATAAATGAGTTAAGTCTAATTATTGATGGCTGAAATATGGAAAAAACATTTTGAATAACATAAATCATGAATTTTTTGAGCAAATAATAAGGAAAGTAGTTTAAAATATTGTAATTGTATGAAAAATATTAAAGATTACAAAAACAGTAGTCCCATATCTGGCATAATAATTACTGAATGCTAGAACAAAAATATAAGAGTAATTAATGAAAAGAATTTGCTTTAGAGTATCAGATTTATGACTTAAATTAAGAAAATAATAGACAACAATATTTTGAGCAATAATGATAAATTAGGTGTTATGAGAGTTCAGCTATTAATTATTAGGAAATATTTGTGAGTTTGAAATTATTCATTCAGGTATTTATTCAAACTAGACCATTTATAATTATGTAGGTTATCCTCTATGATGTTCAGACCATGCTTCTCTGTAAAACCTTAAGAAAGGTGAGATTAGGATCCAAAATACAATATATACGAATCTTATTTCTAAAGCAAGATGATCATCCACTATTTAATTAAAGATTGGTGTCATTACGATGATTGCTAATTTAATGTTATTCTTACTTAATGCTAATTTAGTGTGCATCATGCCAATCCATTGCTTAGATTGCTGTTTCATTTTATTTTTTGGATCTAGCAAAATTGTGTTAATGAAGCCAGAAGTAATCATAATGAAGGACAACATCCATTAAATTAATTTTGATGGATCCTCGTTTTGTGAAGTAAACAAATATTTCCAAATGATATTTCCACTTAGAATGGTGACGGTGGAAATGTGAAATACCCTAAAGATGTATTTAGACCAAAATAATCTATTATACATTAATTATGAATAAATAAATAATTAATCCATTGAAAATAAATATTAACTAAAATAATACAATAATTGAGTACTTAATATTAAGGAGTATTCAAATGTGTATATGAACTATTTCATATCTCATAATAAATGAATTGAATAAATATTTATATTCTTAATTAGTAAACAATTTAATACAATTACTTCTATAATTTGAATCAGACTTGTTTATAATTGAAATCAAAACCAAATCCTCGATATAGCACACATGCCCGAGTGGTCTAAGGGGCCGCACTCAAGATGCGGTGAGTCATTCTCGCGTGAGTTCAAATCTCACTGTGTGCAATTTTTTATTTTTATAAATAATATCATATTCATTTAAATACTTTTTCAACAATCCATAAGCAAGAAGTTGTTAGCTTAGAAGTCAATATGACTTCATATTAGGTTGATTGCATTTCGGATAATGATGGTCCTTAACATAAATATTTATTCATAGGTTAATACAAAACGAAGAATGGTTTACCAACAATCAATTATTAATTATCAATTGCTTTAAATAGTAATTCTATAAATACTTGAAATATTAAATGATTGTTGCATTGATGATTACATGGCTGTGACTTAATGACCATTCTTTGATTTGGCTAGGTTTTTCTCATCCACACACAAATATTTGTTGGTTTCTTGATGAATCAAATTAATTGGCATTTGATGTTGGATTTACTTTTATGCCATCTGATAAGTTTATTGTATCACCCACCAATCATTGGCTATGCTTGTTAATACAATAATCATACCATCTCTCTCATAGCTAAAACATGTAACTTCTTGCATTCCAGTAGATGCGTATGTATTTTTATGAGAATGTAAAGAGTATCCACTTTTATAATTTCTAATTATTATTTTATCGTCAGCCAAGATTTCTTTAATGTTCATCGTAAACTTCCAATGTTGGTTGAATTTAAAACTGACTGAGTTTCTCTGGGGTCAATTTAATAATTTACCAATTGTTGTACTCACTTTCTTTCCCACAAGAGACTTCCTTAAATTAGTTGATTTATTTGAATGTATAATTCTTTTGTGATGTCTCTAAATAATCGATTAACTTTGTAGTTTAGATCTTTAATGGTACACCATTCTAAATTGCATGATTCTTTGTTTAGAATATCTGCTCTCCCAGTTATTGCAATATGAAAGGGTAATTTTCCAATCTAGTTTAATTCAAGGAAACTCTGATTTAATTAGTAACTTCTGAATGCTTCTGGAATTCGTATATCAAATACATCTTAGTGCTGAGGTTCTTGAAATATACCACATCTCCATAACTGATTCTATTAGAGTCATCAAACACTTTAACTATGGTCCAAAGTGTGTAATAGTTATCAGGATCATCACTCCCGACCACATAATAATTATTGACATTGACTGTACTTCCAAACAACAATCCTTTTTCTTAAGTATTAAACCCTGTAGCAGTCAAGTAAGCTCCTGTCAAATAGTTTCTAATTTACACTACTTCTCTTACTAATATATCTTAATCCATTTGATACATATTTATTTTATATTCTGTATATAAATTTCTTTAAATTCTAAAATATACTCACTTCAACTTAAATAATGTTCTAAACATAATAACAACAATTCACTTTAGTAATCACTCTGAAAGTGGACTATCCATATAATTTAGATACCTTTGGTCAATACTAATATATTTGACACTAACACGAGAATTGAGTTTCCCAATGAAGGAACTCCTAATAATTATTCTTACAATGCTATAATAAAACCCAAATATTTTACCACAAAAATAAATATTATTATTGTATATGCAAATTTTGGATCAACAATAGTCAGATTACAAACCTCCATCTAAACCTCCTAGAAGTTAGAACATCTCTAAATATTTCTAATTGATGAAATTCTGCTCCAATCATTATGAAATTAAGTTCTTAAAAAACTTACATCTATAATTATATAGCATAACATTTGTAAATGAGTTACCTAAAGAATAATAAAATGAATTGATCATGCATGTTTCCAGTTCCGCTTAGTTTCTTAGAAAAAATGGAATTAATAGATTTTGGATAAGTGGTTATAATTTATGGAGTTTTGACTATGTAGAAAAACCATTCTAAGTTCCAGGTTGTAAACAACTATCAAATATTAATTTGCTTATCAAACATGTCAAAACTTATAATCTAACTTAAAATTTAGATTTGATACCTCATGAAAGTCTTAAATAAGCTATGAATGCTATTCTAAGCTAAATATATTAAGAAAGAAATCTAAAATAGATATTTCGAAAAGGACAATTCTTTGATAAAGACAAGATTGAGAAGATCAATGATGTTTAGATTTTATAAGGATTCACAAGCGTTCTGCAAATGGGCTAATCATCCCCACTATTGTTGATTGACTTTAAAACTAAGGTATTTAATAAGCAAACAGTATTGCACTTCATTAAAGAAAACAAAAAATCAAAGAGTCCTGTTGATCTTTAAACCTTCTTTGAAAATAAAACCTTTATGACTATTTATTCCAAAAGAATGTACAGAATTAAATCAATTGACTTTAAATCTAACCCCACTTGCAAAATGGAATCCCTAGACGTATCTTATGAGTAATATTACTATCAAAGGTACAAAATTACACTCTCTGATTTGACATAACCTTTACTGGTGCATGAAGATAGGAAAACAAAATAGACCATAAGACTGATCCCTGAATTGTTGTATATGATTGAATTGACTACTGCTTAAAAAAACAACTTTAAAGTCATGAATAATATAAAACAACAAACAACGTTGGATCCATTGGAAAGAAGCAATAAGATTGAAAATGAAAGGACCTTGCTTGATAAGTATTTCAGCAATCATTCAATCAGCATATCAAATAATTCAGCTACACCTGCATACAAGATTGTTAAACCTGCCTTAATACCTGAGGCCAGTATCAAATAGACAGACGGTGCATGCTTTAATATCAGAGGCAAATTAATAGAGTAATCAAACATCAATAATTGGATATTGATACATTATAATGAAGAATAACAAGTCGCCAGTCTATTTACTCAAGAATTCATTAGGGCTACAAAAGAGTTGGGGAACTAAATCAGTCCCCCAAGAAAAGTTGTTATGAATAATTTGGATCCTGCAGCATGGTCATAGGCATTACTCAATAATTTTAATACTAATGGTAAGCCTTAGATTGTTGTATCCATTCTAGACAGACATGAGGATTCCAAACTCTATAATGAATTAAAGAAGTTCTTGATTTCTGTTTAAGGAGTCCTTCATTAAAATGTTTCAATCCAAACTGTTGATTCCAAGAAATTCTCTAAAATTGCTTAATAAATTGTAAAATAGGTTCACAGTAAAATAGGAAAGTAATTGTGGAACATCTAAAAAATTACTGAAATATCTGAAAAGATTATGATAATAGGTATTGACGTTTATCATAAGACTCTCGCAAATAACAAATCTTGTGTAGGATTCAATGCCCAGTTTGGTTAATAGAGTGAAAAGCACTTTACAAAGACCATTATAGTTGAAAAAGGAAAAGAATTAAATAAGGGGGTGGGCTAGCTATTAAATTTGAGTCTATAACAATATCAGAAATAAAATAAACAGTACCCAGACACTATTGTAATATTTAGAGATGGAGTAGGTAATTCATAAATTAATGACTTAATTGAAATCGAACTCAAAGCCATGAAGTCCGTTATTCAATAGACATATAACATTAAATTACCATAATTCGCTTATATTGTCGTAAATAAAAGAATAAGTGATAAATTTTTCTCATCAAATAATGAAAACAATGGAATGATATTTCCAGAGAGAGTGACATCTAAGGAATTTGACTTCTTTTTAATAGCTCAATAAGTTAATCAAGGTACACCTATCCCAACTCATTACACTGTGATTGAAAATACAACAAATTGGAATGAAGATACTTTCTGGAGATTCACTTACTTTTAATGTTTTAATTACAGAAATTGGTCAGGACCTGTGAAAATACCTGCTTGTCTATAAAATGCTCATACAGTGGCATATAGAGTAGGAGAAGTTATATAGAGTGATGCACATGTATCATTAGAAAGTTTATTGTATTTTTTATGATATGTATTTTTATTCAAAAAAAAACAATTAACTATCTCCATGAAAATGATTAACTTATACTTAAAATCAAAAAGGGAAACTCATATATTCTATTATCGAAAGTAATCACTAAAACTTAATTTCTTTAATCCATCTTTATATACTTTTAATGCTAAGATTTCTTAACTTTACTCTACAATTTTAGTCTATTATTCATATAAAAGCTATTTTAATTATTCATTCTCCTGTTTCAACTCTTCCATTTCTTGTGCTTGGTCATGATTCTGTTGTAATAACATTAAGATTCTCAATTCTAATTGTTACTATTCTTCATTCTTTTATTACACATATTCTAAGTCGTTATTGATAAATATTACTATATTCTAGTTCCTAAACATATTCTTATAACTTTTATTATTCCTTGACCTTATTAACAGTTTCAGCAGCTTCACTTCTAATTCTTGTGCCATTTTTTTAAATTGAATTCACTTTCACACCTGAACTTCCACTTACTCTTACTAATTTTTCTGGAGTAATAAATTTTTATTAAGGTATTGGTGAATGAGATGAATTATGAGAATTTCTCATATATAAGGAATGAGAGGGAGTTCTTATCATTTGAAATTTGATTTATTTGAAATATTAACTTCAAATTATGAATAATTTATTATCATATTCAATAAATAATGCATAATGTTTTTAAACACAGATCTATTACATCATCTTATTTAATCCTTAAATTCCCTAAGTTATACCCATTATCATTTCAATAATCACTTGATAAATTATTTTGGTTGGTAACTACTTTGATGGCTTGACTTTGCAAACTCTATTAAAACTGAGGTTACAGCAATTAATTTGATTGAATATGCTATTATAACACTAAGCAATCATTAGTTTCCAAAGCCTAAGGATATCCTTGAGAATTGTGAGAGTTGAGTTCTGATTAATTAATAATGATGTTCTTTTTAATCTATTTAGTAAATAATAAGACTGAAATGATAATTATTCAAATTAGTTAATGGGAGTACTTGATATAATAACATATTATTTGTATGTAATAAAGCAATCGATATCTATTAAAACCAACTTCAAATTTTCAACTTATTATTAGCTTCATTATGAACTCAGATAACTTGATTAGCCTATAGTCAATTATTGAATTTATAATATTACTAATTTTGATTTGATTTGAACTTTGTTAAGTGTTCTTAGTTAATAACATTTAATAAATAAAATTTATTAATTTTTACTAATTTGTTTGTTAATATGACTCATTATAGTAAACAAGGTAATTTATTTTTTGCATCTTAGATCCCAGTGGTTAATGGTCAAGATTGATCGAAAGACAAAGAATATCATAAGAAATGCAAGAAAAATAAGAGAAAGAAGAGTAAGAAAATAGAAAGCGGTTATACAGGTATTATAATTCAAATGAAAATAGAGAAGAATTGGAAAGATTAATTAATGAATAGAAGCAATCAACTATTTAGAAAACAAAATACGATTCTGAATTCGCTGGAGCTATGCAAAAATTCTTACATGAGAGAGACAGTGTTGAACAATTGAAATTGCAGGAACTTAAACAAAAACAATCTGAATTCATTAGATATAGTCTAGAACAAGAATAAATGAAGAAAGAATAATAAGTACCTCTATTTTAGTTACCTTAAAGCGACTCAACTTTCTCTAAGAAAGATAGTAGCAATTTTAAATTGGATAAATGATGGATCAAGCAGAAAAAAAGGATTTCTATCTAAAATAATAGAAAAAGGAACAAGTGCAAAAAGACTTAGCATAATCTTATGCTTAACAAGAAGAATAAAAAAAAATGGATTAATATTTGGCCAGATAGAGAGAATAAGAGATTCTTCAAGAACAATTACAAAGAAGTTAAAAAGAGGAAGAGTAAAGATTATTAGTAATCAATTATGATTATCAATTAGCATCTAAGCAAAATTAAGTATGGATATCATCAGAATGAAAATGTTCTGTAGAAATACAATGATCTTTATTTGCAAAAAGAATATAGAGACAAAGAACTTCAAAGAAAATTTATTGAAGAAGCTGCATCATATAAGTAACGATAAGAAGAAGAAAAATATATTATGGAGAGAGTGAATAAGGAAAAATTACAAAGGGATACTGTTGACACCATCTTAAATCAAATACACTCTAAACAACAGAGTTAAAGAGAACAATAGAACAGCAAATATAAAGATCAGGAATTCTTACTTGGACTTCATCAAAAATTCCAAATGCAAGAGAAAGAACAAAGTGATAGGAGGAATCTATAACAATAATAATATAGATAAGACCTAATTATGTAAATTGAGGAAGACAAAAATAGAAAATAATAGGAAGCATCAATGAGTATGGTTGAGTTAAATATGAATAAGAAAATATTTGAAGTACAAATATCCTCCTATTTAAATAGGCCGAAGATGATCCCCAATTAGCTGGTATTGGAGTTGTTCCTGGATTATCAAATCATGTTGACTATGAAAAACTAAAATAAAAGTAATTTGATTTCTACCTTATAGAGCATACGTGGATGGCACGTTCAAAAAATCAGCAGAATAATAGATGCAATTTAAGAGATTAAGAAATGTAAGTGCATACATTGCTGGTAATAATGTTACTTAAAATTATGGTTATTGATATATATATCTTTAATATTACCATTCATTTGTTTTGAGGATTGTCTTCAACTATCTTTAAAATCACTTTTTTATCCAAAATTGTCGGTGATTTTTATATACTCTCAAATAGTATTTAAATACCCTAATAGATTAAACTAAACTAAGTACTTTTGTTAAAAAGAATCTTTGTAAAATATTCATCGAATTATCGAGGAGGAAATCTTCAAGATTATTTTCAAACTGTTACTCTAAATATATAGACTAAAGATTCTAGATATATTCGTCAATGTTCTACAATAATATATCTTTTTACTTGAGAGGCTGCATCCAATAGAGAGCACATCTCAGTATCTTTCTTATTTTAAATGATAGGTTTTAGTACTTCCTATGTCCACTTTTCATTTGAACCAAAAGTACCTATTGCAATATCTATTAAATTTTGCAATTAGCCATTCCAAAATTTAGGCTCCGTATACAGAAAATGCTCTTACATCTAAAATGCAATCACCAGCTTTAAGCTTTTTAAATCTGCTTCAGTAACACTCTTATTTTACATCATTTTGCTAATTATTCCTAATGGGAAAATGTGTTTTAAGTTTATGGCAACAGTATAAAAAAAGGATGATTGAGGAGTATGTTTTGCTAATTTCATGTACTTTTGCAAGGCTTATAACGCTTCAATGAAATTATTATTATTGTATTAATCCAAGAGGTATTAAATCATGCATTGCAATTTCAAAGCTGATTTGTATTCTTCAATTGAAGTTTAGTATTCCTGAGCAGTAGGGAAATGTTGTACTTTGTTGTTTCCTAACTTGTTCAATTCCTCTAAGATTTAGGTCTTTACTATTTCCTTAAGTCCTGGTTGACTAAATAATCCACCAGTTTCTGGCATAATTTTAATTATAGCATTGTCTAATATTGTCCATTTGAATAATCTTTCATCAGGTTTGATTTTCAAATACATAGAATAGTTTTCTAAGTAAGGAGGTTTGACTGGGAAAGGTGGATATTATTTCTATTAATATTTTCGCTATTTTTCATTTGCAATTTCTAGATATTGTTGATATTTTGTAATAATCTATTCAATTTTGTTCATTAATTATTGCTATTCAACTTCCTATTTTAACTTTTCATTATCTTAATTAAGAAACTCTCTTTGCTGTTTAGATAGTAATAATCCATATCCGTCAGTCAGATACTTTTTTGTATCTTCACTTGTACTAAATAACTTTAATTTCACCATTGAGTTTTAAGCAAATTTTGCATTGTCTTCTTTTACATATTAGATTAAATAAGCACTTTTAGAATTAGATTAATCTCCGAAAGCATTTTTTAGTACATTCTATTCTACTTCCTCATGAACATTAATATCATTAAAATAATACCATTTTTGATCATCAAGATTATAAATATAAGCATAATAATGGCCAGCATCAGGATTGCCTTCATGCATCAAAATTGATTGTAAGATATACTTTTATTTCTTCAAAGAATTGTAGCTTTCTGAAATTTTTTATTCTATTTCTTTTCTCTCTTTTTATAAACAATCTCTTTTTTTTATAAAATGTTAATGATATTCTGATATTGATTTAATTGAAGCTTTATTATCACTGCTATCTACAAAGAATTGATGTTATTTTTCATTTGAATTTTGTAATTTCAAGAATTATAGAGTGGTTTCTAGATTCTAAATAATATCAATGTTTCCATTAAATTATGTTAAAGTTGCCAATTCCTAATCGATTTTCTTCAATCTGTCTCTCATTTATTAATTTTATGTTTATATATCCTTTGCTAACTTTTGATTTGATAAGAGGTATCTATCTATATAGATTTCCTTTTCAAAATGGAAAAAAGAATTAATTTTAGTAAAGGATCCTAATATATTAAGTTATTTAAATACCAAATTCTTTGCTATATTCCACCCGTTATATCTAAAATGTAAGTACTTATGGGGCCGATTAAATCCAAAATTATTTGATTGCTTATTGATACTCATCCTTTTCATTTTTGTATTCTACAGCCTGATTCATATATTTATCAAATCCTTCAAATAAGGACTTGCTATTCACATCAATTTAGATGATATTGAACATTTCTTATTAGCAATCTTTGCTAGCCTACCCCTTTCTTATTATTTAAGGAGAGAATTTACCATAGAATAACTTAAACACCATAGAGTTTTCTGCAATGACTGATGATTGTCGAATTAATAATGATTTTTATGAGATCATACTATTTGTGTTCGAATCAGGAAAATGAATTGTTGGAAATTGCACAATTGATTAACCTGGCAATTATTATTTTATCGATTACTAACTCTAGGAAGTGCTGGTCTTTTATAAGGATTAGGTTAAGTATGTTATGCCTTCATCAATTCTTGATAGAAAATAATTATTAAATTCACTAACATCTTTTTGATCCCCAATAGGCAAAGCTTTACCAAAATCATCACAGATTGAGAGAATGACCTTCTTAGGGTCTACAAATTATCTGTCACTTCCAATCATAAGTACGAAAAGACTTTATAGATTTTTAACCAGCTCAATTGAGTTTACAACTCTCTTATCAACTATATTTGATAGATTAACATGATCAAATTTGCATTTCACTATGGAGGACACAAAATCATAGATAAAATAATAGGTTTGTAGAAGAGAATTAAAATAGCAGGTATTTCCTACATTCAGCAATCCACAAGGGACATAATTTTATCTAACTTTTCCGATTGGCATATATTATTAATGTAATGTTAATGATGCTGCCACTGCTACTTAGATATCATCGTTAAATTATTGATTGATCGGATTCATTATAAACGATTGATTTCTCATTCCTTACAAGAGCTATTGGAAAAGAGACATATTTCCAGATGAAGCATTCCATGCTTATCTAATGTCAAATTCTGAGTAGCCGTTTCTTCTCTCTTACTGAAGTATAGCATTATCTAAAGGTTTTTGCAATTATTATGATGATTGCATAAAAAATATATTTTATATAATTTTAATATCAACTGTTTTTGAATTCAAAAATGCAACAAATAGAAGAACTTATATGTCCTGAATGTTAAATGATGTTTAATGAAAGTGACAATCTACCATTGATGCTTCCAGATTGTGGACATACAATCTGCTAAAATTGTATTTAGCAAATGCTAATCAATAAAAAATACATTGTCTGTCCAGAAGATGGGTAAAATTGTTATCTATTCTAGTATCATGGCTAAAAATAAGAATGATATCTCATAATTTCCAAAAAACTGTTAATTATTAAAAATGGTGGTCAAGCATAAAACTTAATACTAGTAAAGTAGATAATCAGCAAGAAATGACGATAGTGATATAGGTTATCAACTCTAATTGAACAACTTAATTTCAAATGATATTCCAAATGATTTATGCTAGGAACATCTAGAAAAATTGGAAATAGTATGTCTCACAGATCAACTCAGAATTTGTACAAGATGCGCATTATTTGGATAGCATCGACATCACGAAGTCCGTTCTGTTGATGATGTAGTAAAAGAGATCACACAAAAGGCTGAAAATATCATGCAGATATATTAAAAGATACTCCAAAAACAGAGTGAAATGACTGAGTTAAAATATTTTGAACCCTTGCAAGAAAGATTCTCAAGTGTCCTTACAGAGAGTCATAATACTGTTAAAGAGAAATTTAAAGAACTGCATTAATTATTAGATATCAAGGAACAGAGACTTATTGAATAATTAACAACATTGACATAATCACTAGAACAACAAACAAAAAAATAAATTAAAGAATTGTTGCAAAGCTCCCTCTCTCAAGCAGAATTGTGGAAGATTACAGCCAAGGATAGATTAGTCTATTTCTCAACCAAAACAGAAAATGGAGAATTACCTTTAGATTTGTTAAATAACTAAGATTATGCTTGTGTAGATAAGGGTAAAGGAATATATGAGGAATTGGAGAAGATCTAAAAATAGTTGGATCTCAAACTATAGAATATCAAAATAAAGAAGTTGAGAGTTGATCTCAAAAAGACAGAAATCGATAAGAGTTTTGATAATCTTTTCACTATTACATTATAATTGAGTAATGTCAATAATACTAGCAATATGACTAAGAGTAGTTAAATCTTAAAAACTATAAATACTTTGACAGATTCAACATTGTTGTAAGACATTAAGAGAAATGAGAGTTTTAGCAAATTATGTGGTTAAGATGTCTTTTCAAGTTTTTGTCAAGATGAACCAATGTTACTTAAAGATATATCCATGGCAGATTGGAGTGAGAGTCTTATGGAGGAAACAACCAATATTACTTAAGTGAAAAGTCCAAATAGAAGTAGTCTAGATTAAGAGGAATTTGTAAAAAATAAAGGTGGATCTGGATTGAAAGAACTCAAAGAAATTTAACCTGTTATTAGTTCTTAGACCATCTAATCAACTACTCCTACCAAACCTGAGAGAATTTAGATTAGAGCTTTGGAGAAACTCAAAGGATCCTTTTAATAGCCAAGTCCTGGCAGAAGAGATTTAGAATAGGTTAATTCCATCAGATAAGGTGTTAGTCCTAATACTAAAATTGTAGATTGCAAGAAGAAGAAAATGTTTAAGATCAACGAAAAATTTGAAAATGTTTGGCAAGCATTTAAGAGTGATAATCTAGAAATTGCTGATTTCTCAAGTGCAGGTATTTCAATAGATATGTATTAAATTAGAATTGGGAGATGATGGATTATAGTTTATTGGTGACATTCTGAAAACATCAAAGAGAGTTAAGCAACTTAAATTAGTAAGGAATAAAATAACTGATGAGGGAGCATGTAAACTGTTAGATTGTCTTGTATACAATACAAATTAAGCCTTTTAAAGTCTACATTTATCATCCAATATGATAACTGAAAGGACTCTAGATTATTTCATATCTCTAGTTAGAAATTCCCCCCAAGGTTGTTCGTTGCCCAAATCTTTATACTTGAACCAAACTCTAATAAATGCAACCAAAGCCAAAAAGAAAATTGAAGATTTAAAGCGTGTTGGATATTTAGTGAATATTTGATAATAAAAATTAATAATGGATAATTAAAAGAAATGCTTGTATGAAAAATTTGGAGGAGACTAATAAGTATCAGAACTTATTGATCAATTCTATTACAAAGTACTCTTCGATAAACTTCTTCGTGATAAATTTTTGAAGGCAGACATGAGTAGAGTAAGGTATCAATAAAAGCGATTTTTCTCTTAAATGATGGGTGATAAAAATACTTAGTACACTGGCAGGTATTATCAATAAGTTAATATCAATAGAGATTTAATTGAAGTCCACAAAAATCTGAACATCTCAAATTAATAATTTGATAAATTTAAGACTCACTTGAAAAATATTGCCCAAGACATGGAAGTGCCAATTTAAGATATTGATGAATTACTTTAACATGTTGAAAATCATAGAGATGTAATTGTATTTTAAAAATGATAATCATATGTTTATGTATTTGGTTATTCGTATTTCTAATGTACCTGTATATATCCAGATTTAAGAAAATAATTTAATTTAATGCTTATTTTAAATAGAATTGGAATAATAATCCATGCAATAATTATCAATGCTGTCTACACAAATATATAATCATATCCAATAAGTACAATTCTAATACAATCAAGCTTTCTTATTTAGTTTTGGGAACAAACATCCAAAAGTTTAAGTTGAAGGTTAAAACTTTAATGGCTTTATCAAAAATTATTTATTTTAGTTTACTATATAAGGATTATTAATCCTAGTATTAGTACTTAATAATTTGTTATGTTTTTATTGCTGTTTGCGTTTTGGTGAAAACAAACTTATAGGACTTTTGAGCTAAATTGAATTCTTTTGATTCTTTAAGGAGGATTGTGTTGCAAAATTTAAAGAATTCAAAGAATTCAAAGAATTGTATGAATAGAGTTCAGATTATGAAAATGACCCAGTTTCTTTTCTTTTTGATCTTTCTTACCCATCTGTAATCATTTTCAATAATGTATTTTATCTATTGTAAGCTCTTTAAAATCCATGAATACTTAAAGTCAGCCGAGTGTTATTTGTATTCTCTTTTGGTATACAGATTTACAAATCCTTAAATGAAGATTTCTTATAAAAAGTATTTGTTCTAGCTAATAATATATATTTATTTTAAATACATTCAGAGTTTGTAGTTATAAATCCAGGTGGGGCATATTCTTCTTCTTTTAATATTTCTATTTTCTTGAGTGGAATATTCATTGTTTAGAACTAAAATAGGCTTTGTTACCCACATTAACCACAATGACAACTTTTTCTTCTAGTAGTTTTTTCCGTGTCTAACTGCTTTATCTAAATAGTATTCTAGCTGTGAATAAATTTGTTCAGCCTTGTTTTCTCATTAAGTATTAATAAGTAATTTTCTAAAGGTAATAGTGCATTCAAGTTTGAAGAGTAAAGAGATTAATTCATAAAAAATCAATTATTAAATATATCAAATCACAATGATGATTATGTGTTAATTTGGCTTACACAATAATAATACCATTTTAATTGTAAACTAATAGTATTTGAAATTTCACATTTGTCTTAAAATCAATAGCTATTGTAATTCAAACATAATCAGTATACATATACAAAACATTAAATTAAATAAATGAAATTTTAAGAATTCATTTCCAACAAGTAAATAACAGAACTATAAGAATAGTTAGAATAAGCTCGCAGCAAAATTCTAAAATTAGAAGCCTAATAATAGCATGAAGGACAAGTTGATGATATTTACATTCTAAGAGACAGATTAATTAAAGTACAAAATGAAAACTTTAAACTAAAGAATACTCTAAAATATATTGAATAGAATCAATAATACAACAAATTGGATGCCTTCTATGATTATTTCAACATCCCAAATGTATAAAATATGGATATCAAATTGTAAATGATTGTAGATAAATTTATTAATTTAAGACAGGAAATTGAATCAAAGAATTAAACCTTGCTTGAATACTCTTAGATTTAAATTTAAAATAAAGAATTATTTACAAAAGTTACAGTGCTCGAATAATAATTAAAATTGAAAGAAAGTTAGATAGAAAAAACAGAGAAATAAATTATAAAACTATCAAAACTAATAGAATAGCTTTAAGTATAAGCAACAGAATCCTTTTGGGATTTAAGAATAAAATGTGATAAACTAAAATCATTAATCTCCGATGGATGGGAATGTGATTAAAAAACTACTTAAAATGATGATCATCCCCAAAAGGTAGCAGCCATCATATCAGAATAACATGCCCTATTGAGTAAAAGATTTTCATAGCCAATTAGTGATCATCATGCATATTTCAAATTATAGGAGCAAACTCTTTATATTGTCAAGTAAATTTCGTGTACATCACAACCTATTTAATAAATTAAAAAGTAAATAGAGGCATTGGATGAATTTTGGCTCATGTTTATTTTAGTTAAAAATTATCCAATTATAATACTAAATGACAACAATATAAATATCAACAACTCAGAATTATTCAAAAAAGTATAATTTATGAAGTAATTACTAAATTCAGAATCCCCAATTTATTTCAATTAAGAAGTTGCATATGAGATGAACATAGATTTCTAGAACCTTCGATTTGAAATTGCATAATTTGCTTAATAATCATTTGGCTGGTTCTTTGAACAATCTAATGATTTGGTTATAGTTAGTGAGTACAATAAAAGAATTAAATTGAGTGGAACCAGTAAAGTCAAATAAGCTAGAGAATGCACACTCTTGCATTATATAACAGATTACTATTAAATTACTTAGGATAACAGAGTAATGATATGTATTCAAAGTAATTCTAAAGATGCCCCCAAAGTGTCCAAACAGCAAGTGAATACCGGAGTAGTTGCTAAGATAAAAAATAAAGACAATTATAATAAAGTTTGTTAAATTATTAATTCTTAAATCACACAGGATACAGCAATTTAGTATGATGAAAATTACGTATATGTTTATTTATGAGATATGAATAATATTTTCATCACTTCCTTCTTTTCTATCCATATTAAGTAAGGAAAAAGAAGAAGAATACAATTAGTATTGCAATAGGTCCAGACCAATACATACTATTGTTAAATCTCATTCCCTTATCCCAATCTAATAATCCCATAGTCATTGCGATTTGGTTCATGGTGAATGTACAATAAGTAAATGCTATTATACTTCTTAAAGGTGCTGGAATCCTATATAGATATTAAGGAGAATAGATTACCACTAAAATTTATCTCTACTTCTATAAACATACTTGCAATTCTGATTAATCAAGGCCCACCAAAAGAAGGTTTAATAGTATCCTAGATAGAAACCATGCCATAATGCACTTATTCCGTAAGTCATGTAATATGCTGTGGTAACATCAAATAGGGTGGAAAATTTATCAAAGAAACAATATTTGAGCCATATTTACACAGTTGTATTCCACTTGGTAGTTTTATGAATTGCACTCACATCTTTTTCATAAGAATAATCACAAGTGATGAATTTATCAAATTATTCTATATAAAATTTCTATATTTATTACATGTATCTTCATTGTAAGTAATACCAGCAGCATCCATTGCAGCCTAAGTGAATTTGAATCCAGCAAAATATCTCATTCTTGCAACTAAGCCAATAATTGCTTACAAAAGATTTTTTTCAATAAGATTCAGTTCATTCCATTATGGTGAATCATACCAATCATAATCTACATATGGTCTAATCCATATTTCTCCAGCACAAAATAGTAATGCCTTGATTAAGTTAGTAATAACTGATTTATATTAATTAAATTTAATATTAGAATATTCTTCTTTCTAATTTAAAAAATTTAAATAATTATGGTATGGTACAGGTCCAATCATAATGCTAAAAAATGAAAATATGTATGAATAATATGTCCAAAATCCAGTGTCGTAAGCTTTACCATACTATAAATCAACAGCATAGTAAATTAATCTACATGTTATCGTCATCTGAATTACTGAGAAATCAATCTTCCAAGACAAGTAATCAAACTAAAGATATTTCTATAACTTACCCATTGTCTGAACAGATGGACATATGATAGAGCTACGAAAGCTGTTATAGAAATCGGTATTACAACGTTCTTGGTTGGAATGGTTGATATAAAGTACACCAAGATGGTAGTTATATTTATATATACAAACCACTCCCTCCCTAAGAACAAAGTGAAGAAAACTCCCCAAAAAATGTTGTATATTAGTCTTATTCTTTGTTATTTGATCTTACTAAATATTATGGCGATTGGAATACAAAATAACTATTAATGAAATCGATATTTACAAAATATGAAACAAGTCGAACTTTGTCCTCCGAGATGTTCAAAACTTTGATGCTGTTCATTATCCATTGGTCAAACTAATCGAATGGCTTCAAAAGGAAATCAAATGATAACATATTTTTTAATTAAGAGAATAAAAATATTCTTAAACTTTTCTATAGTTATATATTAATTATCATTTATATGGTTATAAATTCTTAAATCCTGAAGCCAAACCTATCACTCCACAAGCCAATCTAGCACCACTATTTCCAGTTGTTTTTGAATCTTTTTAATTTCCTCGTCCTAAATCATCTTATCCTGCATGCACAACCACGGATCTTCCCAAAATACTTAATGATAAAAATACTCTTTACCTGTACTCTCCATATAATTAAATCTAGTTATCCTCGTAGGCCAAATATCCATTTCCTCTTTCATCTGTTTTGATATTTCCCAAATCTCCCACATGTCTTTTTTCATCCAATGGACCTCCATGCTCTTATTCAAAAGGATTGAAATGAGGCCCTGCTGTTGCACATCCATTACTTAAATCTCCAAATTCATGAATATGAACTCCATGAAGACTATTGGGCTTCAATCCTCTTACTACTGCAGCAATCTTTGTTTTTGCATTGATATGTTCCTAGGAGAAAGAAACAACACCATTCACACCAGAATTTGAATCTGGAAATAGGATGCACAAAGCATGTCTTGATGCATTAAAGTTTTCTGTTAAGGAATTAACCTTGCCTTGACTAATTAAAAGAAAACCAGAAATAATTCCAAAGGATTTTAACATTTGTATTAATTTAATTATAATAACACAAAATAAAAATTTATTTTTATCATTACCTCCCTTTTTCAAATACTAACAAATCGATATTTTTGGATTAGATAGTCAAATATTGTAAATATGCAATTTGAGTATTTATTATAAATTGTGATAATTAGAATATCTTTGATATTTCTAATTTTGAATTCTAACTATAATGTAATCCTTAAAGTTATTTATGTTTAATGAAAACACTTAATTAGAATTGAATAAACCTCACATACATTGCTAAGAAAGTACTACTATAAATTCTATCTACATTATTATAATATATAGTCATTTTAATTATTCTTCTTCCTTTAGTCTAAAGTATTGAACTACATTGGTCAAATTGAATAGGTTCTTTAACTGTTTTTATTGTTAAGCCTATTTAATGACTTACAAAAATGTCATTCCAGTGGCTTTCTTGTTTTATGAAACCTTATTATTTAATTCAATCAATTACCACTGTAATTTAAGGTGGAACTACAATAACTTTTAATTATTCCTCAAGGAACTTCTCTTCTTGTTAGGGTGTCAGTTTTTCTACTTCCTCTTCCTCATCAGGGTTTGGTTATTTTATAACTTATCCGTATTATTTCTACATGCACTTATCGAAATCCGAAAGATCTTCTGAATCTTTAAAAAATGTCTTGATGCCCTCTCCTAATCTCACATAGATTAGGTAGATGAGAGCATCTAATTTCTTGAATAAGGGTTGTTGTCTTCTATCATCAATACTTAATGAATCTTATGTTCTGATTAAAGATAGCTTCTCAGCACATCTGGCCAGTGCCTCTAAAAATTCATAGAATTCCATCTGAATATGTTTAAGCAAGTACAGTTCATCCACTGAAGTTTACATGGATAATAAGAATACTAAATATGCATCGCGTTCAACAAAGATATCACAATATAAATCACATTTATTAATCAAATCTCTAAAGTCTTTAAATTGAAGCCATAAATGTTTGTAATATTTTTATTTAGGATTTAATTTAGATGTATATTTGAATAACATCTTTAACATAGGTAATCTATCCTCTAAATATATTGAATAATAAAATTACTTAAAACAGTATCACATTATTCATTCCAATACCGCATATCTCTCCAATCCTAGCTTCGATCTATCTCTAGCAATTTTAATCTGACTCCATCTTCATCAAATAGTTTTCTCAAACACTCTTTGACTGATTTACATATTTATGTTCTTAAATATTTATCCACAGCAATTCTAAGCAATAACTCCATCAATTAAAATCTAACTAATGCTTTCTCATTTACATTTGGATAATTGGTATCTTTTACATTCGAAGTGGAAATGAAATTCAAATCGACATCCCCAGTTCTGTATTTATCTGATATTACACTAGTCGAATTAATCAAATCAAAAAATGCATTTGATGAAATGCAAGGAATTGTAGCTCCAATAAGTGTGGATGCATAGAACTTATAAGATGCAAAAATGTATGGATAATATTCTCTCATTATTTCTTTCACTTCGTTATACTCTAAAGGATCCTTAATAATTTTGTTGATTTTTGAACTTCCATAATCATATTCAAAGCATTCATCTATAACTTCTTCATTATCTGGTTGATAATTTTTGAATATTGAAAGTTCATAACTCCAAAATTATTTTTCTCTTTTTGTCAGAAATTTTGTTAAATCGAAAGTCTTTTCCTCTTCTCTTGGTTTACTAAAGATTTTTGCGAAATATCTATCCATTATTGATTACTTATCTTCGGTGTACATTTCATTTACAAAACCCATTCGGTTACCTTCAATTAAAATGTTTCCATTATATAAAAATGATTATTTAGTTTGATATAATGGATCATCTGAGGGAGTTTAAGTGATCATTTAATTTTTGGCTGTTGTTTGAATTCCTAAGACAGGATTACTATAGAAATAGGTAACCTTATAATTTGGAGGACACATTCGATAAGCAGAATATTCTCCATTATGCAATGTCATTAGAATAGGTTTGTAACTCTCAAAGTTTAGATGTACAAAAATAGGATCATTGTTCATTCCTCCTGACTTTCCAGGAGTCCAAGTAAATTTCACTTCTTACCAACCATCACATATCCAACAAGAATCTAATTCGCTATCCTTTTCGTAGTTTTACTTGATTGGTTTCATACCTTAAATTCTTCTAAATTTGAAGTTTCTGTGCAATTCAGCATCACTCTTTAAATTGCTTAACTTTTATTGATTGTAATTATTATTGTTTCTAGGTTCTTCTATTTCTAAAGATTAAAGTTCATTATCGTCAACTAATTTTAGGGTAGTCTAAGGATTCTTTTTACATTCTTCTATTTTTCGTTGAATATCAATTTCTTCTTGAATTCTGTCTCTTAAATGACCTGTAGAATCAACCGAATATTTTGGACAATTTCCCTGATAATGAAATCCATAAATATTCTAATTTTGATCTAATGCTTTTTTGATTTCAATTGATTATTCTTCATTAAAATTATTATAAGAAATATCAATGTGCATAAGTTCTGGGTACTATTTAATAATTACTTTAGCCATCCATTAAGCACATTCTAATGAAGCTGTTCTATTATAAGAAATATCAAAAACTTTCACACTAGAGTTCTTATATAATGCTTTCCAAATATTGATTCCTCCCACACTATTTATTGAGTTAAAATGCAGATATAATTCAAATAACACCTAAGATTTCTTTAGATAATTCGAAAGTTCAACCGTACAGTGTTCTGTAAGATTATTCTTTGATAAATTTAAATAGAGCAAATAATCATGATCCTATATTGCTAAACATAATGCATTGCTACCCAAATCACCTATTCTATTATTTTCAAGATTCACCTTCTTTATTGCTGACTTTTAAATATATTTTGATAACAATTGACAAGCCTTAGAATCCAATCCATTGTTCATCAAATCTAATTCTTATAGATGTTAAGGAAAAGACTTTGTTAGTTATTGAATCCTAAATTACATCACATCAAATACTTCAATGAATTAAGTTTATTATGACTCAATTTTAAATGAGTCAAAGTTTTACATTGTGATGTCTTTAATGCTTCAGAAAAAACCTTCACTTATTAATTGGTTCTAATTTACCCAGATGCATTTGCAATTTGGATATGGTTGCACTATTGAACTAACCCTAAACCGCTTTAAAAAATAGATTATTGATGCGAAGTCTTATTTAGTTGCATGTATAAATTTGGTGGTTGTTTGTAGAATTGTGCAAAATCTTCCAGCTTATTTTATGACTTTATGACTTTTCTATAATCCTCCTAACAAACCTTGTTCAAATTTTTGCTATTTTCATAGATTACATCATTACTTTGCCAATCTGAACTTTTTTAGATATCTTCCTCTATCCGTATTTGGTTCTTAAAAAATGTCACCCTTGTATTCCAGTTGTTGCAAATATAATTATCGTTGTTAATCATATTTGTTATTATTGGTATTACGAGATGGATTCGATTTATGATGATGATGTTAATGCTTTTTTATCATATTCATTCTTTGAGGACTATAATCTTAATAAGAGAATTATTTCATTGAATTTGCATGCGCGTCTTCATTAAATCTCTCTATTTCTTGAACATCATTTTCCATAAGGTCATCGAATAATTCTGGCTTATAATTATCTAGCAATTCTCTAATCATCTTTTCTTCCTCCTACTCATTCAGATGGTCGAGGATGCTTTTTTGAGGAGGCGAAGGAGTCACCAAACTATTTATAAACTCAAATGTAAAACTGTTGTCTAACAGGAATCTCTGTCACTCTAGTCAGATGGCCTTCTCTTTCCGCACTGAATGGCATTCTTATCTTTTCAATATCCAAACTACATTAAATCTTTGGAGACACTGATATTCTATTATTACAATTAAAGACTGCTCGTTAAGGTTAACAAGTTGATACTAAAATTATTAACAAATTATCAATACTAGTTCTTTTAATTTTTTCTCTAATTGGACTATTTCTTCTGAGCTCCTCTTCCTTTTTATACTGAATTATTCTCTCAATCAACTTTTCTTTCGTGTTATAGATCCTAAGTTTCTAAAAAAACATTTTTATTAATATTATAAAATACTTTATAACTTACTGAAAATTTTATGCATAATTGTATAAAATAATGAAAGTATTCACTTATCTATGACCTACTTGTATTTTTTATAATTATAAACTTCTTGACTAAATCAAAAGTTGATCAAGATTTATTCAATATACTTGTGTATTTCTAATATTTATTAAAATAAAAAGAAAAAAATTCAAATTTATTACCGGATTTTATAGCTTGGATGGAATTAAAATTAGTTGTGTTAAATAAAAAGAATAAATTACTTAATTATGAAGATGTTTCGAAATTAATATAATTTTAAATGAAACTAAAAATTATTTTATGATTAAAATGAAAAAATAAATTTTTGAATTATTGGATTAAAGTTTGTTTGTTAATACATTAACTATAAAATTCAGTAATAAATTTTGTTAAATAAAATGACTTGTTATAAACGAAATAAAAATATTAGCAATTGTGGATATTAAATTAAATTAACATAATATGAGTTTTATTCATGAATATAAATTGAATTAACTTTGGTATAGATTTCAATAAAATGATAATATACATAGATATATTTATATTCTAAACCAATTTTATATTAAGGATGTACTTCCAGATTGCTCATTCTTAATAACACCTATTTATCAATAAAAGTATTAACATCAAGTCTTTTTCAATAATATATTCAAGTAAAAGCAAGATTAAAATAATAATGATTATAATATTTAAATCATATACAATTGTTTATCTTTTCTAATAATTACAAAATATTTAATATATTGTGAAATAATTATGATAAATAATAATAAAATTTATAATTCAGTCATGTATTTGCAAGATAATTAGTTGAATCTCATGGATCTGATTATTCATTTTATTTAAAGAACTTGAGAATGCAGACAAATTTTAATTGCTATAAAAAACTTTTCTAGATGGCCCAGCAGATGCTAATGAACGTTATATCATCAGATTTATCCAGATGATGATTCAAAGAAATTTGATGGCTACTTTTTTATTACTATAAAATATATTAATTTTGACATATGTACAATAGAATTTTGATTAATATAATATAAAGAGAATATCATCCAATAATATTTTTTTTAATATTAATTGAAATTGATCAATAAAACATCTGAAATAATTTTGCAGCAAATTTTGCTATTAATAATTTTATAAAGAAAATTAAATTAATGTAAAATAAAAGCTAGGCGGAAACAAATTAAAAAGCAATTGAATTAATTCCTGATGGTATCTTTGATCTCTGCGATGAATTCCCAGTTAACGACAAAGATATTAGTTTTGAGGAATATTTTGAGATGAAAAACTATATTATATCTCCAAATTTGAACTATATTGCGATTTTTGTGGTCAGAACAGAAATTGTAGTTGGAAGCCACTCAAAGGAAGAATATACCGTATTTATTAAGTCATTGATTAAGAATAATTCGGTGTATTATGGACAATATATTGAAGAGGAATTAACAATCAAAGATTATTTTTTTTCAGATGATTCTAAATATTTAATATTTCGAAAACCTACAAAAGTGCTGTATATTGACATTTTGGGTTAGTAAAAGACAAAAAAAAAAGATATATCATCATAGCGTTTTCTCTCTAGTGATTC